GTTTTGCAGAAATATGGGTTCGAGAATAAATGGATTTGTCGCCCTTTCTCTCTTCATGCTGGCCGAGCGGAGAGGGACGAAGGCTTCTTTGTATTTACCTCGGGGTGAAAGATAATCCTCAAGGGGGACAAAAGTGGTTTTGGGGGAGCTCTATCTAAGTCAATGCGACACAATAAGCCAACGGGACGCAGTGGACGTGCCTGCGGCCAGGGAACTCTCGTCTTTTAGCCATGCACTCTCGAACCACTAATTCTGCAAATGGTCCACTGGGTGTTGCCCACCTCATGAGATCACTCCAAGCCATGCAAGAACCATGACAGATACTTAGCTGGTGAGGCTGTCATAACATTACAAGGCAGCTGAGAGTGATGAATGCCTCATGCATTAACTTAATAGAAGCAACAGAATATGAGTTATTGGGTTTTGACTTACATTTCCATGAGGCGGGGTTTTGTGCTGTGTCAGGCTGCAACACTGAATGATGGTGTCTCATGCACTCTTGCACAAGGACCACTCCGATTTAAAAAAAAAAGAAAAGGTCTCTGACATGGAACAGAGATGTCAACAGCCTACCAAGTCCACATTATTATAGGTCTTGTACCTGTGCCTCTTTCAAATCATATCAGTAAAAACATCTTAACACAAGATAAATTATTGCTTTTAATTCACTCTCATAATCTAGGTAAATACCAAAAGAACAAAAATCTCACTTAACCTCGTTACACACACTCACTTGACTTTCAGAATGCAGAAACAAGCTCGGAACAGCTGTGGCTTTTAGCCTCCTCCAGCCGTCAGAGCACCTCGTCTGGAACTGGGAGGGCTCGAAGTGGTCCTGCAGCGAAGAACGTTTTGGTAGACGTCAAAACTGTGTATTCAGCCGCTCGCGTCACAGTACAGTTATTCCGCTGACGAGAGGCTCACGCTTTCAAAATACGCGATCTTACAAATCCATCATCGCACGACCGCCACAGGCCTGAACCACTCGTCTTTCTGCGGTGAAGCGAAAGCGCACAGGACGCTTCCACGGCAGTAGAGAATAGATCACAAAATACACGGTTTCGTCACAGTGCACTCGCGTCCACCGTGCTCGCGTCACAATATTAACAATGGACAATACCTCACCTCGCAAAGGTACAGTCGGGAGGTTTCCACCCCGCGCCACGCCTGATTCCTGAAAGCCACAGTTTCCGTCTCCTCGGGGATTTCGGCAGCTTGAACAAGCGAATTCCCCTGGAAGCTCTGTTCTGGCACTTCAGAGCACAACAACGACCCATTCATCAAACAAGAACGGAACGGCGGAACTCCCGCGGCTACACAAACTTTTGTTTACGTTATTTCAACGCACGTGTCCGCGTGCGCATTCGTTTATTCTATCATTAAAGAAGGCTATGACGAAAAGCTCACATGCACCAAGTTTTCAGTCACCAAGCGTTAACTTTTTTAACTCTAGCGACGCTAAAATGAAATTACCGAACCCTGCTTTACTTTTGAGGCTCACGACCACCGCTAGGGGAAGTTTTGCGGCTTGTGATTGGTCACGAGCGGCCTGTCAATCAACTATTCGACCAATAGATTTTCGCCCCATTGATACCAATGAATGGCCAAACTCTCCCAATATACGGCTCTGGAGTAGCGCAATCTAGAACGCCGCCTCTCGGCGACTAGCGGCGAACGCCCGGAGGTTCCAACTGTGGTCAGAAATGCATGGAGAACGTGAGAAAATCGTTGTTTCTTCAGTACTGTGGGGTTGTACGGAATGGCAATTGTTTTTGACATAATAATGGAACATTTTAGAATAATTTGCGCTAAGTTTTGTGCCCCGCAAGGACGTGACTTTTTTTAAAAAATTGCCTGAGCGGCATCATGCAGCAGACGACACGGCGACGTCACACCATTCACGTGACCCGCTCCGGCCAACCCGAAAGGCCCATCTCCGCTGCGAGCAAAAATCGTCTGCTTCAAACGCCATTGCCTTGGAAATTGCCTTCTCAAAATTTGCACATGCATCCGATATTATTTAAACTTTGATAAATGGTTTAGTGCTTTACTAACTTCACGACAGACTAGTTTTGAAAAGTGTGAACTCGCCGTTCATTTTTTAATCAGCCGTGTTGTGTCGATCTCCATGTATTCTCCCATAGGGCAGGCCGCCTGCTGGAACCCTGAGTACCACGTGACTCGCGCCGAGCCGCTCTGTCGGCCATGTTGTCGGCAAAACACGGGGTTCAAAGGATTGCGCTACTCTGCTCCGTAGGAGCTATATAGTGCTCTAGCTTAAACATGGCTGAACAAAAAGTAAGGGCGCAAACGAGCTGGTGTACATTGCACATGGTTGAAAAAACCCCGAGACTGCGGGTTAGTGTTGTGTCGTTTACCCGCAGTCTCGGGGTTTTTTCAACCATGTACCATAAACATGGCTCCCGTCTCGTCGCACCGTCTGAGAAGTGTTTGTTCGAAGACGGCAGCAACAGCAAGAGCTTGTATTTATGCTGCACGCTGTTGGTGTGGCGATTAAAGGTACGCCGAACGCCTTCTAAATTTTCCAAAGCCTTAAAGAATGACGGCTGAATAGCCGAATTTATTGGCTCGCCTGATCCTGAAATTGCGGTAAAGTACATGAAGAACTTTGATAAGCATTTGAAGGATGTATGCAAACCTTTCTACACCAGCACCATGCTTTTTTTATTTTTTTATTTTCCACGATGACGGAAAGATTGCACGAGCTGCCAAGCGATCGCCGTCGAAGTATCCACGCATCCAAGCAGGCGCGACTTGCGCGTCCGAGGGAGTCCCTAAAGGCTTCGGCGCAAGCACGAACGACGCCGAGAGCTCCGAGGACAGCGTGGAAGCGCAGAACGAGCAGCTCCTACCGACGACCGGCCTACCTCGGTGCCGTTCCTGGCTGCGCCGGAGCCTTTCGGCCGCGGGGTTCGGTTGGTGCGGTCGCGGTCTGCGAGGTTTAGCGAGGCGAGCACGGTGGCATCCTCGGAGTGTCCGGAAGCGAACTCGCTCGCCAGGGATTGCGTACACCCGACGTCTCTGGTCCAGAGTGGCCCGGCGGCCCGGCCCGGAGCCCAAACAGCCCAAAACGCTTGAGTTTTGATGATTCTTCCGTCTCGTGCGAGACCACCGCACCACCGCAACCACCGTGTGAAACCACCGCGAGTAACCGCGAGACTGGCCGCGAGAGCGGAAACGCCGTCATCTCACCGGAAACCGACCTGTTCGAGCTCTCGCGCACCATCTCCGACGATGGAGCTCGCGGAGCGCGCTCCGCCACCGTGCACCGGAAGTGAGACGATGTCGTTTATAGCATCTTCGATCAACTCGCACCGGAATCGCCCTGAAACCAGCACAGTGCACAGCGCTCCTCGGTCGTGCAGCGCGATGTCGGTGCAACATCGAGGACAAACCAGACAAACTGCGCCGCGCCGGTGCACCGGTGTAGGGAGGCTCAAGTGAGGGTGGGTGCAACTGCTAGATCGGCCATCACGGGACATGGACGCCATTTAATTGCTAAATTTTGCTGGGAGTCTATGGGGCAAAGGGTCGTTTTCTTTCCTAACTCAGGTCATAAAAGCCCATTAAGGTGCTTGAATAATTTACACAAGGTATAAATGATTACTTTTCCATAGCCACCAGTTTTGTTGCGATAGGTTAAGTATTTTTTTAACGCGAAAAATGTTAAATTCCGCCATCTTGGACGTTGCTTGTTGTCTGGCAACCTTGCTTTCTCCGCTCGACGTTTGCAAGAAGGAAGCGAGAGAGGCTGCGCCAAGGCGCTCGTTGCTTGCAATGGGAGGCGAGAGGAGGAAAGGCGCATGGAGCAACAGAGTTGCAACAGAGCGGGCGCCTGCTCTCGTGCAGGCAACGCTGGCGCATATCCTTTCTCGAATCCTCTCCCTCAGGCGCCGCCATTAAATTGCAAACGCTCTCCAGGTTTTGAGTTGCGCCCACCCTCACTACAGCCTCCCTACACCGGTGCACCGCGGCGAGCTCCACCTTGCGTCACTTCACGTTTTGTTCGTTTTTTCTTGCGCAGGTCAGCGCACGGTGCCCGTCTGCTGTCAATTTCTTCTATTCTTTTACTCGCGGATTTGACGGTCCCACAGAAATAAACATCGTGGACGTGATTGTCGATGGGGTCACGAAGCGGGTGACAATTCCACATGTATATGTTGGCCATCATTATTGGTTCAAAAAAACGAAACACCAGATAATAGCCGTACCTCGCTGTCATCGAAACGCCTCGCGCCGCTTACCACGAAGTTCGTGCTTTCCGGGCGCTCCTTGCCACCGCAGCAATCGCCAGTAATCACAGCGATGGCGAGAAGCTTGTCGTCTCGCCGTCAGAAGACCCGAGGAAATCATCTAGTGCAGCTGCGAGGCGTGTTCGTTTTTGCAAGATCGCCATCTCGGTATTCTGCGCGTCTGCTACTCCCGCCATCTTCTCGATTCCCGCTCCTGGCCGCAATGCCTGATGGGACTGCCCCCCGGCGCACCGCCGATTTTCTTGGTGCGCGTTGGGGCAACGAAAAGCCGCACCGGGAGGGTGCGCTTCGTTGATCGAGGATGTCTGGTGCGCACCGGTGCACTTGATCGAAGATGAAGGGGCGCACCTCAGTGCCCCGGTGCGCACCGGTGCGGATGATCGAGGATGCTATTAGTTTAGCTCGAGTGCACTCTGACCGCTGGAGCGCGCTCGAGCGCGTTAACTTAACGCGCCCATTTGTTGCCCCTTCGGGCGCTTCGCGACCACTTTTGACGTACGGGAAGCATAGGACGCTAAACACACCAGTCAAAGACGCGCTCCAGGCTCCATAGTACGGGCCGTGTTTCAAAATTGACTCGATTTTATTTTTTTTTAGCTTGGCCGCGTTGGCGTTCCAAAACCTACCCACGTTAACCCGCGTTCTGCGCTTTTCAAATTGTTTTCACGTGACATGACCCGGCGGGGTAACCAGGGTAACTCTAGGGAGCCTTGTAACTCGGATTCCGTCTGACATCTGGCAGGTAGCGTGGTCGCGTGGTGTCACAAAGCTGACAAAGCCACGAATGAACGCACCGAAAGTAAAGTGCTGGTAATGCAGTGAAGCTGAACTCGGACGAGAGCGTGATAGCCCGCCGAGATGTCGGGCAATCGGAAGATCGCTGAAGGGACGGAGGCTCTGCGGCAAGCCGAGAAATTGTGAGCGGGGTCCCTGGTTCGTTGCGGGGGCGTTCATCTCATTTCTTGCGCAGCCTCAAGACTGGATTGCTCAAGTGGAAGCCCGACTGGGACAACGCCGCCGCAGAGTACTGCAAGGCAGGTGGGACTAGAGCGCTCCACGGGCCCGGGCCGGCCCGAGCCCGGTTTGGGTAGCAAGCATTTTCTCGGGCCCGGGCGGGCTCGGGCTTGAACAAAAAATATCTCGGGCCGTACCCGCCCCCGCCGGCCAGGGCCGTGGCTGGGCAGTCTGGTGTGCCGCAAATTCTAAAGTGTCGATGACAAAAAGTGTGCTCATTTGATCCTTTAGGTTCAATAAGAACAAACAAGCTAAATGGAAAATCACGACAGCGCCGTTAAAAAACAAAAGGACGTCTTGCACTTAGAAAGCTTTCACGCGGAAGCCAGGAACATAGTGTCTGCCAGGAACGTAGTGTCCGTACTATGGTAGTTTACCGTCCGACGGCACTCTTGCAGAGCGTTCAAGTGCCGAGCGAAAGTCTCGTATAAAACGAGTTCTCAAAACGTGTTTTTCGAAGCTCCACCCCCTCCCCCGAACTGAACATGGGTGAAGGCGCGCGGAAAAGTATTTTAAAAATTGGAACTCTAAATATGGTCGGTTTGATCACCTGGAAGTGGAAACAGTGGCTCCTCGATTTACTACATTGGGAGATGGTAGATATCGCTTTTATTCAAGAGACAAAGTTATCGACGCCAGAGATGGCCAAGTCATTCGTGCGTGCCTTCGGGCACGACGCTCACAACGAGGTCTTCTGGGTGAACGGCGGTGCTCGTGCGGAAACGGGGGGACATCGCCGTTGTGGACCGGGACCTGGGCGACGATGGGCGCTGCGCGACGGCGGACTGCCCCATCGGTGACCAGCTAATACGGTTTATCTCGGTGTAAGCTCCGAACAGCCTATGCGAGCGACGGGTTTTTTTCGAGACGATGAGGCACATATTGGACACCCCTGGGGACATCGTGCTCGGGGGAGACTTCAACTGCGTTCTCAGCTCTACAGACAGGGCCGGTGTTGTTGCCGGGAAAGACAGAAGTGCCACTACGCTTCGCGACGTACTACGAGACAACGACCTGGTGAACGTTACTTCTAGGTTCCCGGGATTCAGGCCGGATTACACGAGATGGCAAGGAGGGTCCCATGCAGGGCTAGATCGCCTTTACGTTTCCGGCGGACTTCTCACAGGCTGCCTCTTACAGTGTCAAGATGGTGCCCTTCTGGGATCATGGCCTCATCACCACCTAGCTGAGGAGCGACCTGGCGACTGAGCGTCGTGTGAGAGGCTCCTGGAAAATGAACATGGCCATGCTAGACAGCCAAGAGTTCTCAGGGAGGGTGCAGCAACGCCTGGAGAACCTTGGGGGGTGGTGGACGCCTGCACGTGGGAGGCTTCCAAGGAAGAGCTGCAAGAGCTTGCCGAGGCCTTCTCACATGCCAAGGCAACCGAGGCCAGACAGGAAGAACAGGCTCTGACGGGCACACTCCGCATTATACTCAAGGAATAGGAGAAGAGGCCTGGCACCTTTGCTGAGGACATTCGACGCTGCAAGACACGCCTGCAGGAGATGCTGGAGGAGAGGTTGCGGGCGCCCAGGTGAGGAGCCGAGAGCCAAACCTGGAGGGCGAGACTCAGCCCACGAAGATTTTCCGGACCTTCGAAAGGAAGCGCGCACAGACAAATTACATCTCCAATGTGCGGTACGAAGGCCACCTGGCGAGCGGGCAGGAAGAGGTTGCTGCAGCTTTTGAATCGCACTACAAAAGACTCTTTAGCAAACAGGAATGCAATGCCAGTACCCACCACACGTTCCTCTACGAGCTTGCCACCGTCCCGGAAGATATAAAAGACCTGATAAACGCCCCAATCAGGGAGTCTGAGGTACAGCGAGTTATCAAGAGGCTGTCCGGCAACAAAGTGCCCGAACCGAATGGAATTGGCGCAGAGTTCTACAAGAGGTATGCGGACCTCCTCTGCCCCATTCTGGTAGAGGTACACCAAGATACCTTTCAGCGAAAGATCCTCCCTCCGTTCATGAGGGAAACTCTTACGATGCTCATCCCGAAAAAGGCAGGCGACAGCTTTGATCCAGCAGTGACGGACTACAGGCCCATCAGTCTTCTCTGTGGGGACTACAAAATTCTTGCCAAAATTTTGGTGAGAAGGTTGGATCTTGGACTTTGGTTCGTGGTGGGCGACCATCAAGCTTACAGTCTGCGGGGGCATTCCATAGTGCGAAACCCCCACGTTATGCGTATCGTCAAGGAGGCAAGTGGTGAAGGACATCGGCCTTTGGCGGTCCTTCAACTCGACATGAGCCAAGCTTTTGACCGGGTGTCCCACGAGTTCCTAAGGACTGTGCTGAAGAAGTGTGAGGCCGGCGGAATGTTGGACTGGGTGGGCCTCTGCTACCGAGACATATAGACGAGACTTCTCGTCAATGGCGATAAAGGGCGCTCAATACCGATAGGCCACTCGGTGAGACAGGGCTGCCTGCTCTCTCCCATACTCTTCGCCCTACAACTGAAGCCCCTCTGCTGGGCTATCATCCGGGACACAACCATACAAGGACTGCAGATGGGCGATCAACACGTGAAGCTCCTGGCTTACGCCGATGATGTGGCCTTGATTTGCACGTCCAAGGCTCAGGTTGAGGCTGCTTTGCAGCACAATGCGGTATTCTCCCAGGCGTCTGGAGCAGAGGTCAACCGGCGGAAGTCCATCGATGCTTGGCTCGGGGATTGGGCCACGACGCCCAAAATCTTCGGAGACATTGATTGGAGAACAACGGTTGACAGCTACCTAGGAGCGCTGAATGGAGAATGTGGGCCCACGGTGGAACAGTGGCGTCAGAAGACCAACGCCATTCAGGCGAAGCTCTCCCCGTGGCTCGGCAGGCGGTTATCGCTCTTTAATAGAGCGTACGTCTGCAACTCTACTTCATATCCAGTGGTACTCTACTGAGCACAAGCTGCCGTTTGTCCCGAGTCAACTGCCAGTCGTATTCACCGAAGCTGGGTGAGCTTCATCTGGAGGTCGACGATGGAGAGGACGCGGCGCAGCAACCTCTTCCTTAGTTTGGCGGCCGGAGGTCTGGGTCTTGTGAACATGGTGCTGTAGCTCCACGTGCAGCGCTTCCTTCTCTTTAGAGACAGGCAAAACCCCCTCTTTTTAGGTGCCCTACATCACCTCGGCTACCCGTACCTCGGCAGATGGATGGTCAGTACCACAGGTGCCACCACCAGGGGAGCGGGTCTGCGGTTCTACGCAGAAATCGCCGCCTCAGTGGAGTTCCTCCTGGTCCACTTCTCGCGGGAATACCTCCTTGCTGCCAGCGGCAAGACGCTGTACTGGGACACACTCCCCATCGTGCTCTTAGTTCCCCTGTACAGAATGGAGCTGGTCCCCCTTTGCGCAGCCGAGCCCTTCAAGCGGGTGCGGAGGTTCCCTGTCCTGGCATCCACTAAGGACTTCTTCGTCTGATTCCACCTCGAGGTGCTGCCTGTGAAGGTGTGGTTGAACGCGAGGGGTGCTTTTTCCCCCTAATGTACAAACTGCGACCTGTGTGGCTTGAGTGAGACCATACAGCACGTCTTCGTCGAGTGCTCAAACACGTACCTCTTCTGGGACGAACTCAGGGTGGCATTTGGGCAGCATTTTGAAATCGAGTGGCTATCCTCGGAGGTGCCGACAATTTGGACGTAGCCCCGGCAACTGCCCTGCTGTGTCTGCAGTCCACTTGGTTGGCGCACACTGCCATGGCAGAATGTCGCACTGATGCCAGGCCGACATGGGACTACTTCACGTCAAGGCTGAGAGGTGGCTCCTCTCAATTGCCGCGAGAGAGGAATACCACGAAGGAAGGGAGCACATAAAAATTAGACTGGAGGCAAAACAACTGACTCAGGTGAAAATTTCTAACTGGGACCAGTTGGCACCTCAACTGGCTTCAACTGGGAATCAGCTGGGACCAGCTGAGGGGTCAACTGGTTTGAGCCATTCCCAGTTGGAATCAACTGGTTTGACTCCCAGTTGGGAATGGATTGAACTGGGACCAGTTAGGGAAGGAACTGGTTGGAGCGATTCCCAGTCGGTCTTCAAATGGTTTTCCCAGTTCACAATTTTGACAAGTTGGGGGTTTATTGACCTTTGCTAATGAAGAAAACTAAAAATACTTAAATTTTTAGATTTATACAAATAGGGAAAGTTTTAATTACTAGGTACATTTATATACCGTAAGTGACTTAATTTTCACAAAGACCTCATTTTCGCGAATCGCCTACGATTCGGAAGAAATAGGTCCTGTGAACAATTCCGGTAAAATGTAAACACATTGGAATCTGTATTGAGAACCCACCGCGTCGTGAAAATTAGAACCCGTGAATTATTCCAAAACTTCAGCTTTGACCTAAGTCGCGAAATATTGAGCCCGCAAAAAATAAGTCGTTTACAGTATTTATAAAAATAATAATAAAATTTTAATTAACTAAATAATTTCTTTTCATTAAAAAATATCATTAGTGACAAAATGTGTTTACCTAAATGAGCATTTAGTGCATTATTAAAACATATTAAAACATTTATTTAAATACCTACAGTATTTTTTTTTTCGTCTAATAAATAAATTTATCTTTTGGCCAATCGGAGCTAGCCGGCCATCGTGGCACACAGGTGCGGATTAGTGGTACGTGCTGTCGATAGATGGCGCTGCGTATGCGACCAACGTAAGACCAATGCCGGACGGACCTGTGGCGGCGAAGCAGCGTGAATGCAGGTGGGGGTGTGTGTTACCGAGCTCCTCAGTGATACACGCGCCGTCCGACTCTCTTTCGGAGGTCACTTGTAGGCGCAAGTGGAGTGCCGTCGGACAGCACTGTAGACACAGCCTAAAAGGAAACGTATAGATTTAACCGGCATAGTGGGAAAGTGTGGTCAAGAAAAAGAGAGCACTCCAGTCACAGGGTACAACTTTAGCGTCTTTTTCTTCTGCTTTTCAAACTAAAAAAAGAAAAATGTAAGTTTGATTTTGCATTGTGTGCAGGGAGAATCACTATGCCACCAAAGATAAGCTAACTTTAGATAATTTTATTCTTATACAACCTTTTGAAGATGCACTGGCCTGATTTTGATTGTTTCTTCGCAAAAACATGTAGAGAGGGAAGGAAGTTCTCTGTGGAACAAATTTAACAACGAAATGTCCAATATTAGTTCAAGAAATGCATAAATAAAATCTTGGTGACTTTTTTTTTCTCAAAATCACTTATGAACTGCATATATCGGCCCTATTCTTGACAATACATAGTATAAGTCGGGGTATTTATCTGTTGGGCTCAGGCTGGGCTCAGGTTTATATATTTAAAAAAAAAAAAGAAAAGATTGCTGGGCTCGGGCTGGGCACTCAAGCTTCTGTCTAAAAATTCTGCCGGGCCCGGGCAGTGTCTCTTCCGGGCTGGGTCGGGCCGGGCCTGGTAATTCCGGCCCGTGCAGTGCTCTAGGTGGGACCTTTGGATGCCAAAGCCCGAGCGGCCGCCTCACTCAACCCCTTGTTTCAGCGACGGCTTTCAAGGGGGCCAAGGCATTGCAGCAGTGCAAGGACGCACACCTCAAAGCGGCCGAGTGCTACCTCAAGAACGGCTCGTATCCTTCGAGGCATGTTCTCGCCCGTACCTCGCAGTCGCGGACCACTCAAATTACACGCTCCGAGCCAAAGTCTGGCGTAGGGTGGCGCAGTAGCTTGCCTGCCCTCGCCCGCCTGTTCATATTTCCTCCGTCGCCTCCAAAATCACCTCCTTCGTCCACTCTACGCAGTTCTATACAGGATGTTCCCATCAATCCTTGGGGTGCCATGGGAGGTGCACAGGGGCAGACTTACCAATAGGCAGAGTGGGCAGCTATCTAGGGTGGCAGAATTTTGGCGGCCAATTTGTGGCTGCCCCCAAATAAATTGGCTCTTCTTTTTAATGTGAAAGCATTAACTGGTCCCATGGAGCGAACCGAAGCTTTGAAGCCGCGCTAAACGCCACCTTCCCCTGTCCCAATGGAGCGAAGCCTGTCGTCTGTAGCAGAAGTCTGATGGATAGGCTCCCATTGTCTGGTGCGCGTCATCAAGGAACGAGACTCCCATTGGCTCTTGCGTGGCATAGTTAAAAAAAAAAACACCAGCAGAGAAGCCCTCTCCATGGCGACGCAGCGTACGCCGCGGCTATGGTGGCTAGAAGGGGAAGTGTGACGGGCGCCGTAAGCGCGCCATGTCGAAGAGGGGCGCGAGTTGCGATGAAAGTTCTTCGCCACCCCGAGGGGCACTGCACTCTGCAGGGGAGTCAGCGATCTCGGCTGATCTGTTAGTTCGCGGGCGTCGGCGCTCTTCTGAGGCTGCTACAAGCTCTGCTGTTTTGGCTGTTCTGCTGTTTTGGCTTTAAGTAATCATAATATACATTAGGCTCATAATAAATAAGAGTGTTAAGATAAGCTCAAAGTAATCAAGAGTCATCCCAATGTCATTTCGGACTAATTCAAGTCGACTGGGTTAAAAGTAACTCGAAGTAATAAAACGAGTAATAATAATGTCAACGGAGTTCATTATAGATCAGGGGTGGCCAAACCGCGGCTCTTTGCTGGCCCAAGTGCGGCCCGCAGATCCCTCGTAAGGGGACCCCCCCCTTCCCGCATTTTCCCAGGAAAAAACAAGGGATTTCAGGCAGAATGAAGCACGGCTCGCGGTTTGGCAGCCTTGTACCTCCATACATACTGTCGTACAGCCTTGTGGACTCATTCGGACAGCCAGACTCTGAACAAAATTTAAACTTGCCCCCCCCCCGTGGCTCTTAGAAGTTTCGTGGTTTCATTTGCGGCTCTTAGGCCTGGTCGGCCTGGCCACCCCTGTTATAGATCATTTGCAGTTGTCATAACACAAAGTAATCAAACGAGTGACCAAAATGTCAATTATGCCGAATTAAAGTCCCTTTGGTCAATAGTAACTCAGAGTAATAAAACAAGTAATTGTAATGTCAATTGAGCGAATAATGAATAATTTTGTTAAATATTAGCCCCAAAAAATTATAACAGTCATCGCAATATCAATGAGGCCTACTTGAGGTGCCGTAAATCAAAAGTAGCTTGGAAGTAATCAAAAGACTACTAATAATGACTGACTGTGGTCACAACCGATAAATTGGTGCTATAATGCCTGCATCAAATCAAAATACTGCCAATGGGATTGGCAGTATGTTTAAATATATAAATAAATAATTACACAAAGTAAACAAGAGTCACCAAATGTCACTTAGTTCGAATAAAAGTCAATTGAATTGAGAGTAACACAGTAAGCAACAGTAATCATAATGTCAATAATCATCACATAAAAATTCAGTTCGTTCAATATTAGCTGAAAGTAATGAAGAGTCATCTCAATGGCATTTAATTCGAATTTATGGCCAATGTGTCAAAAGTAACTCGAGGTAATCAAAAGAGGAATAATAATGTCAACTGAGTTCAATATAGATCAGTTGGAGCAATAGTAGCACGAAGTAATCAAAAGAGTATCATAATTGCAACTGTACTTATATCATCTGAATTGTATTAATGATAAGTCGACTGATAAGACACATTAAACAAAACATTCAGCTAAAATAAATTAGAGTGCACCACAATAACTCGAGGTTACAAAAAGAGTAATAAATATTAAAATTGCGCCTCGTCAAAAGTGGGACTAGTTACTCCAAGTAAACAGGATAACTGGGTGAGTTGGTATGGATTCATAATGGAACAGCGCGAAATTTTGCAAGGACAGAGGAAGGAGCGCTCGTCCTGTCCAGTTCCTTCCTCTGTCCTTGCAAAATTTCGCGCTGTTCCATTATGAATACTCCAAGTAGTCACAATAGTAATCAAATGATCAGTTGTTCCCCCAAAAATCTGAGTGTATAAACAATTATTCTAAGTTACCGAATGTTTAAGCAAAACACAACCATTGATTGGGTGACCACCCGTCCTGCGACTCGCGGGACTGTCCCGCATTGAGGGCACGTGTACCGTGTCCCGCAAGAAATACCAAAATATTCAAAATGCCCCGCATTTCACAGTGTTATAACATTCACTACGCAACTTATGGCGCTTCCGAACAACGGGGCATGGGGAAGCGCGGAGGTCGCTGGTAAGCTTGTGAATCTCAATGGTATGCCATTTTCTATCCAAGCACTGCGGGAGGCGACCGTCGCTCTTGAAGGAGACCGACGGGCATGCGCCGTTGTTCCTCTCTCCTTGATTGTAAAATATTGCAAGCGAAAATTGCTCACCAGAAGTTTATAAATAAGCCATTGTAATCATTTGCAAATCATACTGTGTTGTGCAAAAGGGTGATTGTGGAAAGCTTATTTTTTCTAGTGAAGACGGCCATGCAAGGCAAAGGGCCTGCAACTCCAAATGGTAGAAAAAACAACAACATAAGGTTCTAATTTTGTGTAAGAGCATGTTAGTGTAAGAGTAAGTGTCGACAGGAAACAAAAATTCAAGAAGATTCACTGTTTCTTATTTCCTCTTGATGCATGATGCAGTGCAGTCCTTTCCTTTTGATGCTGCAGTCGATTCTTATGTTTTCAACTTAGACCATTACAATAACACAAAAATATATCACTGCGAGTGAAAATTATTTTAGTAGCTGTCCCGCATTTTGTCGGCAGGAAGGTGGTTACCCTACCATTGAAGGCATGATTGTGCTTGGTCCTGTCTCGTCTTCCTCGTGTCCTCGTGCTTTAGGCGTTTCACATATCCATTTTACTGTGTATACTATATATTGTGGATTAAATTGACTGACCCCGGGATTAAAGTAGGTAGCGTAAGGATTAAATTGTGTGGTGCTTGGATTAAATTGGGTGGCACTGGGATTAAATGGGCCGTCGCTTGGATTAAGATGAGCGGGTAAACCTGTAGTTCAGTGTGTGGCATCTCCGAATCAAGCGGCAATCAAACATTTGTCTGCATGCGCACATTGCCTGGACATTTTTTTGCTGATTTTTTAAAATAAAATACTCGGCAAGCTTATTGCCTGTTCATGCACTCTTCCGAGAAAGAAAAAGACTGTCGAAGCAAAGGCTACTTCAGAAGCAAGTAGTTTTTTCCTTTGGCTTGTATTCTTGATGCATTATCTGTAAGAGTAAATAAAAGTGAGTCATTCGTCACATTTTTCTTCTGCTGCATTCTGAAGCATATGAAGTGTCCATGATTCATAAAGTTATAAAGTAAAAAAAAAAAAAAAAAAAAAAAAAAAGTCCCATTTCGACAGCACAGAACATATATGCAACAGGGTGGACGTTCATTTGCTCCAACTCACGTGTTCTAAATGGAATTCAAAAATAGTTATTTTTCTTTCCTTTCTATTGCGTAACAGGGCGTCAATAGATTCAGCTCTTGAAGAAAACGTCTAATTGTCTTTTATTTGCGTATCAACTATTTTGCTCCAATCCTATGCTCCGCGCGCCAGCGCTAACTCGCCTGCTGCGCGCAGCTCCCTCTATTATTTTCATCGCAACTCTGTGCAGCCCTTTGCTCTCGGCCGCCACACTTCCCCTTCTAGCCACCATACCGCGGCTATGGAGCCTGGAAGCACAGCCCGCTTGGGCAAACTCCGGAGAGGCTGCGCAGCCCAGGCCAGCGCGTCGCGGCCATTTCACGAGAGCGTGCGCTCGGCCGCTACCTTGGCAGTTGCAAAAAGTGGCCGTCCATGCCACTACTCCGCAGACAAACAAAGGGAGCGGAAGAACGACATTTATGCTTTCGCATTCACAACTCATAAGTGCTTAGGTGTCCTCGGACTTCTGTGTTTTTTAAATCTAGCTCCGAATTTCACTGCTTCGGGAATCAAAGCTCCAAATCTAGCTACTTTTATAAATTATAACTCCAAACTTAACTACTTTCTCGTTACCGTGGGGTGCGGGGGTTGGTTGGGGGGGAGGGGAGGGGAGGGGAGGGGAGGGGAGGGGAGGGGAGGGGAGGGGAGGGGGGAGGGTTGGTGGCACTGCTAAAGGTTGCTTAGGGCAGCAAAATGCTAAGTCTGCCTCTTGAGGTGCAGCACGTTTTGTAGAAAGTCCTTTGCTAATGCAGTTCATGTTTGAGTAGAGCTCTTGCAGGCAGAGCCAATGCTACGGGAAAACGTGATGGAAAAACCTGCCAGAGTCTTTTGTGTTTCGGCAGTAGGAAGACCGAGCGAGAGTGTTCGTTAGTCTTTAATTGCAGACATGAGCTACTGAAAAATACCTACTACGAGGCACTTTTGTTGCGCCAGCAAGCGGAGTTTGTTGCACTCTTGCCACGTGGGACTTGGTTATCATCCATCCTGCGATTATTTGGAGTTTTGTCGAATCAAACACATTTGGTCCTGAACAGATTACCTTGGCAGCTCTTGCCGAGATAGTCTGTTCAGGCTATGTATTATGTCGGCTGGCTGGAGAACGGAATGGTTACTTGTCGATCCAAACAAGAGACTCAGTGGTCTTAGGTGAATTCTCCTCAAAGTGGAGGCAGAGGCATGGCTGCTTGACTCTGCTCCTTGCTTTCCCGGGAACCTTGTTGAGTGGCTCTTTTTGCTCTAGCAACAAACTCGGGATGCTCGGCTGGAACCCTGTTGCTGCGCGTCTCCCGACAGAGTGGCAGGAACCGAGCAGCTAAGGCGGAAGTCGGGCACATGATCTGCTGGGTACTCGGGGTCTTAACCTCCAGAACAGTGGTTCTCAACCATGATGTTTCGCGGACCTCTTGTGGGTCGGCGGAGATGATGGAGAACCCTGTTTGTGGGGGAGGGAGGGGAAAGGTACTGGTTAAATATAATAATGATTTAATAAATGGATATGACTAAAGGCTAATGTGAAGTCGACTTCTCTTATTGACATACACACGAGAAAACTCGCCCGAAAACTGAAACATTTCTTGTCGATCTGAAAAAAAGACAACTTTTATTGCCGGGCTTTACCTATGAGTCAGGGTTTCGTGGACCCCTAGAATGCCTTCGCGGACCCCAAAGGGTCCTCGGACCCCTGTTTGAGAACCTCTGCTCCAGAAGATACCACGATTACTTCCTGCCGCTGGATCTCCATCCCACTTAAATGATTGCTCCTTATAAAACACAATGTCCACCACAATACTTGTGCCGACCATGACAGTTTACAAAGAGAGTGCAGCAACCCAGAAGGCAGAAATAACGGAGTATGTCGGTGCCACAATGTTCGGCATGGACATGATTAAAATAATGCGGACTTGACAAGGACAAAAAAGGCATGTTCTGCATCTTTGGAACAAAATTTGGAAGACAGTTCCGGGATGAAATTTTTCCCGGTCCTCATTATTCGTGCTGTTTGTCTCATTAAGCTGCAGCGATTGGCTCTTTGTGCCAGTCACTGGAAAACGCGTCTGCGGATGGCCTGCCGGCGGTTTCACCCTACAAAGACAATGAGAGTGACATTAAAGGCTGACAAGCAGCCATAAAGGAGGAAACCGCTCTTGGATTTCTCTTCTTGAATTCAAGACGGAAGGAAGCCCTCTTCTTTTCTGTGGGAAGTAGCTTGGCGAGCCACTCCTTTTGGTGGAGGAGGAGAGAAGGCATCTGGGAAAAGGCTTTCTTCCTGTCTGTTAGGGGCACTCCGGTTTGTTTGTAAACATGAGTTTGTCTATAGTGACAACAGTCAGCGTGCCCTCTGGCAGTCACCCAGGTCTCTGGTGCTAGCTGCCACCGTAACGGCGGTGCACACGGTTTCGCATTCATGTGGGCACTTTTACACATGTAATTGCCACTGTACGCCTACGGCGACAACTGTCGTAGGGTTAATAGTGGTGCGCATTGCGACGGTTTGTGCGACCCTTGACGACTGCAATCCAGCTTCTTCTCAAGTGGCAAGTGAGTAGCACCTGCGCGTGCCCCGAGCGGGAAGTGCGTGCCGGCAATGAGCCCCCCCCCCCCGTCCCCCAGGCAGCTGGAGCAGGCTGCACTGGTGAGCAGAGACATGGGGGACCTGAACGCAGCCGGAGAGCTGGTGGACCGGGCCTCCCGCCTCTTCGTAGACTCCCGCAGCCCAGACACTGCCGCCCTCACGCTGGAGCGGGGAGCCAAGTGAGATCCACGGGCGTTTGCCCATGCTCCTTCCTTCCTCCTGCCCTTGACTATAGGGGGGAGGGGCTTTTAACTGAGACAAGCAAAGCGAAGCGCTTAATATAGTTAAATAATTGTTGGGCCGGGGGGATCGGTGGCCGAGTGGTCTAGCGCACACCAGCTCGGAGCACGTGGAGCGAAAGCTCGCGCTGCAGAACCCAGGGATCCTGGGTTCGAGCCCCACCCCTGCCCGTTTCGATCTGGATGAGCATCGTACCGGCGTGCGGTCGTGTACCACTACTGCGTGATGCACGTTAAAGACCCCAGGCTAGCGGCTGTACCGCATTGGCTAAATTTCTCATCTACAGCTGGGAGACTCGTCGCCCCTGTGAGGCAGACCAAGTTCTAGGCTGTATAAACACACACACAACCCATTTTTTTTTTTAATTGTTGGGCCCAGAACCAATGACATTGGGTCCGAAACGGAAATGAAAGAAAGTGGGCAAAGTCATGCGCTAGATTTATATAGCGAGAATGAAATGTAATTGAGTTTATCAGCCACATTGTGGAAGCATAGGAGAAACAGGCAGCTGTGGCACGCTTTGGAAAAAAAAAAGGGGTAAGTATAGAAGTATTTTGGTTGTACTTGTTCAAATTCGAAGCATAGTTCTCTCTTCGCACCTTCGTTGCAAAATGGTGATGCTTCGCGAATAAAATGAAACCTTTCGTCATTCGGGTCGATTGGGACGTCTCTTTTTCTGGGTCACTTGAAATGGTGGCACCGAACTCGATATGCTTAAAGGGTGACAATTTGTCTAAGGCACATATTTGTCGTAAAAATTAATGTAATTTGTAAACCTAATTTTTACGACCACTGGAACTCCGTAAAAAAAATATTGAATTAAGCAAGTTGAATGCTCAGTTGCAGGGGCTGTAACGACGTAACAACCTGGGTCAATTTATTCTAAACTGAGTCGGAACCCCCCGGGGGTTGCAACATATTGGGTGATGGGTTGTGAAGCGGCCCGTAAACTTGACAAAATGTGAACTTGCTTCTTTGCAGTGGCGTCAACGAAAAGAAACTATGGGTCGTAGCTCGAAATAGAGTTGGAATTGAGAGTTGCAGTGTCCTCGTTTTGAGGATCCCTGCTCTACCAAACTCACTTCATTTTTTTTATTACGAGCGAAAGGCCATCGTCGAAGCTATGTCGAGACCAGTTATAACGAAGTGATTGGAAATCGGGAGTCACTTCGCTATATCCGCTTTTTCATTATATCTGGACTCCACAAAAGTAACAAGCAAAGAAAGAAAAAGGGGTGTCATGGGGCACATGTTCATCGTGCCTGCAGAAAGTGGTCGAGGCTTCCTTGCATGCGCTTTCTGCTAGATCGGAGCTGCTTCCTTCCAACTGTGAGAAGAACTCCCGGTCAAGGGAAGAGCCTGCGAGCTACGTACGGACTGCGTCGATATCTGCGACAGCCGCCGCAGAAAACACCGGCAGCAGACGGCATTCTTTAGGTTTATGCGTACTTCGTAGAGGATGGCACGTTTTTGTTTCAAGGAGATTGCCTTCCTCTTCCCCGTTGAGTTGCCGGTAGTGCCTGGACTCTCCATCGTTGAGTGGCATTGATTCACCGAATAGGTACTTCAGTGAGGCTAGACTCGCACAGAGAGCGATCATGCTGACCATTGATGCCAACATAGAACACGAAGCAAACAAAGAAGTGCGCACAGCATCAGGTTCACGTTTTGTAGGTATAGAAAGCCTAGATGAGGGTGCAACTGCTAGATGGGGGTCACAGGCTTGTGGGCCGCTCTTGCAAAACGAGTTGCAGCCTGCAAGGAGTCAAAAGAGTTTACCGTCTGCGAACATCTCCGCTTCTCCGCCCGGTTTTCTCGCCACGTTGACCATGCGACAACAACGTATTCGCATTTCGGGAGTGTAAAGATTCTTTCGTGCCTTTTGCAACAGGATCATCGAAAACAAGCATCCTCAGGCAGCAGTAGAGTTCTTCAACAGAGCAGCAGAAATCGTTTCGGTAAGAACCAGGCTTCATTGTGTCTCATCCAAATGGATCTCGTTGCGAACTGCAGTTGTGCTCGTGCTCCGCATCGTTAACGCCAAAAGAGGCCAGTTTATGCTGCAGAGTTTCCATCAGACTTGCAGGGTCCGGGTAGAGCTTTCTTGTAGAACAGGTGTGCAGAGAAGTCTTTAGAATATAGTCGGTAGATTGAACATGGTGCTTCAAAAATAGTAGCGCAATTGACTGGAAGGGCCACGCAACAGTGCGATGCATCTTAGCTCCCAAAATAAAATATTGGGCTTTGTTGTACCCTATTTTTTTTGCCGTATAAGCAATTGAGAAGTCAAAGAAAGTGGTTCAGCGCATTTAACTTTCGGCTGTGCGCGTTGCACTCTGCAAATACCTCGCTGTATGGGGCCATGCTTCCCCTTACCAGCGAGGCTTGTCTCTGCTCAGGTGGAGGACCGGCCCCGGCAGGCGGCGGAATTCTGCGGCCAGGCGGTCCGGCTCTTGCTCAAGACATCCAGGTGCATTGCCCAGACGCCTGTCGCGGCCGAAGGGGGTTCGCCGGTGAAAGGGCGTCTCGGGTTGACTGCTCCGGCAGTCTCAGTTTCGTCACGCCATTTGGGTAAAGCGCGCTCGTGGGTAGGCTGACTGGAAGTTGGCGAGTGGAGGTCCAGACTTCCTTCGAGGACACTGCAAGCTCCCGGCCATTTGAGTCGTCCCGATGACACTGTGGCTTGGACGAATCTAGTTTGTCCGAGAGTTGGAAATGGAGCTGGCCTGCTTGGGGACCTGCATTGTGAGACCTCCTTCGAAGCTCGTCTGCAGGGTTGCTGAAGAGGATGCGGGCGAGCTGAGCTTTGTACGGCACTGAGATCAACAAATAATCCTCTCTGCGAACATTTGCTGGGGTTATTCAAACGTTACCATTGCCAAAGATTCAGTGCTAGATCTCGGACTGCGCAGATTTGAATAAAGACTAGTTGCTAAACTGTTGTTAATCAACTATCTAGAGTGTTGCTAGACAGCTTGAACAATTTTTTGTTTTTTTTTCTGGCGGAAATCCTTTGTGGATATATAATTCCTATTTAAAATTAAAGATGCCACGAACCTGCCGAGGTTTGAGCTCGAAAGATATTGCAAGTTTTGAACTTCGTTAGAGTATGAATAATGATGTTTGCAACCTGCAAGTTTGGGTTTAAAGTTTGGGTTTGAAGAAATCAAATTTTTGTTGCATATCAAGTTAGAAAAATAAAATTATTTCAAATTTCTTTTCAGGTACAGGCTCGAAAAATATATAAGATTTCAAATTTAAGTTAGAAGTCTTCTAATCTCGTATAAAAAATATAATTTTTCAGGTTCTAATAAAATGTTCTTGAATTCATAGTTAAAATTGTGAAATATGTCACAAATTTGACAAAACGTTGGACAGTTCCTTTATGTCGTAAAGACTCCTTCCTTCTCAGTGCTGTGGTACTTACGGTACTACCTACTTAATATTTATTGTCGCGAAACAACCGTCGAGCCGATTGAGCGGTTCAGAAAAAAGCCTCGAGGTGATCCAGTGAACATCCTTCCGACCTCTTCAAACTAGCAGTGATCCAATCAAATGCCCAAAAGGCTGCCACGAAACGACACAACATGCGACACAATGCATGCACGGAGGCACCCAGGATTCCCAAAAACCCTTAGTTGCTGCGGGCAATTATTTTGGGGCTGGACGGCCGTGGGAGGGAGAGAATGCGGGTGCAGCACCCGACACGGCTCCGGGTCGAGGAGCATGCAACCATACTAAACACGCGGGGTGCCGCTTATTTCCCACGTATGCGCGGCTAGCTTTGGGCCGGTCGTAATGCGTTTGGCTTGGGTTTGCTAGGCAGCGCGGGAGGTTTGTGCACGTGCGGACGTCCCCCGAATCTTTAACGACATTTCCCGCAAGAGCCCCGCATGTGCCGAACCTTGCCAAATCCGGACTCGAGAACAGAGGGCGTCTCTTTTGTTGCCTTCTTCCGCTCTTTGGCAGCGCGAGCATGCTCGAAGCTCGCGAGATGCCAAAGGCGGGAAGCTTGCGTTAGCCGAGAGACTTCCCTGCCATTCTCGTCGGGGAATACAGTTGACGAGGTCGAAGCTACGGGTGCACTCGCACTCCTCGAGCACCGACGAAAGCTGCGCCTCACTTCTCAGACTTGTCCGGCATGCAGGTGGGAGGAGGCAGCGGAGGCCATTGGGCGTCAGCGGGAGTTCCTGCGGGAGGCCGGGGACGAGCGTGCGGTGGGGCGCCTGGTGGTGGCCTCCGTGCTCGTCCACCTGGCCCGGGACGACTTTGTGGCCGCGAGCAAGGCCCTCGACCAGGGCGCAGGGTGGGTGCAGTGCATTCTTACCAACGGGCCTGGGACACAGAAATAGGGAAAGCCTGCTCTTAAAGTGCCCGGTCAGGACTCGTACGGGAGTTCTTCGTTGTAACGATATTGCTTTATTAGAATCATCGCTTCGTTCCCAGTTCCACGCGACCCCGATCGAAATGAGTGCCTTTTGTAGCGGATTATTACGAAGGCAATGGTGTCGAAAGCATGCCGGCCTACACGGAGGTGCACGGAAGACCCTGGCATTCTTTCCACGACCGAGACGAATGGCAAACTGGCCGAACGACAAACGGTGACAAACAGTTTTTTAAGGGGGGACATGGCCTGGGAGGGTCAACTTTTGAACCACTGTCTCAGATTGATTCAAACTTTCAGGGTGATTTGAACCCCATTAGGATTGATGGCATCTAAGGTTTCAGTCTTATAAGCCAATTCTACAACATACCCTATGCGTAACAAGCTCCAGAAAAAAGTTACTGTATTAGGAAATAGAATGATGTGAAGTAGAATACCCATAGTGCAAGTTAAGGTAAAAACTAATTGTAGAAAATGCAATTCTAGAGAAAAACAGTAACACCCAAAAAGGCGTTAGCGTTAAAAAGCTTGTTTATATGCTCTAATAAAAACAAAATTTGAATGTTATGTTGAGTACATTTGTAAATTTAACCCAAAAAAACCCGAATTTCGGAATGTTTTCACAAAAAGCCGATTTTTCCCTGACTATTAACTTGAAAAATAGCACCCAATTTTCACCCCCCGAATTTAAAAAAATCAAAAACCCGAAAATGAACAACCCTATAAATAAAGAACACAAAAAACTTGCTCCCTGCTGACTCTGAGGGTGCCGACATGTCGAAAATAATTTATTGTGAGATAAATCCTGCATGTTTATAAATGAAAGTCTCTGAAACCATTCGTTGGAAGTTAATAAACATAAAAACTTAACATTTTTGAAAAAAACATTTTTTTCTGAAAATTTGGAATTCCGAGGTTATGTTGTCCCCCCTTAATCAAACAAAAAGTGAGGCTTGTTCGATTAAATCTATGTTTAGAGTCTCCCGCAGTGTTCCCGTCCACTTTTGAGGCTGCTGTTGGTATTTTTGTGGTCCTCGCTTTTATCAAAATGCCGCTTCTATCAAACTTTTTTCCCATCCGGTTCACTTCTTTATAACGATGGACTCCCGTGTGTTGCAAAAGGCACTTACACCGAGAAAAAACTTCTCTTTTCCGTAATTTTTGGGTTGCCAGATTCATTTTGAATATTGTGATGTGCTCCTCTTTCGGAATGACATGCCAAAATAGAAGCACATTTCAGAAACATTCCTCATTCAACGTGAGCCTCGCTAGTAAACACCGAGCTAACATTTCTTGGGGGAGTGCAGGGTGCGGGGCAAGTTCCTTCTATGACGTACGTCTGCAAACCATGCACATAAATACAGTAATCCCTCGTTCTAACATAGTCATTGGCACAGCAAAAAAAATTTGATATAAGCTGTTGTTCAATAAAAGCGAGAGAGAAAAAAAAAAAAAAAAAAACAGTGCCAGCAATCTTGAAGATGGATGGGAACACTGCAAAACACTCTGACCGTATATTTAATCCAACAAACCTAGGTTATGAACATCTAGTGGCAGCTTTACCGAGTAAAGAAATAATTTAAGTGGAGTTTGCCGACAATTTCATCCAGGCACCAGTTCTCGAACTGCTCCAGGCATCGCAAACACACTGTCACCACCGCTGCAGCCGTGGGGTGTTTTGCGTCTCTGCAGTTGATACACAGCAGCACGGCCTTCATAATAAGCGTGGTCGACCGCCGATACATTTTGAATATTCCGGCTAAAAATGCGTGCATTTCGGTCACGACCACGTTGAACTTCGATAAAAACGATAGTTTGAAAAAGGCGATTTCGTAATAACGACAGATTACTGTATATATTTCTTGGGGATATCTTAGTGTCTCTAGGAGGGATTGCATAGCTTCCTACTATATTTTGGGTCGATGTGCTCAAATGTTAATTATAATGACTCCCAATAAAAATGTGGCTTGCGACAAAAATATTGCGGTAATATTTTTTTTGGGGGGGCGGGGGCGGTAAAATTTATTTTTTAATGTGTCCCTACCCAAGTGCCCATCTAGCAAAAAAGGTATTTGAGAGTTGAATACATCTTTAAAGGCCAGTGCTTGAACAATTTGAAGTTAGCGCGGCATCGTTTGTGGAAGCACACACAATGCGGTAGGTTTTTTTTTTTTAGTAAGAACCAAAATCTTCAGAGCAAGATACGAGGAAATATTATATGAAAGGCAAAAGCCAATGATGTAATCTTTCAATATTAAGTTGAGAGAATGACTCTTGGTGTTCTTTCAGTGTTTGTTGTACTGATACTCGGACGAGTCTTTCAGTGGAACCATATGTTTATTTTCAGAAGAAATTTCAGTGAAGTATATGCTTTATCGCAACAATTAGCCTGCTTCTTTTTTTTAAATGTGTAAAACTGAATTTTCAACTCTGGTACGATAGAGGAAGCAGTATTTTTATTTACAGTAAACTATACTTAATTTTCGCAAGGACCTGATTTTCTCAAATCGCCTACGATTCGCGAAAAATAGGTCCCGCGAAACATTTCTGGTAAAATGTAAGCAGACTGGAATCTATATTAAAATCCCACTGCGTCGCGAAAATTAGAACCCGCAAGTTATTCCAAAACTTCAGCTTTAACCTAAATCTCGAAATATTGAGCCCACGAAAAATAAGTTGTTTACAGTATTTATACTGCAGGCACATGAGGGACCCAACCAGGCGCGAAAAAATTAACATGGCATCAGCCATGTAGCCAGGGGTGGGGCCCGTGGGGCCCGGGCCCCCCCTGATATCTTCCATTTTGCTGGGACCTCCTCTCCCCCCTCCCCCTCATACAGCATTTTGTCATTGGTCGGCCCCTCCCGAAACAAAATCCTGGCTATGTGCCTGCATGGCATGCATAAGCATCAATATGCTCATTCGTACCTAGTGTACATAAGCATTTAGCTACGGGTGGCACTCAGTTATTCGAGCAACGTTTTAGCGAACGCCAAATTTTTATAGAATGACACTGTAGCAAATGGTCGGCCGTCGCGAAGCCGCGTTTACGGGTGGACCAAGTGAATTAACATTTTCGAAATGAACTGCCGCAGATCACCGCCACGAAGCGGCATAAACGCAACAAGGGGTGGGGGGTTAACATGTGCCCCCGTTATTTGTTAAAACTTCGATTTGCTCAAATGGCACTGTTCGCTAAAACGTCATTCGCTCGTGTGACAGACGGGCGCGTCTCCGCTCGTGGCACGTCGATCACGACCGTACCGGACGGTGGTGGTGTGCAGGTTCCTGGAGGGGGAGGAGCAGGACACCCTGTCCACGCTGCTGGAGGGCTGCGACCAGGGGGACCCCGACACCGTGGCACGCGCCCTCAAGAGCCCCTTCCTCAGGCACATGGACACCGAGGTGGGTGATGCCAGGAAGCTACGCTCGCTCTTCCTTCCCCCAGCCACCGCCGTTTGGTTGCCGAGTGCCAGGCAGGCATGCTTGGCTCTAGATTCCAAAATGCTGCTTCCTGAGCTCCCATGTCGGGAAGCTCAGGCGATATTTTATCTCTGTTATCTCCATCGTTTTAATACACTACAACTTTGAGGTCGGATACACTACGACTTTGAGGTCACTCGCAAAGGAAATGCATGAACAAAGGGAAGTGTCTTTCTCTCCTTTGTTTCACTTTGTCACAGAAGTCCTCTTACTCTAAGGTCTGCGGCCGCGTCATTCGGGTAGGATGAATGTTCGTCGATCACGGAGTCGGCGTTAGGGAATTTAAAGGTTTTTTTTGTTTTTTTTTTGGAAATCGATATTAGCCCAAAAAGTGGGGTGGGCGATGACTCGGGATATTAAGGTATATACATTTTCTTTTCATGACAAGTTGTTGGTGGCGCTCAATGAACCGAATATACATCACAAAGGTGAAGGGTTCACCTCAAGGATGGAGAACTAAGGGTGTCCGCAACAACGAAATGTCCCTCAACTTGTCGGTGTGCAAGGACATTTAGAAGTTTCTATCAGAACCAATGATCAGGCTCACGCATCGCAACCAGAGTTTTGCTAGTACATGGAGAATGCAGTGCTTCGGAATGTGGTACCGGTTGTATCTTGGTGACTGCTATTGATGGATTGGTCGACTTGCAGTGATGTGACTGCTGCGCCAATTGCGCCAAACTGCACCAAAGGGCAGTTTGGCGCAATTGCTACATCCTGCTACATTTTGCCAAACTATGGTAATCTGCGCCAAGCCTGCGCCAAAAATCCAATTCCGGTCGCCTTTTCAAACCGAAACTAAACTAAGTACCGTAACTGAGCATGTGTTTGTTATGTGGCGCAAGCAGCCACGTGACACAAAGTACCCTGCTGTGTGGGAGTATTGATTACCTAGGTTTCTCTCGGTGGGCTTTCTTTCGAGAGGGGCCCCAGTATGTAAAAATTCTGCCGCGAAAGAAAGCTGCTGAAGAGAAGTGAGCTAAAGCAAAGAAGGCGGTCGTTGCACAAAGCGCTCCAAGTATGTTTTGACCGTGGCTCGCGATGTCGTGCATCGATGCGCTCAGGTTCTTGTTTTATGTGTGTTTAGCTTTCACCTCGGCTGCCGGCCTGGCAAGCACGCGCCGCTGAACTGTTTTTTGTCGTATGCTTGACAGTTACATTTTGCGCACAAGTTTGGGAATCAGTTGGCGACAGAGCGGAGTGACATGGTTTCGGTTTCGATCGAACAGCCGTTTTCTCTGCTTGCGCGACGAAGCAAGCGTAACTGCAATCCTGCCAAAGTTGCTCTCACGTGCCTGCGAACATGATTGCATAACAGAGGCACCAGCTGCAACGCTTTCAATGCATTGTTTTATGTTTGCTTACTTTTGACGAAAATCTGGCATGTCGGGAATCAGAAAAACGGTGGTAAGCGGTTTTTCGGAATTGCTCGGCAATGCCTAGAACACTACACTTGTGGGATGTCTCAGCAGTAAAAACACAAGCAGCAAGCTCCATCACAACACGTCACGTCTGAACACAACACAGCACAAAGTGCCCTTCGTTTTTACAGCACTTAAAACAAATATTTCTATTTTTCTAAGAATATCTGCTCCAGATTCTACTTTTGCTGCTCCGAAACACTGTTTTGGCTACTCCAAAAGCCACTTTTGCTGCTCCAAAACACTGTTTTGGTTGCTCCAAAGTCCAGATTTGCTGCTCCAAAACACTATTTTGGCTGCTCCAAAAGGGCTTAGGCCAATCACATCACTGAACTTGAGCTAGTGTAGTATTTGCATCGACAGCTTGCCAGTTTCGAGTGTAAATGCATGGCAATTCATACGGAAGAGGAGCATCGAGCGGCCGAGGTAAGTTATGAAAGGTCATTTTCGAACCTAACAGCCATATGAACAGAAAATAACGGTTGCACATAATTAGAAAACATCACAAACTATGTATGTGGCTTTATTAGAATCATATAAGTTAATTGCAATCTACCGTAAAATACCGAGCATCTGCCCATTCTTCATTAAGCGCCCACCCCTCAATTTTGTAACATTGGGAAAATACACGAAGGACATTTCTTTACATATTGTTGACCTAAGAAGCGCTCATCCCCCAGTTTTACGTGATTATCTCCAAATTTGGAAAGGGTGCTGGGGGCTTGCTCGGGATTTTGCCTTAATTTATTGATGAAATACAAGATTCCTCATTACGCCCTGGGTGGAGCACATGTTGGTACCATTCGTGTCTATACTTATCGGTCCGTGTTTCATCATTATTTTAATGTTGTCCGCACCATTTGAGAAGAAAATGCTATTTTAGGAGTTTGTCCCATTAAATTTTAGGCCCGATCGCATGGATTTCGGATTGTCGCCCTTCATGTGGCCGTTAAACTGCTTGTGACAGCACTGTGCTAAACAGACCCGTTCATAAATTTTTACCCAATAGTGACAAAATTATACGAGCCAAGAAAAGACCATATACCGTCTTGGGTTGAATGGATATCACTGAAAGAACTGAAAAATTTAAATATATAAAAATATTTGCATAAAAAAATACTTTCTACATAAAAGCTGAAAAAAAAAAAGAAAAAAAGGTATGTCAAGTTTGAGGGGAAAGAATGCCAAACCTTAAATACAGTATGGACCGCTTACAGCGTAACCGCTTATAGTGCAGGACCGGGTATAACGCGGCTTTTTTAAGTCACCGGTTCGCCTCCCATAGAACTCCATGTAATTGCATACTGCTTAAAATGCAGGCGCGCAAAGGGAAATACTGGTTATAGTGCGGTTTCTGGAACAGCCCGCCGACCGCGCCGACCGACGGGCGCAGCGAGCACGCTTCCCTGTGCGACACTAGATAACGGCGCTAGCCGCAAGCGGCACTTGCGGGGCGAGGAGGTTGCTCGAAGCAGCTCGAAGAAGCGGGGAACGCACGCACGTGTCGTTCACGTGCGTGCGTCCAAGACCAATGCGTGCGTCCCTCCGCTGCGTTGGAAACAACCGCAACGAAATGTTTGCGCGCGTTGCATGCCGGTCGCGGGCCGGCTTCTTCTATCCGCAAACATGGCATCATTGATGATCGTCTACGTAGACGGCGTGGTGGAAGCTCATCGTTCTGTGTAAAAGCACTATCCTCGACTGTGAATTTTCGTTATGTGTCGCTATGATAATCCAGCACGTACTAGAAGGAAAGGTCCACCTACTCTTGGGCGATGTTGTGGCGGCACTCTCAAGACGGCAGAAACGCCCGTGTCGTCGTGTTTGTTTACTTTGACTACAGTGGTGCTTTCTAAGCATTTGTGTTTAACATCGCCCGGATTTCTTATTTGGAGCATTTCATGCCTGTGCTCATGTTGAAGGTATTACTGGCACGTACCGTATAAAGGATGCGAATTTTCACGCGTTTTCATCACCGAAGAAAAGTGATTAAGGCTAGCGATCCTGAACGCTCGCAACGTCCGTCCGCAACCCGCGACGCCGTTAAAAGGCTGCGCCAGACAAAAGTCGATCATTTTGTTTCAAAATGTGTGACACACTTGAGAGAGAAGTGTACTAGTCTGGTGAAATAAAGGCTTTCCTCGAACTAAGCTTTATTTTTCATCTAACATAAAATAAGTTCTTTTACAAAGGTAAGTTGTCTCGTGGCATGTATTTTGGCCTGAAAAATTGATGTTTTGGTTATAGCGCAGTACCGCTTATAGCGCGGATTTTCCGGACTCCCGCGACATATGTTATATGCGGTCTACGCTGTAAAGTGTACAATCAGGGTTCAACCAAGAAGGGAAGAGCTCCCATCTTTTGATGTGGGTCGTCTGCAGGACAGCAAATGTATTGCCTCCAACTCCTGGAACACATCTTCGACTATAGTCAATTACAGGTTAAGAAAAGTTTCCGAGGGAGAGGAGGGTTGGGGAGGAGGAAGCAAACGGAATGCTGGAGAGGAGACTCGAAAACTTTCCTTAACCTATAACTGACTACGTGTGTGTAGAGTTTTATACTCGCGCCATCAGATGTCGCAATCATACGGGTTGGTCGAAGCCTCTATAACGTCGTTGTACAGAAATCGAAGGACCACTTCTGAGGGCGATATCAATGCACCAGTGGGCAACGCATTCCAGGCAGAGTAATCGGACTGCAGTTCTCTGCACAGTTCAATGCGCGGTTATTGCTCTAGAGCGGTGGTCCTCAAACTTTTGAATCTCGAGGATCGCCTACGGGTCTCGGGTTTGACGCAGTAAAGCTTTGCCTGCAGAATTGTAAACTGCAGGCAAAGCTTTTTTTTTGTTGTAAACTGTAATGCACGTTACCGGGAAGTGTAAGATTGCCTCCTAGGAACGCAGTTTGAGAAGCCTCGCCTTAGAGACGTACAATGCTTTCTTGCCAGTATGCCAAGCTGGCCAGGATGCTGGGCCAGCAGGCAAACGAGTCCAAGAGGAAAGCAGCCAAGGAGCCTGTCCCCACGGGAGAGGAAGGGGCGGACCACTCCGAAGAGGCTGAGGCATCGGCCGGCCCCGGCGGTGACTCGGACGACGAGTTTGCGGGAGGCCTGCTCTGATGTGGCCTTGCATGCGGCGGCCTCTGCAACGCGTCTGCCGCGGCTTGAGAGTTGGGGCCGACTCTGTTCATAGGTTCCAATGATGCGATAAAAGGAGTATGGCTGTGAAAAGCTGGCACGACGTCCTACGGCCTCGATCGATGTCGCGTCAGTCTCGAGAAACCCTAGTCCGCCTTTGCCGAGGAATCCTTCCTGGCTTTGGCATTGATGCAGACATCGTAAGCAACGAAGACCCGTCTGCACGCTCGCGTTTGCTTAGGGCCGAGCGCCTTAAAACCTCTTATGACGAGAGAACACGGTCCCTATATACTGAAAAGTAGCCCAATTCTTCTTCTCCCTGCATTTTCCTCCTTTCCACTGAGGGCAATCCTTCTCGCCCTCCTTCTGCACCACGCCCCCGCTGCCATTTTCGTGCGAGGTCCACAAGTCGCTCGGGTGTAAAGACAAGCGTTCTTCGATTCCACTGAAAGAGGACGATTAAAAAAAGAAATGAATGTAGTCCCGTGTATTTTGGGGCATCGACGTGCACTGCAAAAATATATTTTGTTTACCCGTTTATTGCCGCAAGTGCTGAGAGCGGGCACACAATAGAATGCACCTCTTCCTGCAAGTAAATGGACAGTTTTAGTGGACCATAGGCAAGGACTGCGTTGCTAGCGGGAGCTCGTGCCGTCGCTTTGAGCATGGATTAAGCACGAGCCCGCAATCCTTAGCGTACGCCCTACGAAAACTTTCTGTATTCCATCTCATAAGTTGCGTGCAACAGAGGCAAAAGCACAGGCGCAGTTACGCGGCTTTTAGATTTGCTTTCCTTTCGCGAGCGCTTGTGAAAAGAAAGCAAATCTAAAAGCCACGCGGTCGCGCCTGTGCTTTTGCCTCTGTTGCACGGAACTCATGAGATGGGGTAAAGACGCCGTGCACACGCGTCATATTCCAGTCGCCGTTGCTGACTTCTTTTGTGTTGCCCAGATGCCGAGCCACTGAAGCGGGCGTTGACGAGCCTCCACAAAGGCCAATGCTGGGGAGAAGGGCACAGTCAAATCTAAAATCGCAATAACCTGCCCTGCTGTGGTAATGATGAAGTGAAGTAGACGCGAGAAAAAACAAAAACTGAATTTGGTTATGGCGGCACCCCTGTACAGCTGCTGCAAAGCGTCTATAGGATCTTGAATGAAGTGCATTGGCAGACGGCATCACTCGAGTTAGGCAAATAAAAGACGGCACAACGCGTACAAACCCAGGACTTTTTAGTAATTTTTAGCATTACCAATCGTTTTGCAAAACCAGCATGCAGCTTGGTTTACTTCGTACACATTTTGTAATCATCGAATACTACCTGCAGCTGTGCACATGCGCACGGAGGAATACGCAACGTCTGCATTTGGCTACCCATCGAATACACTCATCTCCCTTGGAGGCAGTTGAAACTTTTCAGACTGATCCAATGGCGCAATTGTCTTCGTCGCCGGGATTTTCTTTTCCCATCGGGACGCTAAAAAGCTTCTTCTTTTTCGGAACGGTGTTCATACAATCCACAGCACAGCGAGATGGCGTCGCGTTGCTGCCGAGGTCATGGCACAAAAAAATAAACAACATTTAACCCTAAAATGGCGCCGGTTCAGAGCAGACCACCAAATCGTGCGGGTTCTTGGCAAGGTAACAGTCACGTGTCGTGCCCGATCCAATTGAAGCGAGGAGAAAAAAAATTTTAGAGGCATGGGCAAGGAGGAATTTCTCTTTTCTATTTCTGACAATGGTTTGCACTACCTTTCAGTATATAGGGACCTTAAGGATTTGCAAGATCAAATGTATAAGAAATGGTCGTTCATAACATTGCCAAAAGGCTTTCGAACCCAGAAAGAAGTTGTAAAAAAATATAAAATATATGGGAAAGGAGTGTTCCATGGCAATAGATGGTGCCAGTGTTTTCTCTCATTGTAAAAGGTTTGAGGGTACACGGTTCTAAGATGTTGCAGCCGAAAATACGCTAAAATATAAAAAAAAAAAAAAAAGTTTTTTTTTAAAGGGCCTAGTTGGGAAATATTTTAGTTTAAAACATTCCACATAAAAGTTTTTTTTTTTTTTCAATATTTATGTTATTAGACGCAATTTAGGTGGAGGTCATGGCCCACTCTAAGCCGCACCAACAGGTCACTGGCCCCATCCATTACTACCGGATTGGCTTGGCTGCTCCATTGAACACGCTCGTAAAGCTAGTGTCTCCCTGTCGCGACGTATGGTGGGTCTCGTCTGGCATCTGGCACCACCTACCGGTCACGAGGGCAGACGCTCTGCAACCTCCGGCGTCGTCTGTTATTCCACTAACGTCCATCATCATCTGCAATGCTCGTAAGACGTAGCCGTGAGAGTGGTGTGCCGGCGTCCGTTATTGCCTGCATCTGTCCAATATTTTTCCCTCTCCTAAAATCGTCTCCAACGCTCTCCAAACACGACCGGGAAAGCGGCGTTCTAGCATTCCGTTGTGCACGAGCCACGGTCCAATACAAACGTCTATCAGCGTCTCTCGATGTGCAGTAAAGAGAGACCGAGAGGACTAAAAGAAATAAATCAGCATTTCTGTTCGTTTCTTTTTCGCTTGGCATCCGCAAGCAAGATGGGCAGCCATCGTAGCACACATTTAAAACGTGACATAAAAATATTCGCTTTGGCAGGCTAGCTGCACTGCAACATTCGAGAGCTTACTTGCCTTTCGGAGCAAAATGACGTGAACATACCTGGACAAAATTAATTTGAGACGAACGCTCGATTGCCTCCAGCCAAATAGAGCACTATATAGCTCCTACGGAGCAGAGTAGCGCAATCCTTTGAACCTCGTGTTTTGCCGACAAGATGGCCGACAGAGCGGCTCGGCGCGAGTCACGTGGTACTCAGGGTTCCAAGAGGCGGCCCGCCCTATGGGAGAATACATGGAGATCGATACAACACGGCTGATTAAAAAATGAGCGGCGAGTTCACACTTTTCAAAACTAGTCTGTCGTGAAGTTAGTAAGTCACTAAACACTTTGTCAAAGTTTTAATAATATCGGATGCGTGTGCAAATTTTGAGAAGGCAATTTCCAAGGCAATGGCGTTTGAAGCAGACGATTTTTGCTCGCAGCGGAGATGGGCTTTTCGGGTTGGCCGGAGCGGGTCACGTGAATGGTGTGACGTCGCCGTGTCGTCTGCTGCATGATGCCGCTCAAGCAATTTTTAAAAAAAAGTCAGGTTCTTGCGGGTCACCAAACTTAGCGCAAATTATTCTAAAATGTTCCATTATTATGTCACAAACGATTGCCATTCCGTATATTCCCACAATACTGAAGAAACAACGATTTTCTCACGTTCTCCATGCATTTCTGACCGCAGTTGGAACCTCCGGGCGTTCGCCGCTAGTCGCCGAGAGGCGGCGTTCTAGATTGCGCTACTCTGCTCCGAAGGAGCTATATAGTGCTCTACAGCCAAATGGCTCTGTAGGTATGCTCTCGGTTTTGAAGGCATGGTCGCAATCGTGACAGTTGCAGAATTCACAGAGTAGCAAGACCGCTTTTACGGGAACCAACATCTTTATTCAGTACCAACATGCACTAATGAACAAATCAAGCCAGATCAAGGAACATAGTTGACGTGGCACACTAGGCTTAGCTCAGTCCTGCCACGAAAACAAGCACCCACACAGCGCTTCCAAAGGCACATACTTGCGAGGTTTGTTTGCTGCAAACTAGGTCGGTTCAGAAGATCTTCCTCTAAACACCTCAGTGAATGCAAAATAACTCACTGTGCAGATGGTTTTCAGCTATGTTTGTCATTGTTTCAAACCAAACCGGTGAAGACAGTCTCTGAATACTTTTGAAACAAATGCATGAAAGGATTGAACTGAACATTGAGGATGGGGACGGAAACGGAACCTCTTTTATTCAAAGAAGTTCCGTTTCCGTCCCCGTCCTCAATCTTTTATCCTTTTATGTATTTGTATCTATTCACCAATATGATCGTTTTCAATTATTACTTTTGAAAACAATGACTCTAAGTTATTTGTTTCTCAAACATAAAAAGATTGGCAATGAAAATGTCCTATTACGGCACGGAGATACAGTTTCACAACTAACTTTTCACACATCAATCATCTCTCCAGTCAATGAGATGTAAGCACGGGGCGGGGCTTAGCGGGCTGCGACCTCCACCTTCTTCACCTAAATTGCAACTAACAATGTAAATCTTGCAAAAAAAAAGTTGTAAAACTTTTTTAGATATACGAGTTTAATCTAGGCTTTTTAGAAAAAAATATTTTTTTTCATTTCAGTTTTCTCTTAAGGCACATACCGTAGAACCTCGGAGATACTGTAAATGACTAAATTTTTGCAAGGACCTATTTTTTGCGAATTTCGCGAATCGCCTACAATTCCTGAAAAATATGTTTCGTGAACAATTCAGGCAATATGTGATTGCTGCGGAAGCTACACTCTATTTCCGAAAATTAGAACCTGCGAATGCTTTAAAATTTTCAGCTTTGACCCGATTCGCGAAAATTTGAGCCCGCTAATATTAAGCCGTTTACAGTATGTTTTTCGAGGAACCGCAGAAAAACACTCGTAACCTGGGATCGATAATGTTACAACCAATAGTGGACAAGTGCCATGTTTATTTGAAAAAAGCTAGACTCTTTAAAATGTTCTTTTTGGAAACTTTGATCTAAAATTCGGTGTCTGAACATAAGAGACCAAAACTCTAGACCAGGGATAACGAGGGACGACACCATGCGGAAGGTTCCTCGTCCCGCTTTATCCCTGATCTCGGGGTATTACTACTCTACCATGTTCAGCTCTCACCAGCTCATATGTGCCCTCAATTTCTGTTCGCTGGGCGTCTACAATTGTTACCATGGCAGGCCTTATTTAGGGCAAGGACGGTCGAGGAAATGTGGGATCTCTGAGAACCTGCAAGTGCGCTCTGGGGAACCTCTGGGTCTCTTGGAACCCGACGGTTCCCTATACCCTCGTGGGCTCCAAGAGTGCATTATTGTTCGCATGTAGCGAACAATAATGCACTCACTAGGGAGTCTTAACGAGCCCTCATTATCGTTCGCAAGGTTCGTAGGCGTCTGCTTTATCGCATCAATGCGGAGGCCAGGAGACCTTCGTTGAGGTCAAAGAGAACCCCTGCTCTAGACAATGGCGCCCCCTTCGTTCAACGACTGCGGTGCGACAAACACCCGCGGGTGCGTAAGGCCGCCCTAAAAAGCAGCCTCGCACACCCGTAAGCGAGTCGGTGGACTTATGGAACCGAAGAGTCGGCACCGATTCTCTTCATATCACGAGCTGCAATCATGCGCTGTGGATGTCCGAACGTACGAAGCTTGTGTCCTACAGCCCCATCGATGTCGCTCCAGCACCCAAGAAGTTCACCCAAAGGAGCATAGTACATGTACGATAGGAAGTATGGCACGCAAAGGCTGCTTTATAAAAGTGTCTCCCAGGCTCCCGTGTGCATTATGTTGCCCATTTTTCGTCCGCTGCATCCCATTGTGTAAAAAAAAAAAGGCTTTTTTTAAACAAATCTGCCAAGCTTAAAAAAAAACAAAAAAAAACACCCTGTATATATACTGCTGGATGGGGTTTAGCTTAACATTTTCTTAACCTCTATCTAATGTTCAATTTTGTTAAATTATTCTCGGAATAAAAATGCAGGAATGACTGGCTCGGAGATGTTTGTCAACAATGCGGGCAAGTGGCAAAAATAAAGTGGAACCACACCCCGTTTACTCCCGTCTCATTTGCCCCAGAGCGGGTTTAATGTTTTGCAGTAGTACTTCGTCTGACTTGGGCAGCAAAGCATGATGCACGACACACTCTGTACTCTCTCATTCTTTATGACTGTTGGCAAGTGGGAGCACACTGCCAATCGTAGCTCTGCCAAGGAACATTGTCCCTCTCGGCAGATGTGCTCGCTGCTTCGGAGCCCCCAAAGGGAACAGAAATGGCTGCAGCTAGTCCTGCCAGAAGAGCCGATTGCATTAGTCTTAAAAAATCGTTCGAGCTGCACCACACGAACCACAACTAACTATGACCAGTTGACAACCGTTTGGGTTCCGAGAAGCCCAACGCTGGTCAACAATGTCAACCTTGCAAGCAAGATGGTAAATTATGTCTAGCAGTATGTTCCATTCATACTTCTATGGGAAGTATCCATCAAAATAGCTAGGTTAGCCTTCTGTTGGGAAGCATAAATCAATGAAATTGAACCCTGGGAGGACTACCGGCCACCGCCGACCTGGTCGCAAATGGGTCGAGGAGTTTCCAGCATTCATTTACTTAGGAGGAAAACATGGGGTTGCTTTTCCGAGCTTGTTTTTGAAACTCCGCAGTGGAAAACAATTGCCAACAAAGACAAGTTCTAACCCAAACAGAGTTCAAACTCGATTTAAAACTTGCAGCTTTAGCAGACGCCTTGTGGCACTACCTCTTCACACGGTTACGATGGACGTGTAAAGATTCTCTTGAAGATTCACATTATATGGGCCTACACCCTGTACATTTCTTCCCGTCATATACAGTGCTCTGCCCATTCATAACGCTCAATATTCAGTAATGAATCTGGCACTAAAAAATAAAGCAAAGAGGCTACAAAGCAAAATGCAATGAATCGAAAAGAGGATGGATGTGGTGGCACTTTCTCCGACTCTTGCTGCGACTCAACGGCTCCTGCAAAGGACCGCCGACAAGTCCACGGACACGCATCAAAATCCAGGCATTTTTTTAAGCTACCCAAGGCTTCCATCTCCGTTTGACGACGAAACTCATTCTTGAGCAAAATGTTTCTGCCACCAAGAAGGGAGGCTACTTTCCCAAGCATCTACAATTATTGTCCACCAGCATACTTCGGAACACTCGTCCAGCCCTAACCTAACCCGAATAGAACGGGGACATTGTTACCATCCTTGACGCACAACCACTCTTCGGCCATCGCCTCCCAAGGTTAGGGTAGAGAAACTGGAATGTTTGCATTTGGGCGAGTCGGTACATTGGCGAAAATGATACGGGGACAAGTGGAAAAAAAAAGTTGTGAATTACCACAATAGATGTGGTTGTTCACAGCATCCTTTTCCACTTGTCCCTGTGTCACGGACACAGGGATAAGCCTCCTGGCCTATTCGTCTGGGGCACACCGCACCCGTCCAGTGCACTACACTCTTTCCACTTTAGTACACGAAAGACGGGCAGGAAGAGAAGGAAGCTCCCCTCTAGCCTTCCAGGTACCATGAACCGCACTGCACCGGTGCGGTGCAGGCCCAGACGAATTGGCCATTAGTTTAAGAACAGTGCTATTTTGGCAAAACATCCTCGGCAAACAAGAGATATCCATAAAGCTTTAATTAGGAAGCAGGGTCCGGACAAATGTATCTGTGTAGAGTCTGTGGCAATTTCCAGTGGAGAGTGTCAGTTCATCGAGGGTTTCCACCCGTTTGTTTGAGGGCACATATCCGCGCTTTTGGTGGTAGCTTTACATGGAATAGTCCTGGTTTTGTGTTATGGTGGCAGCCATCTACCAAGACCGGCCACCTCCTGGAGCCCTATGCCTTCACTGAACTGAACAATGACACCACCAAACTGCCAGGAATTTACCATACAAGGCATTGTCTTGGATTACTTGGCTATAGATCAACCCCACTAGAAGACGGACGTTCGCGAGGAGAACTGCTCCAAGGACGATGGCAGAGATTGAACCCTCTGGACTTGGGCGAGCAGCTGGATTTGAAAGTGCAGGAGAGTGTTAGAACATTCCAGAGGTCTGCTACTGCCACTCGAAGAGGGCCAGGTTGTCAGAGTCAAAAAGAGGTAGTGGTCTAAGAAAGCAAGAGTAACCACCAGGACACCTGAGGTTGTACTAAGTTTTAACTGAGAACAACGGGGCTATTTGGAGGAACACACATCTACTACCGATAAGCGAGCCTCTCATGCCGAACACACCGGAAGATGACACCTCGGACGAGGAAACTCCAAGACTTGCCGTCGGTGGTACCACGGTGCCATCGGGACGCTACAGGGCCCTCCTCCACAAAGATCCCAGCGTCAAACAACCACGCGACTACAATATGACTAACTCTGATCAAGCACCTCAATAGGTTTTTTTTTTTTTTTTGTTTGTTTTGAAGTGTTTGCATTATAAAAAAAGCTTAAAAAAAAAAAAAAAACGGGGGAAAGGGGGGGGGGAATGTTTTGCATCTGTATCGTGTAAATGAAAAAGTGCTCATGACATTGACGTGCGCCACCAATTCGTTCAAAGCCTTTGGACTGAAAAGAATGTAATGTCGGCCTGATAAAGTCGTTGGAGAATAAAAAAAACGGGGTCCATATCACATGAGTGAATGACACTTTAGCAAACTGCCATTTGAGTGAATTGACGTTTTAGCGAATAACGGGGATGCGCGTTAACCCACCCCCCACGCTGCATTCACACTGCTTCGAAGCGACAGTCTGCAGTGGCTCATTACAAAAATGTTTACCCACGTGGCCCACCCAAAAACGCCGCTTCGCAGTGGTCGACCATTCACTAAAGCGTCTTTTGATGAATGTTCAACCGAGTGCCACCCAAAAAGCGATGCCCTCAGGGTGGCAATCAGTTTATAGAACGACGTTTCATTGACAGATTTGTATCAACAAATTGTTTCATCGACAGCTCAGATTAGCTTTTTTCTGCGATAAGTTGCACGAGACTGTTGCCGCGAAGCAGCGTGTACGGGTCAGTCAGGCAAGTTAACATTTTTGTAATGAGCTGCTGCAGACTGTCACCGCAAAGCGGCGCAAACGTGCACCCGTGATACACGTAACGAAATGTCCCTGCAGCGTGCAGTTCATGTAACGGGTTTTGATGAAACGTTTGTGTCAACAAATTGTATGTCCACGAAACGATAGGGGTCCTGTGGATAGCACTCAGCCTCCCCAGGTTCTCCAGCGCCAGCTTTCGCTCCGCATGTTCCGTGGTGCGTCAACACGCTGGGGCACTGATCCCCCAATAAATTTACAAACGGCTCCATACGGTTGCTGTCGGATACGTATCACTAGCAAGTGAAGAGAAAGGCGAAGATTGCGCATGAACCGAGCACATGCCACAGGACTGATTTTCTATGTTCTACCGACGCTATGAGCAGAGGTGAACATTCTATGTGTACACTTGTAAATAAAGATTTTTCTTATTGCTGCAAATTGTGAGAAAAGGAACAGCGATGTGCTGGATTCTGCTCCTGCAAGTCCAAGGGAAACATACTTTTCAATTCAATTGCATTGATAATGGAACCCAAGAAGATCCCTCTCAAGCAACATTGCTATGTGCATGCGGAATGTAGCACAGAACTATCCCCCATTACAAGTCGTAGTATCTTAAGTGCACAGTTGCATACTAGTACACTGCACTAGAATACAGGGTAGTGTGGTAGTGTTGGGACCGGCGCAGCTCGCTCGAGACGCATGCAGTGATGGAAGTGCTGCGCCAATTGCGCCAAATTGCGCCAAGGACGCAATCCTGCTACATGTAGCGCCAAATTATCATTTTGCCGAACAATTGCGCCATGCCTGCGCCGAGATGAGATCTAGCAATAAAAATAAAAATTGAAGTTTTATCACAGCGCATGGCGGTACCGCGGTATTTGCCGCGCCGCAACTGTTACGCAAACCGAAGCTGCGAGGGCGCATTATCATCATCATCATTGAAAGGAACAACGTAGCAACATCTGGGACCAGAGGCGAAGCGAAGAACCATCCCACTGAGCAGCCTATTTAAAAAAAAAAGGCCGAGCTTGTGGATGTTTTCAATGTTGGCCCGCCCTGTTCCCGTGTGCTAGCTACCAGCGAAGTCAAAGCTAGCGCGAGCCCAATGCTCTCTGCATTCCTGACTCGCGCGTGGTCTCGTGCAGTGTGGGCACCGTTACGGGCTCCATGCGCGCGCTTGTAGCTTCGGCTGAGCTCGCACCGAAGCTGAAACGAAGTATAGTTGAGTTGCACTAGGGTGCCTCAATGTCCTTCTGTTTAGGGTGATGCCACCCTTTGTAGTACCACATGCCGACAGCACGCGCTCACGGGAAAAATACAAAGAAATCGACGAAAACAAAATGTCGCCGTAGCACAGTCAGCGCCACAAGCGCGTGCAGGTACACGCTCTTTCACGCGCTTCTGAACAAAAAATAAAAATAAACGTGTGTGACAAAATGGCGAGATGCCACCACCCTAAGCAGAGCGCACATGAAGGCACCCTAAGTTGCACCAAACTCTGGATGTAGTGCTGGTAAAGCATCACCGTCCTTTTCGGAGCACAAAGCACTGCGCGACTCGCGCGACTGCGGTGTCTGCTTCGCGGGTGTCGCTTCACTGCAGCGCGTCGGTGCATGCCAAGGAGCGCACTCAACGGGTTAACTCGCCGTAATCCGATCGTGACTTCGCCAGCACGTCGAAAATGAATCGGAATTTTTGAAGCGAATATCAGATATCGCAATATTGGAAGCTGCTGCCCGAATGACAACTCTAATCTGAACTAAAACATTCCACAAAAGCGAGGGTCGTTAGATGCTGCTGCAGATAAGAAGTGCAGGCTGATAAAACTAAATATCCTCTACCATCAGAACTCGGTGTGACATATTTAATTGTATTTTTTATCTGACGAGCAGATAAACTTTATTTTAAAAAAATGTTTTTTTTTTGTGTTTACTTTGTTGATTTTTATATATCGTGTCTTAAAAAGGCGACAGGCGCTGTGTTCCAATAATTGAGATGGGCTTTATATAGCAATGCAGCATTATTTCATTTTCAAGTAATATGCCAACATATGCCGGACCCTGCTCTAAAAGGGCCACTACCTGCTCCAAAACAACATTTCGCCTGCTACAAGGCTTGCTCCAAAAGGTCAAATGGCACTTCCATCACTGCGCATGGTGTAGATCGCGACAGGTGTCGACACCGGTGCAGCGATAGTGTGGTTGTGGTGGTAAGGGTCCGCTTTCAAGGGGTAGCTTTACGGGACCAAGCAATCTCTGGAGCTGAGCAAGCACAAAATACGTAGGAGTCACATCCACGCACCGTGGGGTGTGTGAACAAGAGCATCCGGAACCAAAAAGACATCTGACCATCTTGTTCTGAATGTTTCTCTTGTTGCGCATCTACCGGCACAAGCTCTTGGCATTGAAGGTGCTACAACGGTATGTTGTTATTGGCTATTTTTTTCCCCAGAGGGCATGTGCAGTGGGCATTGGGTAGTACAAGCACCCCAAGTATGAAGCGAGTTGTTAAAGCTGTGGTGTAGCTCTGTAACAACGCCTCTGCTTCGCATGCAGCGGACCCAGGTTCAACTCCCAAACGCCCTACTATGCCAACTGCAACATCAACGGCAGCAAGTGCAACATCAAAAATGGACGTCATTTCCAGTGCTGGGAAGAGCCAATAACAGCTATCGCCGTAAAAAAAACAGCCACCAGTGCCAGGGATCAAGCCCCAGTCATTGGCAGGGAAGCCGAGTGCGCTGCTGACTGAACTATGGATCCAGCACACAGGAATGAGAGGAGCAGAAGCAAGTGGTACGAGAAAGTGCACGGAGCAGAGGGGGGTGGAAAGGGCAAGAGAGGACTAGAAACAGGTGGTGTAAAAAGAGCACATGGAACGAGAAGTCAAAAGGGCAGGAAAGCGCTGTGTGAAAGGACAATCTTCCCAAATCATTTGAAGGAATCTGTGGTTATGACCAGCTGTTGCGACAGGCCGATTGACACCTTTAGAAGACGCTTTTACGGCCCCGGACTACACGCTGCAGAATCAAGCAGCACCATCTTGTCAGCTAGGTACGAGGTGAGCAAGTCCGAATTGAGGTTGTTGAGCTCAGTTTACGCAAACTATGGTTAGCGGGCTAATCCCAGTTTGGTCTGCCGTGTAACTCCGAACAACCGCAGCTGGTGCAACCTCAACCAGGCTCAACTGCGGCTAAGGGTGCCTGTGTAACGGACAGACTCGGAAAGAAGAAATGGTGCGACGGACGACACGTGGATGCGAATGGGACAAGTGCAGACAACAGACGTTTTAATGTGCCAAATATAAGCAAGGAGGATGCGATTAGTAGTGTGAAAATAAAGGATATAAAAGCTTGGGGAATGCATAGTATAAATACAGAACTCATTTAGCTTTAAAAGGTTGTTAGCACTTGTTGCTTCTACTCTAGTCACTGACAACAGGGTTTAGTTGTCCCACCTGACAACGTCCTGGCAATGTTCCCTCGACTAGACCGACAGTCCGTGCCCTCGCGTCCAAAGCGGTTCCCAAGTGGCAACAAATGATGCCAGCCGTCATTTGTTGCCATCTACGTCCCAGGCGGTTGGATGCAGACGGAAAGCGTCGCTGCATTAACGTGAACTGGCAAGCTGGAAAATGACCTGCAGCGAGTGTCTGCTACGTCCGCCACTGCGACGCCACCAGGATCGCGACCGGTGTGATTCTACTGCCGTCAGGCGGAAATCAAAGAACTGCAGACGCGGTAAACGCACCAGTCGGATGTGCGTTCCAGGTAGTGTAGTTTGGGCACAGAAGGTACAAAAGGAACCCCTTTATTGAGCATGGTGCAAAAGCGCCGCCCCCGACGAAGCAGATGGGGAGATGGGCGTCCTTGTGTCCCGGACGTGTCCCGGCGAAGGGTGCTGGGGGCGGGGCGGCGGGGTGTCCTCCTCACTCCTCTCCGGAGCCAGTCCCCCGCTTGAGCCGCCTCTGACGTGGGGACTGCCGGGGCGATGACCTCTTGGGCGACCGGTCTGCGAGAGAGAGAGCAAGTCACCTTTAGAGCGCATCCCCTCGTGGGCGAGCCTCCCGGGGTCGCTGAAGTAACATTTTCTTTTTGAAGCACCCCAACTAGCACGTATGTCGCATAAACGACGTTCCCAAAAATAAACTAGTTTCCACAAATATACTGCGTAAAGCGAGGGACCGCATACATCGGTTTGTCAACATACTATTGAGCTAAGATTTTGTACGGAGGTCGCTGAACAATCGGACCTTCGCCGAAAAAACTTACCAGAGTAAAGAGTGAGAAATCGAGAACTTCATATCCCTACCTACGGCATCCGTCTGCTAACGAAAGCGTGGCCTCTGAGATTCATCGCACGCGAGGCTTTCTTCTGGCCCTTTCAAACGCTTGTTTGCCCAGCAGATTGAGCATGTAGCACTGCTCCTCCAGAGCTCCACAAGATCGGGCCGATACCAGAGGTCAGCATTTAAGGTCGCCCTCACTTACCCTCACCCCCACAGCCACACTCACCGAGGCCCCTCACTCACCCTCACAACTACACTCACCTTCAGCCCCTCGCTCACCCTCATGCTCACAAGTCGCCACTCACCTTCAGCCCTTCACTCACCCTCACTGAACCTCACGCCCTTCACCGCCCTCATGCCACTCATGGCCGTCACGCCCCTCACGCACTCATGGCCCTCACACCACTCACCGCCCTCACGCCTATCACCGCCCTCACACATTCGTAGCTCTCACGCCCCTGATGCACTCGCCGCCTTCACTGCCCTCACACACTCATGGCCCTCGAGCCACTCAGGCCCGCTTCAGATGGGGCAATTTCGCCCAGAAACTTGACGTCGCAACACGGGCCGCTTGCGTTCACACGCAGCAACCAATTGCGGCAAGTTGCCATCATCATGAAATTTTATTTCTCTTGCACTATTTAGACACACAATTATGCGCTATAAACATGTTTTTATGTATTTAAATGTCGTTGAGAATACTAATGCATCTTTCTGAAACAGTTGATTTCCAAAAACGATCAATTGCAAACCAGAGCCAAGTCTTTTGTTGTCATCATCACCGGCACGAGGTATCACATGAAAATATCACGTCCCTGAATGGCTGCAGCTGCTTCAAATGTCTTCGAATTGCTCCGAGTTGCTCACTTGTTTCGAGCCAGACCCGATCTCAGCAATTCGTGTCGATCAAGGGAAAGCTAGGGAACAAGCCACCAGCAACACCAAAATTGCTGAGAAAGTTGCTCCGTTTGAAGGGGGCTTCACGCACTCACTGCCCTTACGCACTCATGGCCCTCACGCCACTCACCGCCCTCATGCACTCGTGGCCCTCACAACCCTCATGCACTCACCACCCTAACGGAACTCGTACCCCTCACGCACTCATGGTCCTCATCTCTCACACACTCGCCACCCTCTTGGCCCTCACGCACTCACGGTCCTCACTGACCCTCACACTCACGAATTTTCCTGGTTCAGAAACTCACTCACCCTCACCTTACCTGTGAAGATGAGGGTGAGTGAGGGCCCTCACGAGTGAGGTTTGCCGAGGTATGGCCGATACAGAACCGCAGGAGGCGGTGCTACGTTTCAGGCCCTGGGCATGAATGTCTCGGGGAAGGCAGCCGTCTACTTTGACTGAGCCACCTCCTGCAATCTGCCGCCTTCACCGAAGTGAGCGAACGCACCAGCAGTTAGACCAGACTGCCAGGGCGTCACCGCATGAAACCTTCATTGGACAGCCCGCAAGGTCACCTTGGTTCACTGGCCGACTTGCCCCAACCGTCCCCGAACTTCCAAAACTCGGGTGGAGGTTTTTGCGGCAGTTGGAGCGAGTCATCCCCATCTCGTATACCGTATTTACTCGCATAATGAACGCACCCCCCCCCCCCCCCCCCCCCCCCCCCCCCCAGTGGGCATCGATGTTTGGACTCTGTTTCCCCACGCGTAATGAATGCACCTTTAGCTTTCGGTTCTGCAAGTTTCGAACTGCGTCCAACTCGGCCAGCCACCAAGGCCATTGAGCCAATTTTCTTTTGCCGCCAAGCGGCGCGGCCAGGCCAGGCCAAGCCGAGCCAAGCATGCATGTGCACGCAATGGCTGCAAGTGCGTTGTTGCGGAACTGATCAACAATGAATCCGAGCGGAGCGCGCACCTAGCAAAGCTGGGGTCGAGGAATTGCTCAGCCTTGGACGTCCTTCACCCACCGGATACATTGATGTTTACAAACACTCCGTCATCTGTGGTCCGCTTTCGGACAGTGAAATCGTCAAAGTGGTTAGGCCTAAAGGCCCGTTCACACACATGCGTCCGTAGCGACCGGAAGGACCGGAACAACCGAAACGACCATTGCAAGGGTCTGCAACCGTCAGTTGCCGTAGCGACGGAGGGACACACGCACGTGTCGTTCCCGACGCAAGGAGTTGGAGCGAGCCCAACTTTCCCCGCTACGTTGGAAACAACCGCAACGACAGACCAATCACAGGTCGAGAATGGGTCGCGCGCATTGCATGCCGGTCGCGGGGCGGCTCCTCCTGTCTGCAAACATGGCGTCGGTGGTGATCGTCGACGTGGACGGCGTGGTAAAAGCTCATCGTTCCGCGTAAAAGCGCTATCCTTGACTGTGAATTTTCGTCGTGTGTCGCTATGACAACCCAGCACGCATTAGAAGGGAAGATCCACCTACTCGTGCGGCGAAGTCGTGGCGGCACTCTCAAGACAGCAGAAACGCCCGTGCCGTCGCGTTTGTTTACTTCGACTACAGTGGTGCTTTCTAAGCATTTGTGTCCTCAAACATCGCCTGGATTTCTTATTTGGCGCATTTCATGAGTGTGCTCAAGTTCAAGGTATTACTGGCACGTACCATATAAAGGATGCGACTTTTTACGGGTTTTCATCTCCGGAGAAAAGTGACTAGTGTTAGCTATCCTGAACGCTTGCAACGTCTATCTGATAACGAAATCATATTTCTACGTTGCTATATCCCTGATAAGGTTACATCGTCTTTTATAATCGTAGAAAAGGTGTGTGGCGAGATTTGTCTATTGGCAAAGTCGTGTATTAGAGTCGTGATCGTCCAAGACGGTCTACTGCATCTTTTTCTTTTCTTTTTTTTTTTTTTTTTTTTATCCACTGTACCCTGCAGGCCTATCATGAAAAAAAAAATATTAATAAAACTTTAGGCTATAGAGATCTGTCTGTCTATATTCTGTTACGGTATTGAGTGGCAATGCGCCCCCTTTTTAGGGGCACCGCTGAAACAGCTGATGGCGGCGTAGAAGCGGTCGCCGTGCTGCCGACCCGCTGCGCTTGTTGCAGTGGTTGCAGGTGTGTGTACGCACGGCGCAGAGCGGTCGTTCCGGTCGCAACGAACGCATCGCACTCGTTGTACATGTCTGAACCAGCCTTAAGAACGGTCGTGTCGCTCTCCGTGCTGGGTGAGCTTCATAGGGTGCTTTTCCTTCGACAAAAGGCAGGCTGAAAGTGCCCCAAGAAGGTTAGCAGTTTAGAGAGGATAGTTACTGTGGTGTGCCCATGACCAGTTGTGGGTGTGCCTCCGTCAGTGGAGACAGGCCACAGTACCCTGCCATGTCATATTGGCACCTAAAATGACATTTGCGCAAAGTGTGTAAATGCAAAAATTTTACCCCGCGTAATGAACGCACCCTCCAATTATGTGTCAATTTTTCGGGTTGTTGTTGTTTGGGGGTTTTATGGCGCAACAGCTGCGGAGGCCACACTGCGCCAATAAATTTTTCGGGTAAGAAATTATGTTTATTACGCATTATTAAGAGAATGTGGCACGAAAGTCTACTGCAGGGAAAGGGTCGAGCCGTGAAAGCCCTGCCGATAGCAAAGTCGTGGCGAGATGACATCCCACATGTAAACGATGGGTAAAATTAAAGATATCACGAAAGAAACAATGTAATTTTGAAGTCCCGAGTGAATGACAAGACCAAAGAACTCAAACCCCTCTTGCCTCCTAGGAAAGCTATCTGCAAGGGAATAATGAGCACGATATTTCGCCTGCTCAGACTTGCAAAAAAAAGGTATTTTAGGATCAGAAACTTTATCGAGACTCGTTACCGACTCGCTATTATTTTTTGTCCAAAATGATTGGACGCGCAGTTGTCTGAAAACAATCGGGCCTGCATTTCTTACTATCTTCCCCTGTTTTCAAAGAGAAAATGCCGATTTCAACCAGCTGCCTCCTTGCAAAAGTAATGAGTGCTCTGGTGAGAAGTAACAACTATCATTCCAACAAACAAGCGCCTTTTTATCTGGGCAGCTAGCCGAACAAGATCGATGATTACGATTTTCGGGCCTGTAGCTAGCACCCACACACGGCGGAAATGGCCTCGACGAATGAAATGGCCGTAGGAGAGCTTTGCACACTAAGAATATCGGAGGCCATTGCAAAAGGCATCCGACTAGCAAAACAGTCGGCAGCACATAAGATTGCAGGCGGCCATGACGGGCGCTTCCCTCGACAATAGCAGACGACGTTTCCGAGCCGGAAGTGATGCACTCTTTTTCCGCACGATAAAACCAGAAAGAAAAAAAAATCACTATCATCAAAACCTATGTCTCGTTTTTTTGACAATTATTGTCGGCTGCATGTCGTCATCTACCTTGCACACTCTGATTCCTCTTTCTGTCTGCAACTTTCATCCATGTTGTTTTGGAGTGTGAGTCATCTTCGTGGTGTGCTCCCAATGAGTGAGTGAAGGATGCTCTTTTGTACGGAGGGAGGACGAAAGAGGTCCGCCGACGTTTTCTCCGGGCTCTTTTACAATTGTGCGCCGGGTGGGGTGCCCAAAACCAGCCACCGACAACAGTGGCATCGTCACCCAAGCGGAAAAACTTTGCTGCCAGCCTGTTGACGCATAGAGCACTGCCGACATTCATCGGCTGTTGCCTTTGGTTAGCACACACAACCACCGTGGCTAGGGATTCCTACTTTTTCATTTCTAACTGGTAAGTGTGCTTAGTGAAAGTTTTATAGCCTTAATGCCACCCCTGTGCAAAATCTTAGCTCGGTACTTTCAGAAACCGACTGATGCCATCCATTCGAACAGCCATCGATCCCTTTGACTCACCCTGTAGGTAGGTTTCAGAATTGTTCCTCACTCAATATAAGTCTTGCTATGCAAGTACTGCATTAAGTTCTATCCAGGCAGTGAACCAAAGAAGGTTTCTGGGATATCAGCGTCCCTTTAAATGAAGCGAGATCTACGAACAAGTGTTGCATACTTTTGTCAATTCTGAAGTTAGAGCGAGCGAAAAGATGAGCCCTTCAAGTCTTAATTGATGTATTATGCTACTTCTAGAAATATCAGCAAAATACCCACAACTGCAGACTTGGACGAAATGAGGCACAAAAACAAGGTGAGTTTATACTCTTTTTTGTAGTTGGTGCTCTTCGACACACATACCGAATTTACCCAAATCTAGGACAACCTTTTTTCTTTCGAATACAACCGAAGCTCTCACAATCGGGTGCACGAAGCTCAAGAGGCAATATTGGTTTTCTGTACTGCCTTTAACTGCTCTCCCGTAAGGGTGGTCGGTAAAGTGTGGGTAACACTGCTTTTTTTTCCCTTCAGTCTGTGTATTCAAACCGGAATAAACATTAACTGATTTATCTAAAAATTCAGCGACAGAAAGGTAACCCCTTTCTGCAAGAACTGAATCGAGACAGTGCCTCGTTTGTCTGCCAGTTCTATCGGGGCTAGACAAATGCCAGCTAATCTTCCTTTCTGTGTGAGAGAAATTGTACCCCTCACACCTCTCCTTTCTTGTCTGTGGGGAGATGTTTCTCTCTGTGTGCAAACAAAGGAAAGGAAAAGGACTAGGGGGAAAAAGTTGCTCCCGCTGCAGACTAGGTGGATACCAAATTTGCTTTTTGGGGTAGGCTTTAGATTGAGCTCATTTACAAGAGCAAGCTTTTGGGAACTCTAAAGATAACTGCCCTCCGACACGACAGTAACTTTTAGCAAAGCTTCCAACCCTTCTGTGCCACTCTAAATGCAAATGTAAAAGAACAAGAACATACAGTTTTTCCCCTTTATGGGGATAAACTATGCAGTGATGGTTGACGGTACTCTGAGGGTCGTGATTACAGGGCTGGAAACCCACGAGCCTTTATGTGCGTCCCAAAGTGTGCCCAACGTGGCATTTAGGCCCGAAGTGAAACAGAAAGCTAGGACGAGAAAGAGGACCGAACTCACTGAGGTCGTTGAGTGTCTCCTTGGGCAGCCAGTCGTAGTCGACGTCGTTCACGTTCTGAGTGCCCATCTCCACCTTCTGCTTGGGAGCCGCCTTCTTCTTCTGCAACCATGCCGCAAGAGAACCTCCCTTTACCACCCAACCACCGTCCTCAGACGATCCACAAACTTCCCCTGTTCCCACCCCCCTAAATTTTGATTGCCACAAGCGGCCCTCCTTTATGTTAAATAAAAAGTTTAACGAGGAAAAAACACTTTTCATAAATATTTGTGGGATTTTAGTTATTGAAGGATCAATACCACCCTTCGGTCTCGAGTATGGACGACGTTTCCAATCAACAATTCTTTCGATGGGTCCACGGTGTTTCGTGGAAGGGTAGACGCACCGAGCAACTTTCTCCGTGGCAGCTTTTCCGAACCCGCAATTTTTCGGATCAGTAGGCTCCAGATGTCGGCGGTGCGACCCTTTAGTTTGACCCCGAGGGAAAAATTTCCCGTGGCGTGAGGAAAAGATCTTGGAGCAAGAAATCCGAGACGGTTGAGTAGCCCGGCAGACGGTACGATCCCGAGGACGTCTGAGCGAGGTGCGTGACGAGGGCTTCCGGCTGGAGGTTTGCCCGCCTCGCTTGGACGGCCTCCCCGGAAGGCAAGACGGTTAGAGAGGGACACTCACGCTCACAGATCCCAGGAACTGCTGGCCAGCCACCAGCAGCAGCACCAGGCACGTCGCCAGGAACATGTACAGGAAGAACCTGGGGGCAGACAGGCTGGGTTCAGGGTTTCGCTCCAATAGATCACTCCCACCAGTCGTATCGCACAATCACGCGATAACGTGAACAGAGCGACGACGCCTTAATATGCAGAAAGCAGCAGCAAAACATTGCCTGTAAGGACTGAACATAGTTTTTTCTAGCCTGCTTTGCAGAATAACACCCGAATCGTGCGTCGTATAAAAAAAAATAAAGTCGACAAATGCTCGAGCAGCTTCAACTCGTCACGGCAAAACAAACACGCCTAACCTTTCGTCCGCTTTCTTTCTTCGCTTTTCCATCGCCTCCTTTCTCTCGGGACCTACGACGTCGGCGCTCTGGATTTGCAGCTTTCAGCTCCCGTCTTTATGCCTCTGCTTTAGAGTGATAAACCCTTTTCGAGACGTACAAGACTGCTATTTACGTGGTCACGTTTTTAAAAAATTTCTCCTTTCGTTATTAACGAGCTTTGTGCGAGTTGCTACAGAAATTGAAACGCGTTCAATGCCCGCAAAAGGAAGTGTCTCTGCATGTGCCACGCATTTCGGGGAGATTTGAAACGATTCACCGAGTCGCCCATAAAGAAATCTCTATGCGTTTCACCGCACCTTAATGCACAAGGCCGACGACGTACGGTTTAGACAACGCGCCCCTAATGCCCCGCTATGCTGCTACCGAGTCCGACACGCTTTCGGATGGCCTTCGCTGCACGCTATCTATGGAAAGCCGTGCAACCAAGGAGTTCCATAGCCCCTCGAGCTTAAGAAACGCCGCAGATCTCATTGCCTTTGCGCTTCGTTCCTGGTCGTTCTTGTCGGCCTATGGCGCAGTGTAGGAGCGATGAAACAACACTTAGGAACCAGGCTGCGTGGGACCCAGTGTGCCGGCAACCTTCCGGCGACCAAAGCGTCCCGCACACTCACGTCTCTCCGTCCAGGCCTTCATCCACCTCCACCACTTCCACAGTCTCATTGAAGACGGCGTCCAGGTAGGGGGCCCCGTCCTGCTGACAAGCAACCTCCATCAGCGACCGTCGGTACATTCCAGGCACCCAAAGAAGGCCAAACAGGGACGTCACCAAGAGGTGCTTCCTAGTCCCGCCACGGTTCTTACACTACCTGGTCTGGAATCTTCTCGCCGCAGTATAGAAAAGGTTTTCTTGGTGAGAAATTAAAGCACCGAAGGTGCGCCTTCGACATACGTCCTGTTGGATGGCTCGGAGGACGGACTGACGTGGGTTCGGAGAAGCCACTGCGGACAAAGTTGCTGGAAGTGTCTACTTTTTCATAAAACCCCATGAACCCGTCGAAGATATGAACAATTGGATCTATACTCGAGACTTAGAGGTCGTAATATTTCGAGATAATTGAAATGCCACACGAAGAATGCTACATCCGCCTTAAAAAATTACCAAAAATGCTTTTGTTTTTCACTTCTGTGGCAAAGTTTCCAGACCAGTGGGTAGCCAAGAACCACGGCGTCTGTTAGGCCCTCCCGGGCCGGCAGAAGAGGCAACGCCGGATGTACTCACAGCGTCGCGGTACATCAGGTTGACCGTGAGTCCAAAGGGACGGGCGCTGAAGCTCTCGCTGGCAAAGAAGCTGTACGACAGGGTGGCCTGCTGCTTGGGCTTCACCACCTTGTTGTAGCCAATCGTTGTGAACTGGAAAGAGACGCTCCCGTCAATGCCCCTTCCGAGAGGACCCCCCCCGGATCCTAGGCTCGGGTCGCAACGGGCTCCTGCTATGACAAGGTTACGAGTAAACTGGCGGTTCTCAAACTTTCGGTCATCACAGACCTCCTGACCCGCTCAAAAGCGGGGACTCCCAATGTATTCGGCATCGGAGGTCTTGCATGATGCCATAAAGAAAACTTTTTTTAGAGCTTTTTTTCTTTTTTTATTTAGCGCAGACCGCCATGAACGTTTTCAAGGACCCCTGGGGTTCCACAGAACTACTGGACTAAGTTATAATATATTTTCCAGAAAAGTTTTAATTTTATATGGTGCGGAATATCTACAAATGCAGATTACACAAGGATTTGTGCAGTCTGCACAAATCTGCACTCTTCACCGCAGTAGCCGCCCCCTACACCACCATCTTGCGCAGACAACAAAAATTCCCTAATGATTACCTATCGTGACATGTTTGCAGAACTGAGAGGGAAGCTCCCCGGGAAACCAAAATTATCTTTTTTATGCCAATAAACGAGTCAGAACGATCAAAAGAATGAACATGGGTTGTATAATGAAGGACGAAGATTCTAAATAAACATAGAGCTCAAAATTTCGGAAAAACGCCTTACGACCCTGTAAAAAAAAAACACTACACAGAAAAAAAAAAAAAAATTCTGCAATACAAAAAGTTGATTTAGAAAAATGCCATAAACAATACAAAACTTTCCCAGAAAGTTTCATTTGTTTACACTGCGTACTAGCTAGTTATTTATAAATTATTTTCGGTCCATCGGCGCTATAGAAAAGGTAGAGGTTTGAGCACTTTGAACACGTTTCTCTCCGTTCTACTTTTTGGCATAAATTTTCATTAGGAAAACTATCATTTGGTAACTAGACAAAAGAAAAGGCTCACTCATTGTTTCTTCTAACTGGAATATAATGGGCAATGTAACAGTTGGCATTGTTGTTTTACTTCGTGGATGCCTTTTATAAAAGATGTTAACACTTTGACGACAGCATAAAAGGCAAAAACTTTATTCAATTTTTCGGCGCAATGTTAACATAAAATAAATTGCTTTTTGGAAATTTTGTTGTCACAGTTGCATTCTCCAGGCATTCTGCTGCATATCTAGCGAAGAAAAATGTTGGGTATTACATTAGTTTTTTAATGATAGTTTTCCTAAACACTGTCAGCGTGTTCTTGATAAAAAAAAATGACTATAATTTCTTTCACAACTCACGTACACAGATGAAACTTTGCACTGCATTCTGCCTCGCAAGTGCCAGTATATACCGTAAATTTCATTTGTATAAAGTCAAAGGTTCAAAAGCTGACCCTTTTGGGTAGTGTCCTCCCTTACTACAGGTACACACCACACCCTACGGCCTTGTCCCGTTGTTCTCCGGCTAAGAGAATACCAGCAGTGCACCTGCGCATTCCTATGGATGCACAGGAGCACTGCAAATGTAAACAGGTTGCCGTCTACTCCAATTTGCAACAAAAGGTCGCATAGTCACAGCACCGGCTGAAGCTCCAGCACAGATTATACAAGAATCAATGAAAGAATAAAAACACTTTGGGACAGACAGCACAGTTCTTTGTGAGCTGACTGTCCCCAAGTCTTTCATTATTCTTTCATCAATTCTCGTAATTTCACCAAATTGCTCTTTGTTGGCGACAGCTCAACAAGCGCAGGGTGTGGCGAGCGTGGTAACGTTACTCCAAGTAGACTGCGGCCGACAGCAAGGCCCGCAGCGAGAAGGAGAGAGTGAGGCCCTCACGTTCTGAATGTAGAAGGAGAAGTCCATGGGGTAGCGGAACGAGGCGTCCATGGTGTCCAGCACAAAGTCCTTGCTGCCCTTGTTGGTGAAGCCCACCAGGAAGTGCACCTCCTTGCCTGCGGGCAGCTCTGCACCCCACCCCGCCCTCCATCAACGCTCGGCACTTGTCCTCAATCCCGGAGTGGGTTCTTCGCAAAGCCACTCAAATCTAGAGACCTTCTTCAGTCCGAAATTTGGGGAACTTTATCGCTTCCTCAAACCCCACCATAGTTTTCTCAATATGATAGGTCTCTTCTCATATTGACATTTGTTTGCTAATTGCACAACGGTTTTTCGTCACTGGTAAATACCGCAGCGTTCATTTATTTCGCGCGTGCCAGTTTTGTTTTCTTCACATTATCAGACTATTTGCTTAACTCGACAATCTGGTAGTTTTTACGCATTTTCACCGTTTTCAATACCAATGCCAGTCATCACATTACTTTATTAAAATGTCCTCAAACTAACAAAATTGACTATGCGCTCGATGGCATTTTCGTAACTTATAATATGCGCGACTTTAACTAAAACCGTCGATCAATCGATCGATTCCTCAACCGTTCTCTCCGAAGTAAAGTGCTTTTTCAGTTTTAGCACTATTTTAGTAGGCCCAAGTCACCCATTAATGCGTAACTAGGAGCCAAACTCCCTTTCGTATGTTTATTATTGTTTACAAGTTCCGTAAGCTTTTACAATGACTTATTGCGGTAACACTGGGGCTCGAACGTATCCAGAATAATGCAGGTTCCTCGAGGGTTTGAGAACCGACCATCTATAGAGTGGACCCGACGGCTGGTTAGCCCTCCGAAGGGACCATGTAAATTACTAATTTAGCGCGAAGGTGTAATTAGATGGCGACGCCTTTCTCGTAAAAATGTGGAAGGATGAGTTCACGTGTGGAAAAAGATGACAAAGAATGTCTTTTTTTCAGTGGGTTAGGCCTAGCTCCCAATACGATCAAATGTCATGGGGGGCCATGTCCGAGGCATTTATTTTTCCTTCTTCCACTCACTGTCACAATAAATAAACAATGGCCCAGAATGCTACTCGATGGCTCGAGGCTTGGCAGAACGTCCATCCACAGGGAACAGCTTTTCCTTTCTTTTTGCTTTTGACTCTGATGAGCTCATATTTATCCACTTTAAAATGACCAATGCAGCACCTACGAGCGACTCCATAGTAAAGTGTAGCAGGATACCTTAAAGGAGCTGTGCAACAATTTCAGGGCTTTGCTTAAATAATTGTGGAAGTTGATGCCTGACACTTCTGCAGTGAACTACAGCAAACAGATTTTGCCCGGATACCCTAGTTTTTATTTTAAAAAATAAAAAAAAAATCCAGGTTTTTGCCGCCTCTCAACTTGTACATCGTCTTCCGGGTCATGTGCGCAGTGACGTCACTTGAGTAGGCGCGGGGTTCCGGAAAAGTTCTCTCTTTAGAGCCATCAGCGAGCAGCGAGAACTCATCCGCTCGCGACCGCGTGACCACGTGCTGGCGGGCGCCCCGCGGAATATACGGTGAAAGGAGGAAAGTCTCATCCGGGTCCGGCCATACCCGTCCTTGCCCGTCCGGCGCTGTCCCCCTCCCCCTCCGGCTTCTGGCGGCTATTCGCGGTTTTGTGGACCTAGGATAGATGGCGCCACTAAAACTCCGTATAATAAAAGATTTGTCGATGATACCAGGGTTTTGACGCATTTATATATATGTTGGAACGACACGATTTATAGAAAAGTTACCTTTTATCGAGCAGGTATTCGCACAACTTGCTATCTTTTTTACAACTACCCAAGTGATGTCACGCCGCTTGTTTCTCATGGCCGCCGCTCGTGGCTGCAGGTCGGGAAATATTCAAAGTTTTGCCTCGCTATTACGTGGCGGAATTGCAACATTTCGATGAAAGGAGGTATGTTTCCTGCCATTTGTGACACAGTGAACGACATCAAAAGCAGAAAATGCCAATTCTTTCAACGTTAAAATCGTTGCACAGCTCCTTTAAGAAACCAATTTGTGAGGGTCCTTTCGAAATGCCGGGACCACGCTGTATCGCTACTCGAGTCCCGGCTTAATGTACAGCACCAAAGTAACGAAACCTAGAGCCAGAGATCGCCGTCAACCGCCAATCAAGTAGGCCAAACGAGAGCACTGCTTTGAGCCTTTTTTTCTACCGGGAATTCTCAAACATTTAGAACTCGAGGAACCCTCACCTGCCCTGCAGATGAGCAACCAGTCTTGGCGCTCAAGCAATCAAGCGGTGCTGGCGATTAATGCTTACAAGGCCTTTGAGCCTTGTACGCATTAATGCACATATTTCAAAGGGTTAACAATTACATACAGTGGGTGGCTCAAGTCTGCTGGCTTAAAAAGGAAAAAAATCTTTACTTAAAGCCAGATTTGCACATCGGAAACCCACGAGGTTTGAGGAACACCAGCTTTCCAAGGGAGCACCAGCGCCGTACAGCAGGTAGATGAACTGCATTTTCCAAAACCACTTCCCGCCAAAAATGCTTTCATTATGTTTTGCAGAAACTACTATAGTCAGTGACACACTAAAGGAGCACTAAACCACTTTCCGCAATAGCCTATTTATGGTCATAACTCAATCTATGGGCACTATGCATCCTAAAAAACCAAACGTAACATTTGTGCATGACTGGTTTCTCGATTAAAATTGGTATCAAAGATTGCTTTTATCCTGGAACTATCGGACACGCCATAGGGCGCTGTCGGACGAGGAGGAGGGCTTCTCCTCGGAGCCATATATGAGGGAAGAGTTTGGCCGATGGACGTGGCCCGCTTGACGATTCGTCAACTATGCCACACAAACGCTGTGGCCACGCCCCCCTTCGCATCTTCGAGCCCAACCGTCGTCGGGGTCTTATATCTGTGCACTTGGCTCTTGGTTTTTTTCGACGTACGACTGCCTTATCCTATTTTAAGTAAACCGCTAGAAATATTTATGCTGTCTCATGTTTACTCAGGAACTACAGCAAGTTAGTTCCCGCATACCTTGTCAATTTTCCCTCTGTACATGCAGCGACAACAGCCTGTTTCTGTGCATCTCGTACCCTCGGTGCGCCACAAAAATTTAGATAATTTTAGTTTGAGTTATTCTTCTTTGTTTTTGAGCGGTGCACGACGACATCAACTTTTAATTCGCAGCAGACGATCTTTCGATAGAACTTTTGAGCCAGCAAGCTTGTAGAGAGGTGGTCAATGCTTTACAGAATGCCATCATCACGCGAGATCTTCTGGAGTGCACCCCTGTATTCTAAGAAAACTTTGGATTCAACGCAGTGTTCTTTTTATGGGAATGAACTACGATAAAGATGAGCAAGGTCCCAAAGTATTCAAACATTTCTTTGCAGAAAATTATGTTCGAATAAGTGCAGACTTTCAAACATAAATGCCCAATGATAGAAGCATTACAATGAGCGCCAGCTAGAAGAAAGAGACTTCCACCACTCACTCGACTGGAAGCCCTGCGGCTTGGTGAACAGCAGGAAAGTGTCGCCGTCTGGAGACGGCTTCAGCGGCTGGCTGCCGTCATCCTCCTGCAAAAAAAAAAACACTATCAATTTCCATGGCCCCCGACTGTCGGTCGAGTACAGCTACCGTGCAATTACGCTACTCCAGACAAGATTCACACTCACTGGAGTGTGTACAGTCGGCAACAAAGCTCATACTCTCGGTTAATTCAAAGTTGGTTTATTCCAATTTTTGGTTAGTTCCAATCAGTAGTGCGGGGTTCCAGCAATTATACGTACGAGTCTGCGCAAAAAGTAATTCCAAATTTAAGCTCTCGAACCGGTTAATTCGGAGGATTTTTTTTACATGGTCAAGAAGCCCGGCAAGTCTGGGAGCATGAAAAAGCTTCGCGATTATGCTGACGAAGCTTCTATTGCACCCGCGCACGCTTTGCCACTTTTATCTGCCATGTGCACGGTAGGGAAAGACGAAGAGAGTGCGGCGCGCGACTAAGCCGTCAGGCGGCCCAGCCAATTAAACGGCCAGGCCAAGCCAGCATGGCTGCGGGCACATGCATCACGGAGTCCTTTCTACAGAAATTACGCAAGTGATTGCGGCCGCATGGCTCGTAAGGTCAATAAAGCTTGGTTGGAGGCATTACCAGGCTCTACAAGATGTTTTGTCCATGGAATATACCCATGTCGACAGACGTGCCGCGGTGTGCAGTTCGCTTTCGGACAGTGACACTGTACGAGTGGTTAGGCCTAGGAACGGTCACGTCACTTTCCGTGCCGAGTGGCCGAACGGAAACTACTTGTTACACCACAGACTACAATTTTACCTTTTCTTTGGCCAAGAAACTGCCGAAGAGGTTCTAACAAAGGTTTACAATTCGCAGAACTTAGCAGAATGCTGCGTGTTTTCGTTAGCAGAATGCTGCGCGCCTCAGTTAGCGGAGGCAAGCAAAAATCAACCTCTTCCGGTAAGTACCGGAATAAAACAAAACAGTTTAACTCTTTGTTTTATTCTAAGTATGCCTAATTTGAAGCATTTCACCGTCCTCGTGAGTTTTGAATTATCGGTAGTCGACCGTAACGGCCATGGGTCCAGAGGGTATCGTAATAAATAAATAATCTCGCAAACCATTCTGCATTGCACAGTGAAATGGCAATGCCAAAAGCAGAGGCTGAATCTCTCCTCATTTCTAAACTGTCAACAATTAAAGCCCTGGCTATCCCGTCATTCTGCTGGATCGTAACGCGAGGTTCGTTCGGACTTGTGGCGAAGGAAGCGTACAATGCGCACCATTTTGACGGCACGACTGCCACGCTCCGCAACCTTGTGACAAAACTACCGGCTTTTATCGATTTAAGCCCAAAACCAACACTAAATTACAGAAAAGCATTTTGTTTTAACCCATTCACTACCAAAGCCGGCGGAACGCCGGGCGTGCTGTCAGGGGCCATATTGCCAAAGCCGGCAATTCGCCGGTCTGCATGAATTTCTGCTTTAAAGAGCCGTTCATAGATGGCGTGGTACGTAGAATTGGGGCAGTGTAGTTAGATACATTGCCAACAGATGGCGAAGGTCGTTCTGTTCACTCTGAGCCATATATGGAGAGAGTTTGGTCAGTCTATGATCTCGACGCCGTAACGCTCTCCTCCCAAGTAAGCCAATCGGCATGCGGCGTAGAGCGAGAGGCATGAGTGCATGCGCGTGAACTTCCGGCTGCTGCCACCTCAGTGGGGAGGGCCGCCATCTTCGATCATTCTCCCGGCGGAATGCGTGAGATCGGCATCTAAATCTCGATTATTGCCTTTTATATCGCTGGCTCTGGCAAGAAAATGACATTCTGTTATTCCTCTGTGGGTTAAAAAGCTAATGAAGATTTTTCGGCATATGGCCACAAACTTTTATTCAGGCGAAAAAGAAGTCGGCCCGTAGCAGAAGACGCGTAGCCTCAGCAGAGCTCTTCTCCGACCAGTCTCCGACAGCGTTGCTAAAAAATGGCGGTCGTCTCCTCTCTGCTCCCTTCTTTCTCTCTCGCTCCTTCGGTGCTCTCCTCCGTTTCATTTACTTTTCTCCTCTCCGGCGCCTTCGTCGCCACACCCACTGGCCAAACTCTCCCAATATACGGCTCTGTGTTCACTGTGTTTGAGCTTGTTCTTTTGTGTGTCGTCTTTCCTGCCATATCACTGCCTTCCTGGAGAAGATGGCAGCGTCCAGTGTACGGTGTGGCCTTTCTGAGAATGAAATCAAAGATATTCTCTTTGCCAGCCATGATGACGGGACGTCTGGTGAGGATAGCGATTTTTCGGAGCCTTCTGTCGACGACGAAAGCGATTCCGACAGCAGTTGTGAGTCCAATTCACTAGAAGAGTGCACTGGTTGTGCGACGCCTAAGCGACCGAGGATGGAGTGCTTCAAGATCTTTCATACGAGAAAGAATCCGTGACGGCCTATTGATTTGAAGACTTGAACGAACCACTTAAACATGTAAATAAACATGTCTTCTTGTTTTCTGCACCGAGTTTTACTGGAAAATCTTATTATACAAGCAAAACACTCACGCCTAGTGTGGCCCTGTTTTAGGGGAAAAACATGCGGTACGGACAACCCGGCAGTGCGCAACGCGCGCGGTAGCGAATGGGTTAAGTGCCTGGATAGGACAGACGCCACAAAATTGACTTTCCCACAAGAAAGAAAAAAAATTTCGGCGCGATATTTACATTGCAAAAAACATTTCAGCAATAAGGAAAAAGAAAAAAAGAAAAGCTATATTGGAGTTGACATTTGAATACAAAACAAAATGCTTGTCAGGCGTAAATATCGAGTTAAAATGTTTGCTTTGTGGTATGCAGTCCTTCCCAGGCACAAGGAAAAAAAAAGGCTTTTTAGGGGGCTCCCTTGAGAAGCGCGTCCAAAGGGTGGCCTGACCGGCTCTGTGACTGCGGCGTCCTTCTGGTCTGCCTGGGCACTGTCCTCCACCACCACATCTTCGTCATCGTCGTCAGCCTGGGCAAAGGCTCCTGCACCAAAAGCACATCCTCTTTGGTACAACAACAACCAAAGAGATTCAAAGGGCCACAGCTGAGGTAATCCACTCTGCACACAACTCGGGACGAGGGAACGAGTGAGCTACTATGGCAGTGTAGCAATTGGCCCGAATTGTTTCGGAGCACCCTTTGGAGCAGCCAAAGGCTCATCTCGGTTAATGTGCTGGCCTGTTCAAATACAAAACAATGTGTCTTTGCCTTTCCCACTTTTGTGCAACCTGTTGATAGCATCAATTGTATGGCAGTCTCCATCCCCTCGAATACACAACTAATTGTTTAGTCCAGCGTAGGATCACCAGACATGCTGATTTATGAAGTACAGTATGCCCTAGTATGAATGGTTGTTTGAGGTAGGGAATCAAAGGTGAACCAAATTGTATATTCTGCCGAAATAATGTTGGAATTCTGGACACCCAAACTGATATTTCGTTCAAGTTCTAATGGTTGCAAGAAAAGTGCCATTCCTAATTCAGATAAAAATAAAGTGTATGTCATTCGATTATGAACATCAATGACACGTTATGTTCGGAACTTCACAATAGCAAACACCGGCATGCAGACGATAAATATGCTTTTTTAAAAGAAAAATTTAGCCTAAGTCGTTAAAGGGATGGTGAACCGAAATTTGGATTTAAAAAAACAATGCAAAAACAATGTTTTTTTTAAAATTTGGATTTCAAAAAAACAATGCAGGAGATGTAGGCGGGACACTACAATCCCTACAACACTACTCATAAGGTGATATCTCGAATGGACGGCCGTATTTTTGGAAAAAGAGGTTGAGATTGAACGAGGCGCGTGACGTCAAGATATCTCATTTCCTCCTCTCTTGGCTTCGCCCCTCAAGATGGCGAGGTGGAGAAGACGCGAGGCCATTCCCTCTCCTCGGAAAAACAAGACGTAAACATATGTGCCAAATGCGCCTTCTTTTTTTAAAAAATGTGGTCATCCATTCAAGATATCGCAATATGACTGATGTATTGATGTTTGTAGTATCTTGTTGCACGCTTTTGCCGCTGTGTTTTGTGGAATTCAGATTACGGTTCAGCATCCCTTTAAGGTTATTCCCAAGCTTCTATGCACTGCTCCAGCTAATTTAGTTTTAGTTCACCGACTGCGATATCGAACAGCTGGAACCTATATAACCGTGCTAACTAGACAGAGTTTACATAAAAAAATAAACCTATAGAGCAGTCCATTTAAAACTCGTTGCAATACTCAAGTATACATGGCTTGCAATGACATCACATCAGCCGCCATTGCTCCGTACCATGCTCCTGTTTCCATACCTTCCGCAGCGTACGTCTGGCACCACCAAATTTCTCTTCTTGGCAAGGCTTGCTGAGAAAAACAGAGTCAATGGTGCGAAATGTATGGTGCACAAGGTACGGAAACAGGAGCACGGTATGGAGCAATGGTGGCTGGTCCAGTGCCATATCATGTCACGTGCAAGGCATGTGTACTCGCTGAATCAGATGTCGATGGAACATTGCTCTCTATCATACCAACTGCAGGTTTTTTTGTTTTTTTTTCAAGGTTATTGCGAGGCACAGCTGCACTGTCAGCACACACAAAGTTCCTTTTTTTTTTATTCAAAATACTCGACACCTCTGCACATAAGGTTCCACTCTGGAGGAGAACTTTCTCCTTCGCAAAATACAGAACACTTACTCAGCAGTTAATAACGTAAAATCTTTCAAGAAAAGCCGGCGAACTCCGAATGCACAATGCCGGTGGGGAGTCGCACTAAGTGAGTTTCCACAGCTCAGGCAGGTGGCAGAAATTTCTGGCTGATAGGGATAACGACAGCCGCAAAATGGCGGTGTCCAGAGGGCTCTTTTTGCAAAGGTCTATATGCGACACTCAAAAGAAAGGTGAAGTGACGTTAACCAAATGGAAAGCGAACCATTGAACCCCCTTCCCCCCTTTTTATGACGCCGCGTTTGTTACACCAGTTCATAGCCCTTGCTGGCTCGTGCCGAGAGCGAAATTGACATGGCTATGGTGCCTGGAGCGCGTCTTCGACTGGTGTGTCTAGCGTCCTATGCTCCCCATATATCAAAAATGGTCCCCAAGTGGCAACAACTGACATCACAGTACCCGAAGTGTTATGCTGTTGCTAGTCGCGATTCTGGCGGTTGGTCGTATAAATGCTAACGAGAAGCTGCGAGTAGCACAAGCAAATGCGGGTCTCGCTGTCGTCGCAGCGTCCCAACTTCTGGCTGCCGAAACTTCCGTGGACTGCCACACCGGAGAGCGACCTGCAGCAGAACAGGCGTCTGCCACAAACACCACAGCTGTTGGGACGCCGCCAGGATCGCGACTGGCGACAGCCTGACGCTTCTACGAAGCGGAAACTGAGGGACCACTTTTTTGGACGCGGTAAACACAACAGTCAAAGACGCGTTCCAGGCAGCATAATGAGGCTAAGGGCAGAGGGTCTATTGTCATTCTCACAGCCTGGCGACTCCCTCGAAACAGCTCTTTATTTAAGACAATCTGAAAGAAAACACTGCCAAAGCTAGTGCACGTAGCGACTTGAGTGGCACATGATGTTTTCAACAAGTCTGTCAGAAACTCTACTACTTCAACAGCACACGTTCGTATCACATTACCATTCTATTTCTCTTAAAGGGGCCCTGCAATCATATTTAAGCATCTACCTTTTTTGCACTTTCCACGTCTCTTGGGGTTCGGGCAAGCCAGAGAGTAACTAAATATCAGTGCGTCATATTTTAACTGGACGATGCAGAAACCTCTTCCACCTATGTGGGCGACCCGCGGTGCCGAAAGCGCGCGATATGCGACGTCTTAGGTCCTGGGCTTACTACTGACCAGAGCCGCTAAAAGCTTCTTTTTAGTCGAAATACAAAATATAAGTGGCTTGAACCATTTAAATTATTTATAAAAGTAGTTTTTGTTCACTATTTTAGATCAGAAAAGAAACAAATGCAGTTTAGAAAGTACGGAAACAAGAAATGACCCGTCGACATACCCGCACCAAGCGGTGGAAAAGGCGGCGCATACTAGGAAGGTGTAGTGGGATCAGCCGCCAACAAGCGGCAAGCGCAGAAAGATCCTGGATGTACGCGGCGGCGCTGCAGTCATACGGACTGGAGGATCCGACCGGTTCCGAGCGTTCCCAAGGCCTTTGGCGAGCAGCTTGGCTTGCAGTTTGGCCTCTTGGCGGTATGGCAGTGCAAAGTGGCTTCCGTTCTGAACTGATCTTTCTCCCGTGTTTGCTGTCGTTTGTATCCAATGAAGTGTCACGCCAGATTACCGTTTAATTGTGCAGCAAAAGCAGTGCGAGCCACCCTGACTGCCTGCTTCATACAGCCTATTCGGAACATGCTTTAGTGGCACCCTCTCGAGCCGTCGACACGGAGTGCGGCAGCCGTGAGCGCTCGGTGACCTCACTACCCCTCGTCTAGTTCACGGCCACTCAAGCAACCTATGACGTCAAGAAGGAGGTTATTTTTTGCTTGTTTTTGTAATTTTAATTTGCCTATAACTTTTAAAATGAAGCGAAATTTAACAAAAGAAAAGTTTCATGAAGCTACTACGTTCAGTGCGCTCAGGTTCGGTGCAAATTAAGAACCAGTGAAAAAGTCCTTGCAGGGCCCCTTTAAATTGTTTGAATGTCCACGAGTGCTCAGAAAGCATTGCCAAAATAAACATTAAGCGCAAGGTACTTTTCTTTTTGTTTTCACTTTTGTATATTGTTTGATGCAACTTTAATCTTCTTGGGGTAAAACTCTAGTTACGTCAAACGTAACTCGAAAGCTTGGGGTGATATTACGTTGGACGCAATATTAATGCTTATTTTGGGTTCCGTCGGACGCAATGCTAGAAACAGCGAAATATTTAAGTCTTGACTTGGATATTTTCACACAATGAATTAATCGTAGAGCAGCAACCTATAGGCAAGGTAATGGCATACCTCGCAAACAATCCAATTTTTTAAGGTGGGTTCGACCACTACAGTATACATGGTGCAGTGGTGGTTTTACACACTCTGTATTAACAATCCATGTGGGAATCTACAACTGCACCAAGCGAATAATGTTACTAAGAAGTACTCGTAGATCTAGGCTCCGGGGGCACCGAGAAACACAGCGTCACACAAGAAAAAGTAGCTTACGCTTCTATTTCTGAAAGGCTTCTGCTGTACTACATTTTTACTATATCAAAGAAAATACAGCAGAATGGCGACACGCTACAGACCCCGAAGTGTGTGGGTGTCCTTCTAGTGGCCTCTGGTTCGGAATCGCATTTTGACAATCCCTCATCTCGTCAGCTGGACACCAGCCGACGAGAGCACCCACCAACCCCTCCAAAGAACGGAGTCTTCGGCCACCGACCCCGCTGCTCCGTCATGTCGCCACTCCGAGGTACGCGATCGAAGGCGGTTGTGGACCAACGGAACTTCGTCGCGTATCTTCGCTCTCGACTAAAGCGGATGGCGGGGTACAGCATCGACGTGCACAAGAAAAGGTTCACCAACATTCCAGCTGCTCCAACCGTCCGAAATCGATTCATTCGTAATAGGAACACTCCGATGCCGGTCTTAGCTTCATCACATGAATCGCCTCGCACTGCATGTGCACGAGCAGTCGAAGATGCTTTGAAGCGATGTAAAAACTCCGACCTCATATCTCCGAGGTGGACAGCTGAGCGTAGCAAACAGCCCGGAGGACGCCGCTGCCACGTCCAGTTTGACACTCACCGTTTTGCTGAAATAACGTCGCTAGAGGAACAATAAGAAGCACCAGAAGCATATAACGGGAGAACATTTTGAAGTATATCGTCCAAGTTCACCGAGATTGGGCCGCAATGATCAGATGCCAAACGATTGAAGGGGACGACTACGACATGACCGTCCGGCGATACACAACCATCGCTAAAGGAAAGGCAAACCGGTTTCGAGGCTACGGGTCAGCACACGCTGGCACACACGAGTCGGGAACCCGATATGCGACTGTTTTTCACCATACCCTTATGTCACTCAGTGAAAAGGATTCTAGTGGACCGGAACAAAGTCTTTTCAAAATTTATTAAATTTTAATTGTCCGTGAAGGAACAACAACATTCGTTTACACGTCAGCAGCAGACGCTCCTTCGTGGCCATCAATGTTGTCAGAATGCTTGAAAAAGGCCGCCAAAAGAAGACGGGCTTTCGTAATAAAAGCTTTATTTTGGGCACGGATTCGAACTGAAACCGTAACGAGTGTTTTAGGGAACCAGAACAAAATACGATCGATACCTTGGATCGGGATTCGGGCGTGTGGACCTCGCGCTTCCCCACTCCGCGAATGCAGCAACCATGGGGGGCAAAGGGAAAGGGAATGCTGAAGTCCCTGTATCTGGGAATGCTACAAAGTGATAAGTTGGGCCAGTTGGTTCATGGTTCTTTAAATATTTAAATTTCGAAAAAGACAAAGACAAAGTGGAACGACACAAAAGGCGAAAGGGAATGGCAACGCCACCGCAGTAACGCCGGTAACGCTAGTCTCTAGGGGACGCCAGAGCCGTGGAAACGCCGATTTATTTATTTATTTTACGTGCCGAAAAACAACCATGCAGGTCTTCTCTTTGATGCACCCATCCTAAGGTCCTAAACGCGTCTCCAATCCATGCACGACACCGTGGACTCGCAAGACCCATTACGCGAAAAAGTGGCGGCTCCAACAATTTGCTTATTTTGCCTAACATTTTAACCAGTCGCATTAGTATGCCATCTGGGCCTGTTGCAGTTCCAGCCGGGCTTTACCTTCTGCTTTATCCCATTTCCCTGTGGTCATCCGAGCTGTTTCACTCTATGGTTTCACTTGACTCCTCCTCTTGTGCTATGTTGTTGTTACTGTTCCCTATCCCGATTCGGTTCCAGGTCCCCTCTACCCTTGTCCAGACCCGTATAATCAGTATCTGTTGACAATTTTTTTTTTTTTTTACAGCATAGCTGTTAAGGGTTAGTTTTCCCAGGATCGTGTCCGGTACCAAACAAATGTTGACACAACACTCTGGTTGCCGTTGTTGTTCATAGATGGCGGTAGGTGTCCAGAGTGTTGTGTTTGCCGGTTGTCTGCTCGCTGCTGTCACTCATAGATCGCGGCAACCTTTTCAGCCTCGGCAACCAGGAAACTGGTTGCTGCCATCGCTCATAGATCGTGGCAACGTTTCTTCACGGGATGAAGAGCGGGAATGGAACAAGCGGCAATGTGCGCAGCAGCGCGAATGGTTCCGCAACCGCCACCCGGCCGCTATCGCCTGAAGTTTCACTGTGTCGAGCGCTTCAGACTTCCTTGCGAAAGAAGAGCAGATCGCTCTCCTGGAAAGTCACCGCCGAGAACAGAAGTTACAGCTCCGCTGCTCTAGCTTTCTTCTTCACCAAAGTGGAAAGGCTGAGTTTTTTTTTTTTTTTGCACAACATTAAAGCAAATGAACGAGCATTACCCCGGATCCCACTTTATCAGCTAATTCTCGCAAGGACCGGGAACAACGCCGGGAAGGCTTTTCGGAAATTATCTCAATGGAAATAATCCTCGAAGAACGTCGAACGGCGCACGTTGAGGGCTGCTTGTTGTTCGCTTTCCTTGTTCGTTTCCCGCGAAAGCCGAGCAAAAGGGTAAGCATCCTGAACAGGCAAATAAAGTAAAAACTCTCAAGAAAAGCCGGCAAACTTGGAATGCCCAATGCACGTGACGAGTCGCGCTGACTTGCAGGTTTCCACAGCTCAGGCGGGTGGCAGGAATTTCTGGCCGATAGGTGTCGCTGCAGTCGCAAAATGACGGCGGCCAGAGCTTTTTGCAAAGGGCTATACACAGCTTGCACGTGACGTCATTCTAAGTCATGCCAATAATAGACTCCAGCGAAATCGACGCCGTGTAGCGGCAACGCTGAGAAGCTCAGGAGAGGAGGTTGTTTCGACTCAGTCGTCTACTATCGCTGCTTGGTTCTCGTAGGCAGCATAGAAACATTGTTTCCAGTAATTATTTTTATGCTTCCGCCATGTCATTCCTAGGTGCAGACTAGGAAGTTTCTACCATCAAAAGATTGCTTTGCTTTCATATATGCCAGAGCCGTATATTGGGAGAGTTTGGCCAGTGGGTGTGGCGACAAAGGCACCGGAGAGGAGAAAAGTAAATAAAAGGGAGGAGAGCGCTGAAGGAGCGAGAGAGAAAGAAGGGAGCAGAGAGGAGACGACCACCATTTTTGAGCAACGCTGTCGGAGACTGGTCAAAGAAGGGCACCGCTGAGGCTACGCGTCGTCTGCTACGGGCCGACTTCTTTTTCGCCTGAATACAAGTTTGTGGCCATACGCCGAAAAATCTTCATTTATTAGCTTTTTAACCCACCGAGGAATAACAGAATGTCGTTTTCTTACCAGAGCCGGCGATATAAAAGGCAATAATCGAGATTTAGATGCCGATCCCACGCATTCCGCCGGGAGAATGATCGAAGATGGCGGCCCTCCCCACTCAGGTGGGAGCAGCCAGGAGTTCACGTGCATGCGCTCATGCCTCTCGCTCTACGCCACGTGCTGATTCGCTCACTTGGGAGGAGCGCGTTACGGCGGCGAGATCATAGACTGACCAAACTCTTCCCATATACGGCTCTGATATATGCAACACCAATTTTACGCTGCAGTGCAAGACATTTATGGTGGTTCGCGTTCTGAACGACGAAAATGACCTCCTTTCTTCCGCCATTATGCCTGACCAGCGCGGCCCCTACAGTTCGCGAGAGTTGAGAATATTAAGCGCTGCAAGCGTTAGGCTCAACATGTTAGCTGCACACCTCAGAAGTTGCAGTTCAGAGAAACCAACAAGTAGAAATAACCGGTACCCAGCCATGGCAACACTCGCAAGCTATGTAGACGAATGTCACAATATATTCGCAAGAAATTCAACTTGACTCCAGGGGCAGTGCTAGTGAGGGATCAAGAATGCTAAGGTTGGAGAAAAAATAAATGCAGCATGTCTCCACTAAAATCAAAGAATATCGTATAGCACTTCTAAAATCCACCAAGAATTTCCTCACAAACCAGCAGCAAGGGTCTTTCATTCAAAACAGCGTTTACTGCAACACACAAAAAAAAATACTGGCCAAATGCGGTAAAATTAACAAAATACGGCAGCGTAAAAGGGGCAGAAATATTTACATTTCATTTCATTTATTGGTTCCCCTTAAGACCCACGAGGGGTATTACAAAGGGGGCACATTTGGCAGGACAGTGTCAAAACAAACTTCCTAGTCACATTAGGCGTCGCCAATCTTCCATATTTCAAATCGAATGAAAAAGGGGCGATTTATTTCAAATAGGCCACCGCAGTCGAGGAGCCGTTAGCTGAAGACGATGGGAATGAACGGTTTGAACCTCAACAACCAAGATGCGCTACATGCGTTTCGATGTGTGTTTCTCTCTCCCAGTGCCACATCGCACACTGTAAACATGCCGGCTCTTCATCGTATGATCCCATCACAGTTGTAGAGAACAGAACGAAACACAACTTCGCGGATTGCCTGTCGACGGAGAGCCAATCTTGACTTGTGATGTTAGAGCACATGCGATTGTTTGAAAAAATACTAGGTCTTCCGACAACATTACAGACACACTTTCAGCCACATTTGCGATACATGTGCAAGTAAGCGAGGAGCATCACAAGTCCCGTGCAACCAAAACATTGGCGTGAAATTTAAAATGCGCTGTTGCCAGTGTTGTCAGGTGCTCTCTTGGGCGAAACAAAACCAACACAACCAAAACAAACGCTTGTAGTGCAGTGGAAGGCAATCGGCACCATGCCAAAACTGCGACGTTGCTAGATGTTCTCCGTCATCTCTAACGTGAAAGTCACAAAAAGAGACGGAAACATTGGTTTCAAGCTTTTTTCGATGGCCGCCAACACGGAGTGCCGTAAAAGGAGGAGGGAAATGCATTGGAAACGGCGGCACCTTCCCCCCTTTCCCCCCCTGGCAGCTGCCAGGCTGCCATTTCGTGCTCTCCTGAAGTCAGCATTTAGGAGCGTTGTAGAGGCTGGGCGGCAACTTGCTGGACACATTTTCTGCCCGCTCCCAGTCATTTGCCGAAAAAGTTTCTTAAAAATTTGTGGAAACAGTCGTAGTTGCCTTTCAGAACACATGGCCATTTTTAAGAAAGCACAGCGCAGCAGGAAAAAGGCAGTACTCGTCAAACGCAATCGTTGCCGGTCTTGCGGCATATTCAAAGCTTCCTTGGTACGCCGAAGTAGAGCACTGCACGGGCCGGAATTTCTATAGGCCCGGCCCGGCCCACTAGAGACTAGGCTGGGGCCTGGCCCAAGCCAGACAGAATATTTAATTTTTAGGCCCGGCCCGCCCCGAGCCTGACAAAATTCTTTAAATACGAGCCTGAGCCCGACCCGAGCCGAACAGGTTATAAACATGAACCTGAAAAAGTGTGTAAGCATAAAGCACGCACCCTTTCACTATGCTGGTGGAGTCCATATGTTTCCTTTTATCCACTCAAAGGCTTTCCAAGTGCGAGACACTGTTCTTTTTTTTGGATGGGCACCGTAGTGACTATTGAAGTGGCAAATAAAAATTTCAGCTTAATGCTTCAGTCATGCTTCAGCTGTTCAATATTTCTCCATCATCAAGCCTGTACCACTTCAAACTGACTCAGTGTCACAACAATGACTGTGTGCACAGCAGCTGGCTAGCAGGCATACGTGCGTAAGAGTAAACTGTAACATATCTTTCTAGCCTAGCTGTTGAAGCCACCAAACTATTCGGGAAATGGGGTTTTCAGGTGTGAAAAAGGCAGATGAAGGGTGCCCCCTACCCTTTATTTCCCGACGCTACTGCTAGCTGTGCAAGTAAATTAATTTCAAGAGGTTTTTAGTACAAGCCTGTCTCACTATCTGCTTATTGCAATGTTAAATCATCATAGCAGTAATATATTTTCTTTCCAGTGATGTGAGCATGCAACACAGCTCTATAGTATAAAGATTACACCAACACAGACACCATTTTTTTTTAATGCTGCTACCACAGCAACTAGTGTGTGTTTGGTCATCTTTTCCTTTTGCTGGTTCAAAAAGATAAGGCTTTCTTGTAGGCAGATTGGGCAAAAGAACTCAATGAACATGCACCAACAGTTGGGGAGCTCAATCTAGTCCTAGTAAGCCATTGCAGCTCACCTCATTAAGATCGACACTTCATCGCCACAGGTGTGGATTTTGGACCAGAAATTTTGGTTTCATCCTAGTGCAAAAGAACCATAACTCGCCCATTTGCGAGCCATATGCATGCGCACACAACAAAACTGAATGAAAGCAGTCAAAGAAGGATCACAGAAGGATCACATTCTGAATACAGATCATTTTGCTTGTGTTGGCTCCTCCATCGCCACCGAAACACAGCGCACACAGTTCCTCACAGTGCCTTCACAGATTACTTTGGCAAGTGAGGAACGCATGTAAAAACACAAAATGCAGAAATAAAGCCTCAAAGGATAACATACACTTCTGGCGTGGAGTGTTTCCCTGCAATACGGGATGCGACACAATCATAGGGGAATACTAGACCTTGCTTGTGTATGGAAATCGCAACGTCCTCTATCTTCAATGACATCGGTACTATGGCTAGGAGAGAAAGCGGCACGTCGGCTCCCGACGTGCCGCTTCCTCTTTTAGCCACTGGATGGCGCTGCAGGCGCCCCATGGCGGGCGAGGAGAAACCTCCTTGCCCATTGATTGAGATATACGGATATACTCGGGGACGAGGGGCGCTCTTAGAATTACGGACGCCATAGAGCCCAGGCAAGTGATTGGCGACCAGATCTAAGGCAATCGCGGGAACGAGGCCTGGGGGCCGTCTTTGTGTTTAGCTTAACGTGGGTTTGTAAATAATTGTGTAATGTCATGTGTATTTGTAGTTTAGACTGAGTGTTTTGTAGCGTTGTGTTTTATGTACCAATCAACGGGGAGCGGAATCCCGCTCCCGTGAAAGAACCAGGCTGGACTTTGGTTGTTGATGGACCACACGGGAACTGGCGAATCGGCGGCGGTACGCGAATTCCTACAGTACCTATTTACACGTCTTACCATCTATACAAGGTAGTCTTTTTTTCTGCCAGCTTACCTGATCCACACTGCGGTAAGTGATCCCACAAGCAAATGCAGAAACTGCTGCTCCTTTCTTTCCTCAGTTCTAGCCGTCCTGGTCGGCTTCACTAATTCCCCTACTCACCCCTTTAAAACCAATTCTACTCTCACCTAAGGCCAGATGGTGATCCTTGGACTCAAAAAGAACCCCGAAAAGTCACGCCATGAGGCTTTTCACATGCTGTCTCCTCTCTGCAAGTTCCCTGGTTAGCTTATCATAACCGCTATCAAGAAACCACCTTACCACCAAGACAACATCATTGACAACCTCTCCCTGTCAAAGGTTGTCTACTGTAAATATTTTGGGAGTTCTCTTTTTGTTCAGCCATTAAATAATGAATACATCTGCTTTTACAGCAACTGCATCAAATGGAACAACAGTCATGGAGTTTCCAAATAGACAGAGAAAAACAGGGAGCCACTGTGTACCCTTGTTTCAAGACAATGAAGCAAGTTCAGAGCTCAGGCCTTCTCCTTGTGGCAGCCTTCGAGCTGGTTCATGACAGACTGTATCCATGGCTTCACCTCACGCGTACATAGCCGAGAACCCGTCTATTGCAAAACATCCCTCCAGGTACGTCTCCAAGAAAGCAAATGCAGACCTGCAGCCTAAGAACTAACTATGGCCGACAAAGGCTAAATTTCCAGGTAAATAAAACACCAAATAGAAAAGATATGTCCTTAGATTTCTATCAACCTTCTGATAGCTTTAAATGTGCTTGTAGAAACATGCTCGTGACAAGCAAAATTGCTTTTTCATCTTTGAGTGTTATAAATACTGATTTTTGGGCATATTTCCATTCCTTGTTTCTTGATGTTTAAGTGTGAAAGAAAAACCTTTTATTGTTCTTTTATTAATGCCACTGCATTGTGGCACATTTTAATGTGATGTATTGTATACTTCTATTTCTTGCAGTCCACAACGGAAGCATGTTTTTGTTCCTGGTCATTTTCGATCACCAGTGTCTTTTTATTTTATTTTTCATGGTATATAAAACTCTAATTTTATTATATATTTTTAGAATGTTGCACAAATGTTTCGGCCTATTTTCTACCAACATATCAGTTGTAAATGGTGCATTTTGTACTCTGATGTATTTTCCACTGTGTTTTTGTACTGCACTGCTGAACTGTACGGGGGGGCAGAGGCCCTGTCAGGCACCAAGCCTTTATCTGTGCCCCCCACGCATAACTTTCCGCAAAACAAAAACAAAGAAAAAAAAAAAAAAGGACAGATGTGTCGGAAGAGCAATCTGTGGAGCTGGAATAGCGGCCGACAACTTTGAGCACTCTTCTAAAAGAAGCAGACGTCGCATATGAAGGTGACTCACTAAGTGCCACAATAATGAAGGCCCTACAGTGTCAATCCAAGATACTAAGGGGTTCCTCACACAACGCTTGTACAGGAAAAGAAGGGCCCGACAATGACGTGTGAGCCGTCATTAGTTGTTTGCGATGCATCTGCACTCTTGAAGATGCTCAATTGACCTTGCAAGACCACAGGACCGGTTGTCCAAAGATGCTCATGCTAGAGAAAGCGACACCACCTCTTCTGCCATCTGCCGCTATTATTACTGTAATCCTCATAGATTCGACTTTAAATGAGAAACATAAAACATGCCGCTTTCGATGAACAATCTTTGTAGAATATCGCAATTATGTACATTCGTAGCAGCAAAGTAATACACAAAGATGTTAATCTGCTAAACCCTACTCGCAAGCACATACATGTTGAACTGTGCATAAGCTATAGGGAAACTTGCATTTTCGTGTACAACCATAAAAACGGGCGTTGACCCGTAGACTCGTGCACAGATGTTTATCTGTACATCTGGATGCATAAACATTAGTCCACTAAACCAGTGTTCATTTATCACCTGCCGGAAAAAAAAATAGAGTAGAGGATGAAAAACTTTAATAACTATAATATAAACCCTTCACTCAGTCACACCAGAGGCAGGCTTTGACATATCTGTCTCTGGAACTCTTGAGCTCAAGCCTGTTTGGAATCTTCCTCAGACTGCAGAGGGATGCCGTAGCCGCCACCTCCGGGAGTTTCCACACATAGAACGTCCTGGAGAAAAACATCACTGACAGGTCACATCAAGGCCCAACCTCATTGCACAGGTACATCAAGTTTTGTTATGCCTTGTTTAGACACCTTATGCCCGTACAACCTCCAACGAGCATTAATTGTTTAAAGTGTGTGCACAGAGTGTGCGACAGCCCACTGATACTGAGGCTAATTGCTTGTTTCGCGGGCTCAGTTTGCTTTCCATTGATCCAGATCGGTATTCCCCAGAAGCATATAGCCAAGGACAAATGACCATTTTAATAGACACCATGATGTGCTGCAGGGTTCGTACAACATATTCCAAAACAAAATAAATGAGGGTTTTGAAGGACTTTTTACAGCCCTGTCAAGATATTTTCAAAAACACAATACAACAAAGTATAATTTAGTTTTTTAACTGAACAATAATTTTGACAGATTGCAAACTTTGTTTCCATCGTGCAAAAGCATGTTTCTCAAATGAAATGCAAATGGGGACTTCAAGGCAGCTCCTGTGGCTTTGTTGTTGGGTTAAGGCCTTCCATGTTTTTCTTAGGCTATTCACAACTTGGCAATGCACTGATGGGGTTAAAAAGAGACGTCACTTTTGACTTCTATGGAAGTTCAATCAACAACAGTTGCTTAAAATTCCTTTTCTCTTCCTACTGATAATCTCTTCCTCAGTGTTGCATCTTTCTGACAGTCATATCTGTTGGTAGTGTAATGGACTGTCACGAGATGGTGCCACGCACCCAGCGCTAGGGTGGTGCAGTCGCTGTTTCTTCCTTTTTAGCCCCTTTTTGTATTCCCCTTGGCACAATAAACCATATGACAGCTGTGTGTCGTTTCTTGGCTGATGCCAAACCACTCCATCCCCGCCCCAGAAATGTGGTCACCCTGTGAAAAGTCAACAAAAACCAACAGGGTTAGGGCCCAGGACGACGCATTGACCATTATTTCGGACGAAAAGAAGAGGGATCGCCTTAAATGAGTGATCAAGAGGTGCGACCACGTTGAAGAAGAAACTTTAACGTGCCCTAAAATGGTGTACATATTTTTCCTTGCACTTTAAGTGCCAATAAAGACAACAAAGTGCTTTTTTGAAACATGTTTGATGTGCTTACTTGAATTACTAATATATTTTATTACTCGCAACTCGCTTCTCTTATTACGAGATTGCTCGTTGTTTGCCGGTGGATTGAGTAGGCGTGCTGAGATTGAGATGATCGTGGTGGTTTTCGCAGGCTCATGAAGGCGATATCTGCATTTTCAATTTCCAGGTGTTGGAAAAAAAAAATGTTAGCTCCAAGTGTGGCCCCCAACATGTTGTGCTCAGGTGAGGTAACATTGGTGAGAAACTAAGGTTGGCTGCTACACAGGACGTCTGTGCAGTCTGGCCATGGTCTACGCAAAATGCTTCTGCTAGGAGACGCACCAAGACGCCACTGCCTCGTCACATGCTTTCGATACGGCGTGCAAGCTTGCTTAATTTGGCTCGTTCGTTCGAGGATCCGTTACTGGCGACTCCAGCGAAACCAACGCTGCGTAGCGGCAATGCCGAAAAGCTTGGGAGAGGAGGTTGTTTCGACCCTGTTGTCTGCTATCACTGCTTGGTTTTCATAGGCAGCATAGAAACAAACATTGTTTCAAGCAATCATTTTTATGCTTCCGCCGTGTCGTTCCTACGCACTGATTACAAGAAGGTTTCTACCATAGAAAAATCGCTTTGCTTTCATACACAACACAGATTTTACGCTGCAGTCCTCGAAATTTATGGTGGTTCGCGTGCTGAATGGCAAAAATGACCTTCTTTCGTCCGCCAGTTTGCCTGACCAGCATGCCCCCTATAGTTCGCTCGAGTCGCGAATACTCCGGCGTTAAGTGCAGCAAACGTAGCATAGCGTAGAACATGAGCCTTTGGTTGGCCGGTGAGCAGGAACTCGATATCTGCGACCAACCAGTATCAATGTCCACTGCACTACGCCGCATTTGCTATGCTCGACGTCACAAGTATAACAGAGCCTTAAATCTGGGTCCGAGCGAAAGCTCGAGCCAAGATTGAGATGAAGGTGACAATGGGTGTATATACGCGGTCCATGCGTGCGGACAAGCGCCAGATATTTGGGTGTCACTCACCCCGGGCGACACGCTCACGGAGGCCTTCGAGCCCAGGCAGACGGTCCGGCCATTCTTGAAGTGCAGCACATTGACACCGCGGCTCCCGGGAAGTCCCCCTGCCAAAAGTGGGGGCGCGAGCGTCATGCCCCATTCACAGGTTGGGCTGTAGGCACCCAAAATAAAAACGCCAAAGACCCCACGAGGGCTCTCCAATGAAATGAAAAACATGGAGTCAAATGTTCGCGCGCTTGCTTGGCGAGAACATTTGACTCCATGTTTTTCATTTCATTGTCATCCTTCCTTATGTTTTAATAACGAACCAGTTGCTAGTCAGCGCTTTGTCTTGTACTCTCTTCGTCTCTGTGTGTCCTCGTTCCAGTCGCGCCGTTTTTCAACATGAACTCCCACCAACTCGCCCAGTTATCGATCCTTATTAAAGATGACAAGGTGGTGGAACTGTGCTAAAAATCAAAACTCGGAATAATTCGCGAATGTTTTCATTTCGAATACTAAGACACTCAAACTGTTCAAAGTATAAGAGATTTTTTAAGGTTAAACATTTACGCGTAATGTCTTCAGATTTTTTGGTGTCAAGCTTCCCACTTCGCACTGGCACTCCGATGTCGAGCTTTGCCGCTCTGTGCTGGCTCGCAGGGTAAACACGACCGACGAGTCGGGACATCTCATTTGGCTCAATGGTTTCATACATTTTGCTCCCTACTATAGATTGGCCTTGTTTGGTTATAACTAGAGTTTGGCCCCCGACGTTCACGGACGGTGCTGGAGAAAGCAAAGACCTCAAGCTACATTCAAATACTAAATAAGGTAGTAATTGCATCGCTTACCACATTGCACTTTGTTTTATCGAACTCATCTGATCAGGTTCCCAACGGGTTGACGCACCCCTCCACCCTTCCCACCTGTCCTCCTGACTTCTGACTTTTCCCTCTGCCTCTGCCTTTTCCCCCTTTCTCTAAGAATGCATGGGGGAACAGGGAATCACACTCCATGGAATTAACATTGTTGTGAGTTGAAAGAATGTACCCGTGTGTGTTTCGTCCCATGTTTTATTCTTCCTGTTATTTAGTGTACTTTAGCAACACACTCATTAAGAATATAACAAAACTTTCTTCTCACATGTATGCTTCCTTATTTTTTAAACATCTAAGCCCGATTCACATCAAATAAGAAATAGTTGTACTTAAATTTGTCCATAATATGTGATCCACAATTAAAGGAGCTGTGCAACGATTTTAACGTTGAAAGAGTTGGCATCTTCTGCTTTTGATATTGTTCACCTTGTCACAAATGACAGAAAACACACCTCCTTTCATCGAAATGTTGCGATTCCGCCGCGTAATAGCGAGGCAAAACTTAGAATATTCCCCGACCTGCAGCCGCGAGCGGCATGACGTCAATGGGGTATCTTGTCGAAAGATAGCAAGTTGTGCAAATACCTGCTCGACAAAAGGTAACTTTCCTATAAATGTTGTCATTCCAACATAAATATAAATGCGTCAAAAGCCTGGTATCATCGACAAAACTTTTATTATACGGAGTTTCAGTGGTGCCATCTATCCTAGGTCCACAAAACCGTCAGCTCTATCTGCTACTGCGAACAGCCGCCAGAAGCTGGAGGGGGAGAGGACAGGGCCGGACGGGTATGGCCGGATCCGGATGAGACTTTCCTCCTTTCACCATACTGTTCGCGCGGCGCCCGCCAGCACGTGGTCACGCGGTTGCGAGCGGATGAGTTCTCGCTGCTCACTGATGGCTCTAAAGAGAGAACTTTACCGGAACCCCGCGCCTACCCCATCAACGTCACTGCGCACGTGATCCGGAAGACGATGTACGAGTTGAGAGGCAACAAAAACCTGGATCTTTTTCATTTCTTAAAATAAAAACTAGGGTATCCAGGCAAAATCTGCTTTCTGTAGTTCACTCCAGAAGTGTCAGGCATCAACTTCCACAATTTTTTAAGCAAAGCCCGGAAATTGTTGCACAGCTCCTTTAAGAATTTGATATTCACAGACCTCTACAAGGTACAGTAGTATGAATCAAACTTCAATCCTTTGTGTGACGACCAAGATGCCCAATTGGTTCTGGACAAAATTACCAGATTTTAAATTATTTGATATATTTTTACAGCTAATATAAAAATATTCACATTAGCTACCCAGAGAATGCTTTGTTTGGGGGGAAACACTTGGCGTAAGAGAAATAGTAAATACAGTATAGACCACTTACAACGTAACCACTTATAGTGCAGGACCGAATATAACGCGGTTTTTTTAAACCACCGGTTTGCCTCCCATAGAACTCCATGTAATTACATACCGCTTAAAATGCAGGCACGCGAAGGGAAATACCGGTTATGGTGCGGTTTCTGGAACAGCCCGCCGACCGCACTGCCGACCGGAGCAGCGAGCACGCTTCCCTGTGCGACACTAGATAACGGCGCTGACAGCGCTAGCTGCAAGCGGCACTCGCGGGGCAAGGAGGTTGCTCGAAGAAGCGGGGAGAAGCGAAGAGAGAGGCTTCAGTTGCCATAGCGACGGAGGGACGCACGCACGTGTCGTTCAAGTGCGGGCGTCCCTCCGCTGCGTTGGAAAACAACCACAACGACAGACCAATCACAGGTCGAGGAGAAGTGTTTGCGCGCGTTGCATGCCGGTCGCGGGCTGGCTTCTCCTATCTGCAAACATGGCGTCGGTTGTGATCGTCGTCGTAGACGGCGTGGTGGAAGCTCATCGTTCCGCGTAAAAGCGCTATCCTTGACTGTGAATTTTCGTTGTGTGTCGCTATGATAACCCAGCACGTACTAGAAGGGAAGATCCACCTACTCGTGCGGCGATGTCGTGGCGGCGCTCTTAAGACGGCAGAAACGCCCGTGTCGTTGTGTTTGCTTACTTTGACTACAGTGGTGCTTTCTAAACTCGTGTCCTCGAACATCACCCGGATTTCTTATTGGGCGCATTTCATGCGTGTACCATATGAAGGATGCAAATTTTCACGCGTTTTCATCACCAGAGAAAAGTGATTAGGGTTAGCAATCCTGAATGCTCGCAACGTCCGTCCGCAACCCGCGACGCCGTTAAAAGGCTGCGCCAGGCAAAAGTTGCTCATTTCTTTCAAAACGTGTGACACACTTGAGACAGAACTGTACTAGTCTGGTGAAATAAAGACTTTCCTCAAACTAAGCTTTATTTTTCATCTAACATAAAATAAATTCTTTTACAAAGGTAAGTTGTCTCATGGCATGTATTTTGGCCTGAAAAATTTATGTTTTGGTTATAGCGCGGTACCGCTCATAGTGCAGATTTTCGCGACTCTCGCGACATACGTTTTATGCGGTCTACACTGTAGTCAAATTGGTAACCAAATCTCGCATAATATACCAGACATGTACATTCCTAACATAAATTCCGTGACTCGAGAAAAATTGCAGGGTTAATAGCTCTTCAGAAAATCTAATTAATTTACTACTCAAATATAGGTCGACCTTTAAAATTTATGATCCCCTCAAGCAAACAGTGATGCTTCACCGCATTGCCCTTGTGCAAAGCAGTGAAGCTTAACTTGAGCGGAACAGTCCGAGTGCCACAACGTGTAGGCACACGCAGCTGACACGACAATCATCTGACCTTATCACAGATAGAAGACAGGCCCCACTTCATCACAACATTTGCTATGGCATTATTTTTCCAAGCATAGCCTCACCATTGTTCAGCTCGTCAGTCGTGACACTGTTGACATGACATTGATGGTGTCAGCATATCATACAAGCCGACCAAGCATCCAAGAATGATGACAATTCCGCAAGTTTGGACAATGGTGCAGCCAGCACAGTTCACAAGCAAGGTTTTCTCAAAATTAGTAGGGGTGCCTCAAAATAAATATTTATGCTAAGCTTTTTCCTTTGATTTCTTCATAGCTTAACTCTCTCCGACCGCGCTCATAAGTCTATCAACCGTGATCGACAATCTGCGAACCCTGCTGCAAAGCCTTCGATGCGTTTCTGGACAGGTTATGGCATCTGGTGGTTAGAACAGACACTCTAGTTTCAGTTTCCGTATAGTTCTCTTTTTCCCACAAGATGGCGATTTATTATAACCAAACATGCCATGAGAAAGAGCACTCAGTGCTGTGAACACGGCGTCTTCATTGTGCGGCACACCTCCTCGCATTCGATGGCGTCAGCAGTTGATTTTGTTGCTGATACTAGCACAAGTGAGTCGGATGATGATGTTCCGGATCATCAGATTTCAGGTCTGACAGCGATGATACACCAAATAAGCCCGGAATATCGACAACTGTGCATCGATGAGGCTTGTTTTGTTTTCTTTTTTTCATGTTCTTTGCTGGTCTAGTGTGAGAACAAGCGGACGGTTTGTGCTTGTTCTCACTGCATCTGGTGGTTAGATTAGACACTCTAGTTCGACTTTCTGTATAGTTTTTTTTTCTTTTCCCCATGAGATGCCGAGTTATTATAAAAAAAAAACGCAGTCGAGGGGAAAGCGCTCCAAGGAGCTAGCGCTCGGCGTTGGGCGAACATGACGTCTATATGAAAAGATTGTCAGGGATTGCCGCATGAGCTGAAGGATTTCAGATGGGACAAAGATGGAAGGGGTGATGCTCGGTCGCTATGGAATCAAAATGTATTACGCAATCAATGGAAAGACTGGCACACCCTTAACATGATGAGCTCTGTACATTCTACCAACAAGGACATGCTTGCAAAACCGAGGGAGAAAAAGAGGAGATACATGGTCAAAGATCTCCATCAAGAAGCTGCAACTTCTCAACGACTACAATGCCAGAATGCTTGGGGTTGGCCCAGGGGTTCTCAAACTTTTTGGTCCCACGGAACCCCAGGAAGCCTCACAAACTGCTGCGAAACCCCTCCCCCCCCCTCCCCCCTCCCCCCCCTCCATATTTGTCGACCGAGAAGCAACACATGCACAATCAAAGGCGATTGTGCTTGTGTTGCTTTCCATATATCCCCACCCTATCAATCGCAATGTCAGTACAAAGTGAGATGAAGGCGCTTTACACGGTCCTGATGTGCAGCCTGCAGTGTAGGGGGGGATGGAGGGATGCAATTTGGGTGTTCGCAGAACCCATGAGACCAGCTCGCTGAACTCCTGTGTTCCACGGAACCCAGTTTGAGAACTAATGGGTTGGCCAATCGAACCAGTTGATCGGATCATTCAACATCCTGATGAAGCGTGTCCGTTGGCTGAAGACTCTTCTTTCACTGCACTGACATCTCGGCTATCAACAGCTGCATTCGTTTTCAAGCACACCGCAAGCAGCACCCAAACATTCCTGAACTCTACAGAAGTGCATGTTTTGATCAGCTGGCATTTCGAAAGGAGCCCTAAGAATAGGTTCTTGGACTGCAGGGGTTCTCAAACTGGGTTCCATGGAACACAGAAGTTCCACGAGCTGGTCTTATGGGTTCCGCAAACACCCAGATACCCCCCCCCCCCCCCCCCCTCCACCCACGCTGCGGGCTGCGCAGCAAGACCCTGCAAAGCGCCTTTATCTCACTTTGTACTGACATTGCAATTGATATGGTGCGGATATATGAGAAGCCAACACAAGGAAAATTGCCTGCGATTGCACTTATGCAAATATGGAGGGGAGGGGAGGAAAGGGGGTTCCACAGCAATTTTTGAGGCTTCCTGGGGTTCCGTGGGACCAAAAAGTTTGAGAACCCTTGATGTAGAGTATATGTCCAACCTCCTCGTAACCCCAGAACAACTGCATCACAAACCTCCCTTCCTCCCTCCCTAAACCCCCCCCCATTAAAAAAAAAAAAGGAAAAGAGGCGAAATTGGTATGTGTTACGAGGAGTGCGAAGTTGAGCACAAGAGAAATGTCTTCTGCAGTACCTGCTACATCTACCCATTTTACCACATCCAGAAACTGCTTCACCAAATGGCATGGTATGCATGCCACAATGGTTGAGACTAGGTATAACAGAACTTCACGAGCTTTTTTATCGGAGCCTAGCAATTTGCAGCATTTCTTCAGATTGACATTTTGCAGATTCTGTTTATTTTGACATATTTCGGATGTCATTTTTTGCCGAGATATCTGCACATCTTTCTAATTTTTGTTGTGTTATCCACAATAATTTTGTGTTTTAGAAATGAAATTTTACATTATTTATTACGCTCCTATTTCTTACTTGTATAATTAAAAGAGCATTTATTAAGCTCAATTTTGATATACTGCAACAAATTTTAGAAGCAAATGTTTTCTCAGAAAAAGTATACTAGAATTCTTTAGAAATGGGCAGTTTTCCTGAGGTAAAGAAAAAGTTGAGGCTGATTTTTGACGTAGAACTGCGTCTATCTCCGCGCTTGGAAGGGGGTGCAAAGTTGGGAGATTGATGTCACGGAAACTTGGTCACGAGAGTGACATCACACAGGTAAAACAGCAGAGCTGATCAACTTGCCTCGCTGTGCTCCCTGACGGCACGCCGTGTCTGCTGCCGGAAACCGCGCAGTGGGCACGTGCGTCCTTTAAATGCAATAGCATTCTTTAGCTACCCCCTCCCAACCGCAGGTATGTGCAGTAGACCACTTGAGCTCACATTCTCACACTCCTTCATGTTCGCACCCTCTTTGAAGCCTTGACGTCATCCTAATGACGTCGTCCTCTAGGATGTTGTCCTTGGGGTCATGCTAAAGGTCACCCTCGATGTCGTCCTAGAGGTCGCCCTCAAAGATGTCATCATCGAGGTCGTCCTTAAGATCGCCCTAAAGGTTGTTCTAAAAGTTGTCCTAGACGTCTTCCTTGAAATTTCCCTAGAGGTTGTCCTAGATGCCGCCTTTGTATCGTCCTTGACTTTGTCCTAGACGAATGCTATCGCAATTAATAGACAACCAACAAAACTTGGAGGACGCTCAAGCTTAGCCTTTAAGAGTGGAACGTGATAGCATTATCAGGTCCGGTTCACATCGCCTTTTCATCCACTTCTCATGCTCTTCCTGCCAATGAGCAGGAAGTGCAGCAGACATGGCCGAGTCAATAGCGTGTCTGGCTCGCACCTGAAGGGTCGTGGGTTCAAATCATCGCATAAAATTTTTCGAAATTATTTTAAGGCAAATGAATTAGTTCATAAAGTCAAACATGCGGCGACCTTTAATTTGCATTACGTACGTCATGTTTTTTAATCACTTTCAATTCATGCGTGACGTCACGTTTCACGTGAGCGTTGCAGGTTGTTTGCAATTTCTGCGCGAGGCCATGTGGCATTGACGTCATGACCTTATTGACCAATCACAATTTTCCTGTGACGACCCACCGACCATGGCGTTTCTGCAACACAAACTCCTTAACGCTATCGCGTTATTAGTTGTTTCTGCAGCAATTTTTCATCTGCTGGCTTGCTCATTTGCTTGCTTCAAAGCAACGCGTGCCTGTCTGATTGAAACGACGATGGACGCAACTCGACCAGCCGAGATTCCACAATCTTCACTCGTCGTTTTAGACAGTGGCCGAGCTCGCGTCCTCTGCGGCACGGGCTGTTTGCGCAACTCGGCAAAAGCATTACCCACCCCCCTCATTTCTTGTGCCACTCACACATAGTTCTACGGAAATTTATACAGTATAGTACACCTATGCACCAACCAATTTTTTTCAATACTTCCTCATTTCTGCAAGTAATCTAGCACATAAGCTTAGTCAACCTATGTTTGAGTACTTAACATATGGTACATCTATAGCATTATTAGACATAGCTGTACTCAATAACTTAAGACTAGAACAGATAAAAAAAGTTAAGCAGAAAATTGCTCTAAAATTAAGGAATGCAAAAATAGTTCTCCACTATTATTAGCAGAACGATGTAGATATGTACGTTTACAGTATGTATTTAACTGTCATATTTTGCCCTTCCAAGCAATAAAAAGGCCAATATTTCTCAAATAAAGTAGAACAAGTTACAGCTCCATGAGCATGTAGCTTTCTTCCTACTCATCGTGCAAGCAACGTTGATGCATCTAATGGTATGGCCAATGTTGGTTAGTCAGCCGACAAGCTTCCTAAAACGCCTGGGGCCGTTCCGTGGCACGTACGCTCACTGCTCTATCGGCCTGTCCAATGGACAGAAGTGGCAGAACTGGTGGAACGTTTGCTGCACAATGCCTGCAGTGGAAAGGGATTCTATAGTGTTTCTTGTAGTAAACAAAGTTTGAGCAAAAGTCGGAGCAAAAAGAGCACCGTTCGAAAATGGTCCTTCTCTGCGCTAGGGACGCTATCTGCCTGTAAGACATGTGCTCCAAGATGCTTCACGTGGTCCACCCTATTCTCGAAAATTTGAAATGCAACTGCCTGCATGGTCTTCAACGAGGTCACCTACAACGAAAGTACGTACTGTCCTTTCATACAGCAGCGTGGGTAAAGTTTCATGTTCAAGGCAACACCTACAGATACAATACTATACTCGCAGTCAACTTTCTGTGGCAACCCGAAGAGAGGAGGAAAGCGCGTCTACAGCGGTTGGCGCGCCCTCTCCCCTAGCATTGGCTGCATTGCCACAGAAAGCTGACCACAAGTATAGTTCATCCCGCCGTGACGTCATGTGATCAGTGTTGACAGGGGCACCCTTATTGGACAGGGAAGTGATGACGTTTTGATGGAATTTATGTAGAGGTCAAAGTCTTTTCGCATCACTGGTCAGACAGACAGGATGACAGGGAAGGGAATGCGTTCAATTCATTGATGGAACGTTTTTTGAACCTATTGAAGACCCCTCTCCGTCCGGAACCACTACCTTTAAGGCGAAGCGCCAAGCCTGCGGGAAAAGAATTTCGGGATAACAAAAAACTTCCACTTCAAGCTTAAAGCCTCACCTCAGTTGGCGTCTCAAAGAAATTTGAAAAATGTATTCCATTATCAGTATTTATATTTCCTCCCTCCCTAAAATGTATTCCTGTATTTCATTTCCAAAGACTTTTTGACTCTTTTTAAAATGTATTTCCGATACATATCGCGATACATTTTTAGAGCTATATTTGAGTATCAGTATTTTAGCTACTATTTTCATCTATCCCAGTATTTGTATTTTCAAATACATGTTTGACTATTTCTGCCCAACCCTGCAACGTAATGCAGCTGTCAGGTGACACTTTTAACGTTTAGGAATTAGAGGAATGGAATGGAACGATTCAGTCATTCCAGGAGTGGGAATGGGCCCAGTGTCCCCATTCCTATGAGTTGGAAGGAATTGAATTATGGAAAACTCCGATTCCCCGGAATGGATTAGAATGGAATAAAGGTGCCCATTCCGCAATACTGGTGTCGCGCATTACGAGCAGAGACAGATCGTGCATTTCTGCGACAAACGTCGCGAGCTTGAACAGTAATTCGAGAGAACATCCAGAATTCGGCCCACAGAAGCCTCTTCGTTTGCGGTCAAAGTTAAGAATCTCGTGCCACAGCAAATGCCACCGGTGCACCCCCCGCTCCGATAAGACCAACTTGAGCCCGGCAATATAGTTGCGGGTTTTTTCTGCACGAAGAATGGCTGTAAATGAACATAGAAAACCTAAAGCACCCGTGTCAATGTAGAAAAAAACATGCCACGGTCACAGAATCATAAAAATAAAAAATGCACAACTGCGCCAATCAGAGAAAATCAAGCTGAGGGGTTGTTTCAACGGCCGTCCCGCCACGGCTCTTACATCAACTGCCACCAAACTCCCTCCCCCATTTTTTCAGTACTCGGCGCAAGGTCGCGTCTGCTGCGTTATATTCTGCTTGTTTCATGTTGATATGTGAATCATGATACCCGGTCGCACGGAAAAGAAAAGAACACCCGGAAAATTAGCACGCAGAAGGGTGCGATGCTACAGGTACCGCCATCCAAACCCGTGGCAACCCGAGGTATTCCTAACATCGCATCTGTTTTAAGTTTGCCGGCGGCGGGCGCTTTGGTTCCAATCAAAGGTCAAACCTCCCAGTCCTGTTCAGATTTGAAAGAGTTGAAAAATGGGTCGACCTAGAATGGCACAAACTTGGTGGTCGGAGACACCCTCCGGGCCCTTACCTTGGAGTCCGTAGGGAGCGAAGACGCGCCGCTCGGTGAGCAGGGAGAGCTGCAGGGGCCTGCGGAAGAGCAGCTGGCGGACGACGCCGTCGCCGCCCCTGTAGAGGCCCGCCCCGCCTGTGCCTGGCTTCAGCTGGAACTGCTCGAGCACAACGGGGTACCTGCAGCCAGGACCCCACTCACTCGTCGCGGAGGAAAGCTCACGCTCGTTTAAACGCGGACCGCATTGACGACCCCACTAGCGGAAAATCGCGGCGAGCCAACTTATTGTGTCGGAAGGGCAACACCAACCAGCCTTTTGTCGCCGCAGCAGTCACGCAACGGCATGCGACCAAGATAAAAGCGAAGAGATATCAATCGGAGAGGCGCATTGAGAAATACCGACGACTGCAGAGACGTAAAACATCCTACAGCTGCTTCGGAACAAAGCAAAGTGCAGCACCAGTGACAGGATGTCCGAAGCAACTAGAGGGGGTGTGTTCACATAAGGACGGTCATAGTGGTGTCACGCCTATTTTTATTTTCAATTAAATTTCTTAATGAGGTAGAGAAATATGTTCACACAACGAAAAACTTAACTTTTGCAAAAAAAACTTTCTTGTATTCGTGAGAGAAAAATCACACCTAAGGTAAGTTGAAAACAGGACTTTCCCAATTGCGTGTTGATGCAACTTTGAAGGCACCCAGAATAAAGAATACAATTGTCTACATTATCAAATTTTTATAATCAAATTTCTTTTATTTGGTTATATACTTAAAAAAATAAGAAAAAAATATAGCGTTCTATTTGTACCATATTTACTCGAATAACAAACATTTTTTTTCCCTAAAAACTGACACATATTTGGGAGGTGCATTCATTATGCAGGGTAAAATTTTTGCACTTACACACTTCGTGCAAATGTTATATTAGGTGCCGATACGAGACGGCAAGATACTGTAGCATGTCTCCACTGATGGAGGTGGGTCGGGGCCACGCCACAGTAACCATGCTTTATACAGAATGGAAGCTTGGGCGTGTTGGTAAGACATGATTATATAAAACGTACAGTGAAAGAGACGGGACGGAGGAAAGGAGACAAACAACCACTGAACTTATAACTGAAGTTTTAATTGTCAAGGCGCAGTCATAATACATGACCAAACAAAGCAAGGACACACAGTCAATGACACCCCACTGAAACCCGCACAATCATTGCGCATGTTGTTGTCGTGAAAGGAAATCAAATTCTGTTTGTCTCCTTTCTTCTGATTCTGTTGTTTGTTTCCTTTCTAACGTCCCGTCTGTTTTGGTGTCAGTTTTAAATAATCATGCTTTATAAATTGCAAACCTTTTATGGCCGCTTTCGGTGTGCCTTTTGCCGAAGGAAAAGCGCCCTACGAAGCTCACTCTGCATGGAGAGCAATGTGACCGACCGTTCTTAGGCCTAACCACTTTCACTCGCTGTCCAAAAGCGGACCACAGACGACGGCGTGTTTGTCAACATCATTGCATTCAATAGGCGAAGAATGTCGGGGCTGGGCAATTCCTCGACCCAAGCTTCGCCAAGTGTGCGCACCGCTAGGTTTCATGGTTGATCACTTCTGCAACTACTGATTACCTGCAGCCATTACAACAGCGGCTTGATGTGGCCTGATCACTTGGCGGCAAAAGAAAATTGGCTTGGTGGGCTTGGTGGCTAGCTAAGTTGGAGGCAATTCAAGACTTGCGGAGCCGATAATTGGAGGTGCGTTGATAACGCGAGGAAAAAAGGAAGTCCAAATATTGATATCCGTTGTCAGGAAATGTTTGGTGCAGTCGCCAACAAGCCAAGAATCCCCAAAACACTCCTTTATATATTAGGCGACTCATTTGCAACCGAAACAGTTAACAAATCCTTGTATTTATATAAAACAATCTTATCTAAAAAAAATACATGTGAGCTCTTTTATCAGAGGTGTGGCCGATATTGCCTCTGAAAATTTAGCTTTGCAGCGCGTTCAGTCCTTGGGGCATTGATTTGGTTGATTATATATATAGTCACTGCGCTACCTTTTCATTGCAATGGTTCAATGTTTGTAGTTTACTGACCAAATTGTTTGATTTTGTTCTCCAGGCATCACTAGGAACGTGCGGTGTTACGGAAACTTCTGCTCTGATTGCTGCCGGACACTGCAAAAACAAAATAGCAAATTGTGTATAAAAAAAGGAAAAGGCGAAGGAAAGTCAAGTAGCGTCAATCACTCAACATCAGGATTTCTTTTCCCCTGTGCGCGCTTGGGCGCTACTCAATTCGCTGCCATAAAAGGTCCTGCAGGATCTCTTGCAACGCCTCCTCCACCATCGAAAAAGTTATAATCTGGGGCTTTGCGCAGAGGCAACAGAGTGTGGGTTAGAGGGGGAGGGAGGCAGGTGAACACATGTCCTTATAAGAATTGAAGAACACATACAAAAAAAAAAACCTGCACTTCTTTGTTTGGAATAAGTACGCTCTTGATGAGGAACAGTGAGCGTCGCACTGAATATTGCAAGCAATATGGTGAAATACGTTCAGTTTTTTCCACTCGGAATCTGCACTTTGTGCCATATAATACAAAGAATCATCTTGACTAGATTTTTCATATTTCCGCATGTAAAATGTCTGGATTCCAGGCACCTTCTTGATTTTTTCCACTCTTTTTTTTTTTCCCCGAAATACTTTAAGCTTGCTATCCCCAACATGCAGCAGGCAGGCATTTCTTTATTTTGCCCGCTAGTGCCTGTACAAAATCACCCGCGCCTTGTCGTATAGCATCAGTGGCGGGCGACCGCAAATTGTGCAGTGCTGCCCGATGTTTCACGAGCATACGTACGCCATCGTGTGCCTTCTTGCCGTGCCCTGCTGTCAAAAAACTTTGTCATCTGGAGTTCACTTCACCGTCCTTGCAGGCAAATTATGTTTCGTTGAGGGAATCTCAAACTGCTGAATGCTCAAAGCGTTGTCAACTGCCTCTTCATAAGTCGACGACGTTGCCTTAGGAACCGTTGGCGGAAACTCTCGTTGTGCTCTAGAGTTGACGGAACTGGAGCGATGGTTCGCGAGCACGTGTGGACAAGACGCGTGGCAGTCGGAGAGTCAAAGAATTTATTTCGATAATCACAAGACATAAGAAGAAAGGAACTGCAAAATGAGAGAAAACATCCAGAATGAACAACCAAAGGCCAAGGCCAAAAAAAGGGGACGGTAAGGGAACAAGGAAAGAAAAGGGGGGGGAGGGGTCGCGTTTAGAAAAAAGATGGCAAAAGTGCTAGTGGCTGAAAATTAGTCTATTGTTTAAGACGGAGGGAATTTAGTGCAAAGATTAAAGAATGGGCGCTTTTCTTCTTTTTTGCGAGTGCGGGAACAGGGAAAGCCAGATTTAATCACGCAGACTCGCACGTTAAGTTCACTGTGCCCGTTGTGGGATAAAACGTGGTCAGAAATGTGTGTGAAGAGGTTCAAATCAACTTTGTTGGCGAGTCTCAAAGTCTACAAGCCGGTGATACTCACACAAGCTCACACTGCAGAACCCAAGGATCCTGGGCTCGATCCCCGCCCCTGTTCGTTTCAATCTGGATGAGAATCATACCAGCCCGTGCTCGTGTAATCACTACAGCGTGATGCACGTTAAATACCCGAGGCTAGCGGTTGTACTGCAAAATTTCTTATCTACAGTGGAAATCCTGGCGCCACTCTGAGGCAGAATAACTAGGGATGTGCGAATACTCGAATATACGAATTCAAATCGAATAGCAAGTTCTCGAATAATGCGATTTGGGAATCGAATTCCTAGTATTCGGTCACTCGAATATTCGATACATTCAGCCAAAGACGCGCGATCGGCGCTGACAAAAGAGCTGTTTTTTCTCCCGATATTAGCGCCGGGATGTTAGACAGACCATGCGAGAAACACCTCTTGGTCCTCCCACTGCACAAAAATCTAACGGACAGGTTAGAAAAAAGAAAAGTAACGAATGCCACAAACTTTATAGCATGCAGATTTACTCATGATCGTGACTCAATCTAACCTTGAATCACAACCAAAACATCCCATTGTGCCATGCCTAATTCTCTCCACGAGTCAAGCCCCTCGTTTCAAATTGAAGCTCCAATGTAGAACACACTAGGCACACTCACAGAAATCGGCGACTGCACAATCACAAAAAGAAAACCACGTTAACCACGCCGATGAAACCAGCCGAGTTGTTGTCGTCCTTCCGTCAAGTTTGTTTGTTGGAACCGCAAGCCGCAAATTCTGATTCGGAACGAAACGGAACAGAAAAATAGTGTGCCTAGATTTAAAAAGGTTTCCCACCGTTCGATAGCCGCGTTTGAATTACGTACTGCGAGAAGGTGACGAAAAGATGAAAGCGTCGATCGGGCAGGAATTTGGGGCAGGCGTCGTCGCTCTTCGGTTTGCTCTTCTTTCCACGTAACATCACAACACATGCACACTTACGATAAATCTGCGCAGGAGCCGTCTCCGTGGTTTCAGTTTCGCTTGACCCCTTTTTTAAATCTAGGCTTTCTAAAACAGGAAAGATGGACGGAGGAATGGATGCATAGCGGAGGTTGGACGGTGACTTGCGCCACCTAACCGCATGTTTTTTTTTTTTTTTTCTTACTTTAGGTTATATTGTTTAAGCCTGTTTGGTCAGATTTAACAGCTATCTGTTTATTTATATAAAATAAAAATCCCGAGTGCCCTTTTTCTCCTTAAAATTGAGACCAAATATTGCAAAAGGCCCTTTTTCTGAGATATACAAATATAAAGAAAAGGACAATTCGCGGTGTCACGCGTGGCTGTAACTTTGGGTTTTTGTGTAGATAGAATACTGTAAAACCCTTAATGTTCGCGAGCCCTCAATTTTCGCGAATTTCATGAATTGAAGAATTCGCGAAATTAAGGGCGCGCGAAAATTTCGGTCCTTAAGATTTTCAATGCAGGCATCTGGAATTTGCGAAATTTAGTGGTCGCAATTATGTCATCTGTGACCGATTCGCGAAAAATAGGGGCCGTGAAAATAAAGGGTTTTACAGTATGTTTGCGCCATAAAATCTGATCTTTAGTGCCAAACGTCCATCACCAGCTGCTTTTTTTTTTTTTTTTTCACGAGAAGTTTTCTACATTTGAGCTTTTGTTCCGTACCAGATGCATATTCTGCACCAGGCGCATATTCTGCACACACAATAATCTTTCAGAGCACACTTTGAAAAATTCCTACAGATAAAATAATTATTCAATATTCCACTTTTTTTTCTTAATTCGATTCAGTATTCAATTTGATAACTACTATTCGGTACTCGCACACCCCTAAGAATAACCTTTGACTATCTAAACATCCTCAATACAAATTGAATATATATATATATTTTTTTACGATAAGATCATTTGTAATTTTGCGTTTAAAGTTAAGAAGAGGAGCGATCTGTACGCAGGCAAGACATCCTGCGGTGTTGCAGGAGTTTACCTTTTAAGATCGGCTGTATCTAGCGATCTCTAGAGAAATTAATCAAACCTTTTGGTCAGTAAGCTACACACATTAAAGTATAACACTGGAAAGGTAACATGACCAACATATAATCAACTGAGTACAACACCTAATGACCAAACATGTTGCAAAGTTCAGTTTTCCTAGGCAAAATCAGCCACATCACTGATAAAAACAACTCACTCGTTACTTTATACTGCTTAATTGTGCCTGGGAAATCAAATGACCAAATAAGAGCACCGTGGTGTGCGGTGCTCGAGTATCACTACCGCACTCGTTAAGACAGAAAAAACTCAATCCTCATTGAGTGCAACATAGACCTGGTTACACATTTTTTTTTTCTCATTATAAACAACATAATGCAACATATTTTTGCTGATATAAAATTATCGGCCGTGAAGGATCGACCGAATGAAGTTAAAAAAATTGAGGATGATTAATTTCTTTAATAGAAGCGCAAGATTGATGCTTGTCTATTTTTAAAAATTTTTTGGAAAATTTCGGTGCAATGAAAATATAGTTACAGTAGTGGAATGCTATATTTTTTCCTGAAAATGTACACGTATTCAGGACAAAAAAACTTCAGGCTTAAGGTTTAATTTTTTTAAAGTATATAGGTATATCACCAAATAAAATAAATTTGATTAGTTCTAGTAGTAAAGTTTGTGCACGTTTGGCATAAAAAATTTGACAACGTAGACAATTGTATTCTTCATTCTGGGTGCCTTCAAACTTGCGTCAATGTGCAATTGGGAAAGTCCCATTCTCAACCTCACCTTAGGTGCGATTTTTTCTCACAAATACTAGCAAGTTTTTAGCCAAAGTGAGGCTTTTACCGTTGTGTGGACACATTTCTCTACCTCGTTAAGAAATTTCATTGAAAACAAAAAGAACAAAAAATAGGCGTGACACCACCATGACCGTCCTTATCTGAACACACCCTCCTCTAGTTTCTTCGGACATCCTGTCACTGGCGCTGCACTCCGCTTTGTTCCGAAGCAGCCGTGGGATGTTTTACACCTCTACAGTCATCGGTATTTCTCAATGCGCCTGTCCAATCAACGTCTCGTCTTTACCATGGTTGCATGCAGGATCTATGATCGCAACATCCAACACCGGGAACATCCGCATCGACGAGTGCAAACGAATTCCAGTTATCCTCGGTTGCCTTGCCAACACGTTTGCACACGCTCCCGTAGAGGCCGTTGCAGCTCCTAAAATCATGCGCCGGCTCGGCGAGCGTGCCCGTAGAAAAAAATCCGATGAACGCAAAGCGTTCGGCGATCATCGATCTTTGAATCACATGTGCGCTTTCCTTCGCACGACAAACTGTTCTCAAACCCGTCCAACACGTCTCGCTCCTTTTTCGAGACAGTCGACAGTGTCAAACAATCAACGCCGGAATGTCCAATTTTTTTTTTCATCCTTTTTGAAGCGATTTTTGGTAAACACTCCTATATGACGCACCACAGACGCGTGCGTTGGGGGCTTTCGAAGGGACGATATCCTCGGGCTCTTTCGCTTCCCCTACCCGTGTCTGACGGAAGACAGGCCGCGGGCGTTGTGCATAGGGTCCGAACATAAATGCCGCTCCACGGTAGAGAGGCTAGATTTAAGAGAGGGAGCAACTCAAAGCGCAGAGAGCACTTGCAACATAATGGCGGGCGCCTCCTCCAAAGGTGGTCGCAAGTGCGCGTGCATTGCGTCGCCGCGGGTCAAGGAGCAAAGCAGGTGGAGAGACCAAGACACGGACAATACCTCCTCGCAGCTCGCATTGCAAACGTGGCCCGTGAGCCACGTGACCCCGACGGAGCAGCTGGAGACACTCCGAGAGCCAGGCTTGCTACTCCCTAGCCACGTCGCCGTCAGAAGCGGCTTTTCGGCACTCCTTCGCTCCGTTTTCCGTTTGCTTGGGGGGAGGAGAGCGAGGGAACGTTCTTCCACACACCTCCGTGTATTCTCGTGTGCTTTGGGCCCCTCGGCCTTCGTAATAAGCGTGGTCGGCCGCCCAATACGCTTCTAATCATCCGGTTCAAAAGGCCTGTATTGTGGTCGGGACTGCGTTGAATTTTGAATGAAGCAATATTTCGAATAAAGCAATTTAGAGACTGCGATGTGGAGGCATTACTGGCATCAAAACAAGCATGGCGCACGAAGCGGCAGCGTAGAATATATCCGCCGTGCCGATACAGTGACAGACGTGATCGCAGTGATATGATTGGCCTAACCCATTTTGGAGCACCTTTTGGAGCAGCCAAAACAGTGTTTTGGAGCAGCAAAAGTGGCCTTTGGAGCAGCCAAAACAGTGTTTCGGAGCAGAAAAAGTGACTTTTGGAGCATATATTCTTAGAAAAATAAATATTTGTTTTAAGTGATGTACAAGCGAAGGGCACTTTGTGTTGTGTTGTGATGCGACGTGTTGGGGCAGTATTCGCTGCTTATGTTTTTGCTCCTGAGACATCCCACAAGTATACAGCGCTGTGGGTGTTGCCAAGCAATTCCGGAAAAAACAAAACAAAAAAAAACAAGCTTGCTTTTGTTTTACTGGTTCCCAACGTGGCAGATCTTTATAAAAAAGTAAGCAAACATAAAACAATGGATTGCAAGCATCCCGGCTGGTGCCTCTCGTGCAATCATGTTCACATGCACGTGAGGGCAATTTTGGCAAGCTTGCAGTTAGACCTGCTTCGTCGTGCGAGCGGAGACAACGGCTGTTCGTCCGAAACCATGCCACTCCGCTCCGTCGCCAACTGGTTCCCAAAATAGTATACGTGTACAAAATGTAACTGTCCAGCATACGACAATAAACAGTACAGCGGCGCGTGCTTGCCAGGGCGGCGGGTGGGGTACAAGCTAAACACAAAAAAAAAGAGCCTGAGCATATCGATGCAAGACATTGCGAGCCAGGGTCAAAAAGTTCTGGAGCGCTTTGTGCAACGACTGAACTCGAGACAAACAAGCGCGCTGTGCGGGTTCAGCATGCAGACATTGCCTTCTTTGCTTTAGCTCACTTCCCGTCATCAACTTTCTTTCGCGGCAGATTTTTCACGTATCGGGGTCCCTCTCGGAAGAAAGCCCACCGAGGGAAACCTAGGTAATCAATACTTTGACACAGCAGTCATTGAGTTAAAGAGGGATTTTTATAGCAGCGTATGATTTAAACAAGAGCAGGAATGTCGATGCGTTTCAGTTTAGAAAGCGCCATACCTGCAGCGACGTGGGAACGGCAACACACGATGTCGCGAGACCATGGCACTGCGGTCATGCGAGCGCTTCAGCTCACAACTCTCGCTGCGCAAAAACGTGGTTTTGTTTCACAGCATGACGGTATGTCTCGAACCCGGCACACTAACGTCAGAGTGTCTGCACACGCCCGCGTCTATCGCTAAAAAATTAAAAAAAAGAAGAAAAAAAGACGCAAGACGAGATTCCCGAGACGACGACGAGAGCGCGAAACGCGAGACGGTGGGAAAAATTATGCAAGACCGCATAGACGATTCATGCAGGGTACTTTGTGTCGGGCAGCGTTTTGTGCTACCTAGCCAACGCAAGCTCAATTACGGTTCTCAATTTAGTTTCGTTTTTGAAAGGCGACCAAGATTGGTCCTTTGGCACAGGCTTGGCGCAGATTAGCCATATTTTGGCGAAATGTAGCAGGATGTAGCAGAGTTAGCCCATTGGCGCAGTTTGGCGCAATTGCTGCAGCAATCACATCACTGTGATCGGGAGAACAGAACTCTTGCGTCGTACGGTCCGGGTCCATCGTTGTCACTGCCCACAAGACCACGGCGAGTTGAAAAATGATGAAACGTTGTCTCCACAATACACAATGCCTAACAATTGAAGCACTTTACGACGCGGTGGTTCATACTGTCGACTTGGTGCAACCGCACCGCTTCGACCTCAATGCACATCAATGTATCCGGCGTAAAGGGCGGGGTTTCACAAGGAGAGGCGACGTGTAAAACCCCGCCCTTTACGCCGCATTATGTGACACAGTGACATCACGCGACATTATAATGCCACGCGACACCGTGACATCACTTCACGTCAAGTTCGAGTGTCATGTGATGTCATGACGTCACGTGACGTCATAATATCCCGCAATGTCAACATGTCACGTGACATGATGTCGTGCGATACCATAAGGTAAATGTCATGAGGCCGCATGACCTCATCGTCACCTGAGCTCATGAGGTCCCACGAGTTCCTTGAGTAAAGTGACCTCGTGCGATGTCACAAAGTAACTTGACCTCGCAACATTGCACAATGTCGCACGTACGCATGCAGCATGTGCACGGCTCACTTCCAACACAATTTGGGGGTCTCCGAGTTGATCAGATCGAATTGAGACAGTCTTAAAATTTTTCCTAATTCTAACTATGAAGGGCTGTGGACATCACCGAAACACAAACTGACAATGGTGGGACGCCGAGGCAGATGGCCGGCAACTCACCTGCGCTCCAGGATCTCGGGGTCTGTGATGCGTGTGTTGGTCATGTGGGTGTGCACACCGCTGCGGCCGTGCCAGTCTGGTCCCTGCAATTATGGGCCTCCGTCAGAGTCTCGTTTCAGGCCACTTTGTCTAGCATACTGCATGGCGTAAAAGTTCAGGGAATTACATGTACACGTGTCAAGGGACCAAACTGCACAACAGGCAGATCAAAAGCTGTACAAATATCGCCATATGATCCCAAGTATGGTTTTCCTTCTTTCTTATATTTAATTCCCCGTTTTACTCAAAATATATTTGTTTTTTCTTATATGGGGGGAATACGACCGCCACAAACATTAAACTAACGCAAACTCTACAAAAAAAAAAAACTGTTTGCATTATACAGTGCAATCTCATTAATTTGAACCAGAGCGGGACCAGAACTATGTTTGAATAATGCAAAGTTTGAATTACCGGGAGTTTCCTTCACAGAAACACATAGGACAGGACCCGCGTGTTAGTATGAATTATCTGGGAATTTGAATTAATGAGGTTCCAGTGTATGTAACACTGCATACAATATTCCTATCATTCCATTATTTAGTTGATGGTATATTCTAGATTCCAAATCAGCATTATTATAAACTTTTTGTCGCATTAAAAAGGCCTCTCTCGGGCAAAACGAAAATGGATTCCTATCAATCTCCAACCTTAGGCCGAGGGAGGTCGCCTATGAGACTCGCCGTGTACAGATGTGGATAGTGCCACACTCCAGAACGAACTACGGTAATTGGATGTTGAGGTGCAAGGTACAATCACTTTTCTAAATTGCCCAACGGAATCAAACATATACTGTAAAATAGCGGGCAAGCACCCACTCAAACTTTGGAGATAATTGCAAAAAAATGGGGGATGGGCTCAATTAAAATATTCTGGCGGGCTAGTTGGTTATACATATTAAATTACAAATAGCGCTAGGACGAGGACAGACGAAGAAGTGGACAGGACAGGCGCTAACTCACAACTGACGGTTTTATATACAACGTTAAAGAAGAAGGTGAAGGAAGTGTCTGGAGTTGAAAAAAGAAGAAAAAATAGGTCTTTTTCTAACCGGGCACTCTAAGAAGATTGTTAGACTAAAAAGAATAAGACACAGCAGACCAAAACAAAATTAGTAAAAATTAAACAAAGGTAATGATTTTGAACTCTGGACCGTGGGATACAAATTGAGAATAAAAAATTGGATAAAAAATTAATAGAAAATAAAAAGTGATCGTCCAAAGGCTGCCGATCAGTGCCTCGTACAGCCTATTTACCTTTCTACATCCAACAGGCACCACAGCCAAAGCTATACCGGCGCGAGCGCATAGACCCACCCGGTGCACCACCTCACGCGCTCACATGCAAATGTGATAATGTATAGTGGTTCAAGTATTGAACCTCTTTGTCCGTCAACGCCAAAGATGGTGCGGAGACGCATTTTTCTCCATTGGCTTGTATGGTCTGTGCTTCATAGATTTCCCTGTTCCTCTTTTCTTTAAAACGTCTGATCACTTTTGTGTTTGAAAGCAAAGGTGTGCAGGAGCAATATCGCACATGCATGGCTAAATGTCCAGAAGGTGTTGACTGCAGGGTCAGGGCATGTTCTCTCAGTCGTGGGTTTATGCAACGTCCAGTCTGTCCTATATACACTTTCCCACATGTGAAAGGGATTTCATACACCACTCCGCTGTTGCAGTCGACATACTGCAACAGCGGAGGGGATGGGCGCTTGTCCGGTCATCAAGTATGTTCAATGTTTGTGAGAGAGTGCCCGTGGAATTTGTGATTACAAAAAACCTGAATCACTCGATTACCGTTCACCTGTCACTTATTTTTGTGTTGTAAGAATTGTTACCAAAGCATTGCGTGCATGCTAACTTCTGCTGGTGCGGGGAGGCAGAGGCCCGTAAAGAAACAAGAACGCTTTCTCTGCCTCAAATGGAGAGGAGAAATCTCAAGTCAAACTGGCAAGACATTTCCATAAAATATTCTAATCCTTTGTTCTTAACACAAAATCTCTTTTATGAGGTGTTTTCCATGAGAAAATTAACAAACATCATAATGAGTGTCATGAATGAGGGACACGCGAAAGCGTTAGAGAAGTCAGGATTATATATAATGATTACAAATGTGAAGGTTTTCATCTGAATTCAAGCACAGTTTTAAAGTGGAATATTTAACTTTATAAAAAAAAAAAAAAAATGTTGCACGTTTTGGGAGCATTGTTGAAATGAAAAAAAAAAAAGCAAACGGCGAGCTTGGCGGAATTTTTATTTTCGAGTAATTGACCATCGAAGTGGCTGAGGCTAAACTGATGTTTCTTCCACTGGTCGGGGATTGCATGTTTGACTGCTCGCTATGACACCCTCGAAGTAGATTTCATTGGGCCTAAAGAATTACAAAAATTGTATATTTTAGAATACCGTAATATCCCGAGTCGTCGGCCAGCTCCTTGTCGCCTGAAATTCGCAAGAAAAGTGCGGGTGGGCCATGTCACGGTGGGTAAGCGCAAAAGGTTTAGAAAAAGCTAAAAAAAATGCCCATTTCTTCTGTGTGTATTTAGCACGGCAGTGCAAGAGGTACATTAAACTCAGAACTTGAATTACTTTCATAGCTTTATACAAGAAATGCTCATGAAAGAATGTTTTCCTATCACCAAGTCCGTTGCTTGCATACGCGTGATGAACACCGCCGACCAGCACAGAGCGCGAACACTCGTTCCGTGAAACCACGTTTCTAAAACCCCATGTTCCCTTCGTTAAAAAAAAAATAAAATAACTAGGCACGAGTGAGCAGACGAGCGAGCGAGTGAGCAGGTAAGTGATCAAGCAAGCAAAAGAAGCGACGAAGAGAGATGCTGGGGAAGCGATAAAACCTGCGATCGCATTAGCAAATACTCTGGCGGCGGGCCAAGTCGGGCGCCGTGTCAATCGCAAGGACTAGGCTCTGGCGCAACTTTCCTGTTTGGTGCTTACATACTGCATCCGTGCGCGGTTTGCTATCAACGCGGCTTGAGGTGGCGTTGAAGGCACCATAAACACCGAGCTCTGAACTGGATGCTTTACAAACGTCTGCGTGCCACGTTCCAGCAAATCTTTATTTGCCCGTTTGCCTCGTCTCAAACAGCGCACCACCTTACCAACCGCGACATACAGGGAAAATGATTGGCTATTTGCGGTGACCTTATTTCGGTGGAGACAAACTTTGACCTTACACTCTGCGGTCCCTGAATGGGTTACTGCTTGCATTATCTTTCCAATTTTATCCTGTCCACACAAATTATTCTTGTAAACAAAACCAAGTGCCGTTCTGTTATCTCCAGTCTCTATCGTTTTCTTTTTGCACGAATGTACTCAGACTTCGGGGTCGCAAAAATCGGGGAGGAAATGGGTAAACAAATTGAAGTGTCTTTCCCTCCATTTTACTTTGTCACAGACGTCCTTCAACCGCAAGGTTTGCGGCCGCATCATTCGGGTAGGATGAACGTTTGCAGACCGCTGAGTCCGCATAGGCGTATTTGTAGGGGTCTAGTCACAGATTGTCTTAAGCAATAACTGAAAGCTCCAAAAGTTTGCGCAAGCATACCGGAATTCTCCGGCAGTGCAGCGATGCCCTAACAGGTTCCATATTTGAAACGTGAAATTAACTTTTGGCGCAGTGGGAGCTCCTTATCGGCCACGTGTAGCAAACAGGTGCTGCCACGTTGGGGACAGAGCAAGGGTTGAAGCGAAGGCGACTTACAGCACCAGCTCCTCCCGCCACCGTCTCGTAGTAGCCCAGGCTGTCGTCTCCAAATGTGATGTTGTTCATGCACCCCTGGAAGGCAGGCAACAAGGTTATTCCTACTAAAAAAAAAACCATATCTCGCAGCAGACCACTGACAAGAATGGCGCTAACAATGACGGTGAGCTATCGAGTTATTGGTGCATAATAATACCAGGATCAGACGACTGAGTGTATTTTCGAAAAGCTGTCAATTAAAAAAACTGCACCCTTCCTCGATAGCAGGAACTCTACCTCTATGCGCTCAAGGTCATGCGCCATCGTGCTACAGCCTTAAGAAAATACTTTAGAAAATTTTTAGTGAGAAGGTAGCACCTTGCACTAAATAAAAATGGTACCTCCTTTAGACGATTTCTGCTTAGAACACAATGACTTCACAACAAATTTGATCAATCTGTGGCAATGTTCGATTGATGGGATGACATTCAATGGTTTTAACAGTGTGGGGAAAAAAGACAAGAAAAAAAAATGCCTTCGAGGACTCCAAAGGGTCCGCAGACCGCCATTTGAGATCCACTGGACTAAACCAATCAAATGCAGTGAATGTCTTGTGACTTGCGCTTTTAGTATGAGAGTTTATGGTCGTATCTGTCCGAGCCATCGACTGTGCTCTGACCCAAGATAAAACAGAGAATATGGCAAGTAGGGACGCTGTGAAATACATATTTGAATTATTTTCCTTCCCTTCTACTTCCCCGAATACAGTATAGACCACTTACAACGTAACCGCTTATAGTGCAGGACCGGGTATAACGCGGTTTTTTTAAACCACCGGTTCGCCACCCATAGAACTCCATGTAATTACATACCGCTTAAAACGCAGGCGCGCGAAGGGAAATACCGGTTATAGTGCGGTTTCTGGCACAGCCCGCCGACCGCGCCGACGACCGGAGCAGCGAGCACGCTTGCCTGTGCGACACTAGATAACGGCGCTGACAGCGCGAGCCGCAAGCGTTGCGCAAGCGGCACTCGCGGGGCAAGGAGGGTGCTCGAAGAAGCGGGAGAAGCGAAGAGAGAGGCTTCAGTTGCCCTAGCGACGGAGGGACGCACGCACGTGTCGTTCACGTGCGTGCGTCCCTCCGCTGCGTTGGAAACCAACAACCGCAACCCGCGGGCCGGCTGCTTCTATCCGCGAACATGGCGTCGGTTGTGATCAACGTTGTGATCGTCGTCGTAGACGGCGTTCATCTCATCGTTCCGCGTAAAAGCGCTATCCTTGACTGTGAATTTTCGTTGTGTGTCGCTGTGATAACTCAGCACGTATTGGAAGGGAAGATCCACCTACTCGAGCGGCGATGTCGTGGCGGCGCTCTCAAGACGGCAGAAACGCCCGTGTCGTCGTGTTTGTTTACTTCGACTACAGTGGTGATTTCTAAGCATTTGTGTCCTCGAACTTTGCCCGGATTTCTTATTTGGCGCATTTCATGCGTGTGCTCAAGTTAAGGTATTACTGGCGCGTACCGTATGAAGGATGCGAATTTTCACGCGTTTTCATCTCCGGAGAAAAGTGATTAGGGTTAGCAATCCTGAACGCTCGCAACATCCGTCCGCAACCCGCGACGCCGCTAAGAGGCTGCGCCAGGCAAAAGCCGCTCATTTCTTTCAAAATGTGTGACACACTTGAGAGAGAAGTGTACTAGTCTGGTGAAATAAAGACTTTCCTCAAACTAAGCTTTATTTTTCATCTAACATAAAATAAATTCTTTTACAAAGGTAAGTTGTCACATGGCATGTATTTTGGCCTGAAAAATTGATGTTTCGGTTATAACGCGGTACCGCTTATAGTGCGGACCTTCGCGACTCCCGCGACATACGTTATATGCGGTCTACACTGTATTAGGATCGACCAATCATAGGATATTTTTTTTTTTTTACTTCGCTTAAGCTCATCATGGTGCAGGTGTGCAGCAATCCTTAGCAAAAATGGCACTTTGGCGCAAGATGTAGCAGGCTCTTGTTCATGGCCCAATTTGGCACAAATGGTGTAGCACTTCCATTGCTGCTTTTTTGTTAGGCCATGGCAAACTTTTTTCAAAAATATTTTTTTTTTTCTTCGAACAGGGCCTAAAAGAGGGGCCAGTGCAAAAGGCTAACAAGCCTGATCATACACCGGTCCCATAAAGTTCACGCAAGTAATTAAATGAGTGGACAGAAAAACGCATTCAGCTGAAAGTAGCTAACTCATATATAGTGACCGGCACTGCTATCTAGGACGACGAAGGTGGCTTTTTAACGCAAAAGCATTAACTGTCTCATGGGGCAAGTCGTGCCAAACGGCACCTTAAATCCTTTCTTCCTCTTTTTCAAGTGCAGCCAGCTCCCAGCTATGAAACCATGCGCAAAGCCTAGGCAACGGCACCTAGTTTCCTCGATCCCAAAGAAGCAGAGTAAAGCTGATGGATTTCGGCTTTGGTGCCATTGGCTGGCGCGCGTCGACGAGACTCCCATTAAACGCTGTGCTTGTTTCAACTAACGGCCACCCCAAGGCGCTGCGTGCCCGTCAGCGTGCCGTTAACACGGAGCGTCTAAGATTAGCATGCCCAGGAGAGCGCGCACGCTGACCAGCGACGAAAAGTATGTAGCAGGCGGACGAGTGGCTTGCATGGAGTCCTGGGCAGTAAGTAACGCGTTACCAGTAACTAGTCACTTTTAGAGCGCAGCTATTAGGGGCCCGTTCCCGGCTTAAGCGGCGTCGCCGTCGGCGAAACCAGGTCACCCCAAGGTCACGTGACCCCCCCCCCCCCCCCGAGGTCACGTGACCTCCCCGATGATGTCATCGTCACTATTGACGTCAACGGCATCTGCATCGTCATCGTCACTGATGACGTCACCGGCATCCGCATCATCATCGTCATCATCACGGATGACGTCATCAGTGACGTCACTGACATCCGCATCGCCATCGTCATCATCGCTTATGACGTCATCAGTGACGTCACTGATGACGTCATCGGAATCCGCATCGTCATCGTCACTGATGGCATCATTGGCATCGTCACGTGACCCCCCCCCCCCCAGTACCCTTCCCTCCTCCTCCTGAAGAGCTGTGCTCTAATTCGGTGTTACAGGGAGTTGTAAACGGGTTTCACTTTTATTCTGTAACTTCTACCGGTTACGCATTACTCTTTAAAGGGATACTTCAACGAAATTTGAAATATTCCCGTCGTGTTCAAAAATAGGTTGAATATGATCCACAATATCCGTAAATGACAATCGCACGTTTGTATTTTGATCCTGGTGGTTGTATTTTTTGTTATAAACGGCCCACTCTGGCAAGCGCTCGGAGAAGGCCCAGCTTAGAGCACATGGCATCCAACGCAATCGTGACGTAGGTCGTCTCAAGACGAGCAAAGCTACAGCGAGGCTGACGTCGAGAGGATGGCCTAGTCGTTCCAGCCACCGAAGCGGCTGCTTTTGTACGAATTTTGAGAGACGGGTTAATCTTCTATAATCTTCTAGGGGACAATAGCGACTTCTGCGACACACAAAAGGGATTCTCGAGAAGAGGGGAGTTCCTCCTTCCCCCCTTCCCTCGTCGTGGCCGGAGACGAGACAACCTCCGTCACTGGCTGTCAAGGTTCCTAGACAAACATTACAAACGAGGCGTCAGCGACATCCACCAGGTGCTCTCTGCTAATCGTTTAATTCGTTTTAAAATTCCTTTTCGAGACTTTTTTAACAAGATATTGGTATGTTCCATGTGATACTGCTCTTTTGAACACATATAGACCAAAAAATGAGCGCCGAAATTTCGTTGTAGTATCCCTTTAATACTCCTAACTTGTAACTGTAACACGGTTACTTTTTTATTGGGTAATTGTAACCATTTAGGCTGTTGCAGTTACTTTTTTGTTAAGGCCCGTTCACACTCTTGCGACCAAGTACGACAGAGAGAGACGAGATCTCTTAAAACTTCTTAAATGTTTTCAGAATGAGGGAACACACCGGCATTGTGGCGCCATCTATGCGGTAACCCTGGAACTGCATTTCACAAGAGCGAAGGTTTTGCGGGATTTCCGAGGTCAAATGTGCGTAATACCCATAGAAAGGCTCGTTTATAACATTGACAAAAGTTTTTCAAGCCAAGAAAGAAAGGATAATGCGCGAGAAATAAAAAAAAATATGCCGAACCGCCTAGTTTACACTGCTTCCAAATAGATGGCGCCAGTGTGTTCTCTGGTTTAAGAAGTTTTAAGGAACCCAGGTTTAGGAGGTCGCAAGAGTGTGAACGGGACTTTACTATATTTATTAGATCCTTTCCCCACATGGTGAAATTGCCATCTTGAAGTATTTTTTTCGAAACTCCTCGTTTACAAAAAAAAAAGAAAAGAAGCGTGGCCACGCATTACACAAACAACAATGTGCCTGCTTTAGCCTTCGACCTAGAACGGATGACGGGCGAGTAAGCACGAAACCAGGAAATAAAGGAGGCGGCGCCCGTGGTGGCAGGGGTGGCAAGCAATGTCTGTTTCACTGATTTTGGTTCACTCTTCTCTTATGAAGACCATCTGCGGGTGTCGGTGGTCGTACAATGTTTTCCAAGTATTCCGTCTGAGCTGTGTCTGCACCCCCCCCTCTCCCTTCCCCTTCGACAGATATGTCCGTGCTGTCGTTTTTACACCCAGCTGGTCGCCGTTTCCTCTTCCCTAATAATTTTCAAGGAAGGCGCACCCCCATATTAAGCAGAAAGCCGGCGTTGTTCAACTTATTCATTTTCTTTGGAGCCGCTCGACTAAACACTAAGGCAGGTCCAAGTGTAACTGCCTTTTTTGTTGATAGCCTCAAGAAACACCCCAATGGAAGGACACTTTGTTGTGGAACCTATGCAGTGCACCAGCTGAAGTGATTTCCGGAAAACACGTGTCTTAAGTGAGAGAAACAGCTGTTTTTAATACATGTGTGCGGACTGGTCTTCCAAAGTTTGAAACAGATGGCTGGTCGCCGTACACTCGTAGAGCACCAGAAGACCTCCCTTTCCCCTTTATTGTTTTGAAGGTGTTTGAATTGCTGTGTTTAGGCCTGCTTCCGAGTATATCCCATAAAGTAGTTATGTGACCATCTGTGTCCTCATTCGTTTCAAAACACACAAAAAAAGTTTATTGATGCAGGTTGATGACAAATTTTGAAAAACAGTTAATTCTAAGTTGTAACAATTATTGAAAATAAATTATGCACATCAAAATACTGAAACGGCGAATGACGCAAAAAAGAAACACCCTTCGGGTTTAGATTGTTCTAATTTCTCAGTTTACCTTTCTTCTCACCATAGCGTAACAAATGAAAAAAAATTCATTTTGGTTTGTGATTTCTTGTGTCCAATTTTCATACTGTAACGAGAAAGTAACAACGTTACTCTTCTTGCAGTAACTGTCACACATTACTTTTTGAAGCCGGTAACTGTAACAGGGTTACTTTTTCTCCTTAGGTAACTGTAACTGTAACACTGTTACTTTTTACTGGTAACGTGCCCATGACTGCTTGCATGCTTTCACATTCACAACTCATAGGAAGTGCTTAGGTTTACCTCAGGCCTTTTAATGCGAAAGCATTAACTGTCCCATGGAGTGAGCCAACGTCATCAGCTTTGAAGCAGCGCCAAACGGCACCTTAAATCCTTTCTCCAGGTGAAGCCAGCTCCCAGCTACGAAACCACGTGAAAAGCTAGCTAACGGCACCAAAATTCCCTGATCCCAAAGGAGCGGAGAAAAGCTGATGGATTTTCGGCTTCAGTCCCATTGGCTGGCGCGTTGACGAGGCTCACATTGGCCGCTGTGTGTCATCTTCACCGACGGCCATCCCATAGCGCTGCATGTCCGTCAGCGCGCCGCTAACACGAAACGTCCAAAGTCAGAGCGGTGAGGAGAGGTGGCCTCTCCTCGCTGGCAGACAGCGCTGTTCTGCTGCCGACGCGAATACGCTGCAGACGAAATAAGGGAGCGGAAGAATGATGTACATGCTTTCGCATTCACAGGGTGGAACTCATGAACTGCACTTGGGAGCAGCCATGGGAGCAGCTGAAACCGCTGTTTTGGAACAGGTTGGGAGCAGCTAAAACTACATTCTGGAACAGGCTAGGAACAGCTCAGATCAGTTTTCATTGCACTTCAGCTTGTGTCTTAGACAAGCACGGGAGCGATTTCGCTTGTGCTTAGCAGCACAGATGAATGTGAGGGGTTAGGGACCTAGGTAGATGGGATATACAGTATAGACCACTTACAACGTAACCGCTTATAGTGCAGGACCGGGTATAACGCGGTTTTTTTAAACCACCGGTTCGCCTCCCATAGAACTCCATGTATTTACATACCGCTTAAAATGCAGGCGCGCGAAGGGAAATACCGGCTATAGTGCGGTTTTTGGCACAGCCCGCCGACCGCGCCGACGACCGGAGCAGCGGGCACGCTTCCCTGTGCGACACTAGAAAACGGCGCTGACGGCGCGGGGCGAGGATGTTGCTCGAAGAAGTGGGGAGAAGCGAAGAGAGAGGCTTCAGTCGCCGTAGCGACAGAGGGACGCACGCACGTGTCGTTCACGTGCGTGCGTCCCTCCGCTGCGTTGGAAACAAAGAAACAAACAACCGCACCGACAGACCAATCGCAGATCGAGGAGAAGTGTTCGCGCGCGTTGCGTACCGGTCGCGGGCCGGCTGCTTCTCCGCAAACATGGTGTCGGTTGTGATCGTCGTCGTAGACGGAGTTCATCTCATCGTTCTGCGTAAAAGCGCTACCCTTGACTGTGAATTTTCGTTGTGTGTCGCTATGATAACCCAGCACGTACTAGAAGGGAAGATCCACCTCGTGCAGCGATGTCGTGGCGGCGCCAGCGGCGCTCTCAAGACGGCAGAAACGGCCGTGTCGTCGTGTTTGTTTACTTCGACTACAGTGGTGATTTCTAAGCATTTGTGACCTCAAACATCGCCCGGATTTCTTATTTGGCGCATTTCATGCGTGTGCTAAAGTTCAAGGTATTACTGGCGCACACCGTATGAAGGATGCGAATTTTCACGCGTTTTCATCTCCGGAGAAAAGTGATTAGGGTTAGCAATCCTGAACGCTCGCAACGTCCGTCCGCAACCCGCGACGCCGTTAAAAGGCTGCGCCAGGCAAAAGCCGCTAATTTCTTTCAAAATGTGTGACACACTTGAGACATAACTGTACTAGTCTGGTGAAATAAAGACTTTCCTCGAACTAAGCTTTATTTTTCATCTAACATAAAATAAATTCTTTTACAAAGGTAAGTTGTCTCAAGGCATGTATTTTGGCCTGAAAAATTGATGTTTTGGTTATAACGCGGTACCGCTTATGGTGCGGATTTTCGCGACTCCCGCGACATACGTTATATGCGGTCTACACTGTAGTAACAGTGTAACAGATGCAAAAACTTGAAACTTTGTGAGCCTTAATGAGAACCAAAAAGAAAGTACCTCATGATTCTGGAGATAGTGTCCTTGATATTTTCTGAGTGGCTTTCAGCTGCTCAAAATGCAAACCAGCATTGCTTATCGCACAACCCACACGTGCTCGACAAGTAATTACATGCGCGAACCACGTGACGTGCACAAGCAACGGACGTGCAGTTGCGCGGAGGAACAGGGCAACAAATTTCGAGTTTATCTTATTGTGCAACTCAATATCGAAGCAGCAGACTACGATTAATTAATGCAGCTATCATATTCTAAGCGATAAGCAGAAGCAAGGTTAAAGTACGCCGAGCAGATTACTGCTCGCATGAGAGCTGCTGGCCGGCAAAATTTGGGATCAGACCGCCTTTCTGTTCTATTAAATCACGATTTATCTTGCAGAAATGCGGTTCCAACTTCTAAAGATGAAGTACTAAAAAATATCTTTTGCTCATTTGTTTTTAACTGGCCGACGTCAGGATACCGGGCCGCAGAGCCTCAGGCAATCTGACGCTTAACGACTTGACCTCACCTCGGTCAACTTGCTTAACTGCTCGTGGTCGAAGAATAACAATCCAGTCGCAGGTGGTGTAGTACTTGGAATCCGACCCCCGAGTTTTTTTTTGCGCGCTCCCAACTCGGGATACACAGGGGGAATAAACAGAACAAGGGAATGTAAGGCCGACCAAGCTAAATGCACTCATTGTTGCCAATCGAGTCGATAGAAACCGAAACCAAGACAAAATACAATCTTTTTGGCGCACGTTGTGCCATTTGGTGCATAATGGCAGGAGGCATTGGCTGTGGCGCAGTTTCCATGACATGGCGCAGTATGGCGCAGACAAATGTGTCTGGCGCAAAATGGCGCAGCCATTCCACCCCAGCATTCACAACTCATAAGAAGCGCTTAGGTGTACCTCGAGCCCTCCTTTCTGGTCGCTTTCGCAAGGTTCTCAGCTTCGTCAATACTTATCGTTATATCTGTAGTGCTGCTCCAAGTTTGTTCGTTAAAACGGCTAAAATTTCTCAGAAAGTGCAACAGCCAGAACGAGCAAAGAATGTAATTTAGACATATTCAATATTTTGTGCCTCACCTGCGAAGCGGCGCAAGTGCCGAAGGCCTTGAAGACGACGTCCACCACCCTCTGCGAGGTGAGCACGTTGCCGCCCACCACAGCAGCATCGGCCGACGGATTCAGCAGCGAGTGCCTGGGGAGCACCACTTGTACAGGTGCCAGGCAGCCCTGAAACGAATGCTGCCTCAAACAATGTTGCACGGGCGACATCTGCCAATCCTATTTCAAAAGGTGCCAGTGTAAGCGGTCGGTGCACGAGGGATGCTCGTTGTCATTTCTGTTTATCTGGATGCGGATAGTAGGGTCTAGCCGGAACCACTGAAAAAGCTACGCTTAGAAAATTGACACTCCGTCCCCCGGTCATCTTACGGCTCCATCCTTTTGGTGCTTAGTGTAGGGTGGATGCCATCGACCATTCTTACCATTGCTCAGATTCCAAAGCCAAGCAGTGCTACTCCTTTATTACCTTTTCCAGCCAGCGTATTGGCCTTTTGTTTAAGTAAAGCTTCCTAGTGGAACTTTTGTTTTCCTTTTTCCATCTGAGCGGCAGACACGAGTCTGTTTTTGAAAGAATTCATATGATACAGATACCTAAATGGTGATGGATGGATTTTAATAGCTAAACCCTTTGTAACAGGTGGTAGCTTGTGCCACCTAGCGAAAGTCGAAAAAGACAAACATATGTTTCCTCCCGGCCTTCTAGGCCAATTTTCTCCTCCTATCACCAGGCAATGTGGGATATCACCAGGATGACCTTCGGAGAATCGGGCAAAAAAGAAACTAAAAAAACATCACCCCCCCCCTCCCCCTCTTCCCCCCAGCACGGGAGTCAACAATTTTCCTCTGGTCAAACCTGGTCGGCATTACCCTAGCACCGGACCCACTGCGGGACAGGGTTGAGACTTTGGCCCAAAGCCACGCGGGACGGAGTCCCAATTTTCCTCTGTCCCACCTGTCCCCAGCTGTGCTAGTTAGTTGTCCATCATTCAATTACCCCTAGATAATTTCCACCAATCTTCTAATTGTCTCTTTATCACCGTAATCCCTTTCTCCTCTGTCCTTCCATCGCCACCAGTAAGACCCAGGGCCCCGGCCAAATCCATTACCCCCTCGGGGAGGGCAGGGCGAAGCCCCGTGCACTTCAAAACCAAGTGCTCTAGTGTCTCGCTACTATCATTATGGCTGAACATGGTTAAAATCGCGCACGAAGAGACGAGGACAAATGAGGAAGGAACACAGAACACAGACAGGCGTGCACTCACAACTCTAGCATATTAAGTGAAGAAGAGAAAGAAGAAGCACTATTTTTTACAAGGGACAACGTCACCAGGGGGAAACAGATCATCCGCAGTCAAATGATCGCAAGAAGGCAACTTCTTTTTTGCTCAAAGCTACCGACGGCTGGCTAACGCAGCGATCGGTCAGACTCAAGATGGTGAACGCCTCGAGCACCCAGATTGCAAAGCCTAACGCTAGCGCGTTCGTTTTTCTTTAAAGCGGCCAATGATTGATGTTTTTTCTAAAGATCGTGTGCACATACAGGTTTTACAGTGCACCGAAAGGTGACCCCCTACATTGGATGTTAAAGAAAGTTTATGCTCTCGTAGCCGGTCATTCAGACGCCGCCCCGTCTGTCCAACATAGCATCTTCCACATGAAAGAGGAATGCTATATACAACGCCCGATGAACAGGGAACAAATGGCCGCACATGTTTTTTGTGGCACGTGTTTTTTGATAATTTTTCTGCCTTTTCACGAACCTTAGAACAAATTTGTCACATTTTCTTAGAAGCTGATAGTACTAAGGGCACACCATACCTGCTGGCCACTTGTTTTAGGTTATGCGATATTTTGTGTAGGTATGGCATAACCACCCCCCAATTTTTTTCAACGGGCCACCTAGTTTTTTCACCCCCTTTTACATTCTTTACCAGCGTTCCTATCACTTCGATTAAGACCTGATCCGGGAACCCTGAAGATTTTAGTCTATCGATCTGGCCCAAGAAACTCCGATGAATGGCATGGAAACATAACTTTCTTTAGGGCTGAGGTGAGGCAAGAGATGGCAATGCCTCTCTTCACCACCTTGGAGTGCGAGGATGTGTAGTGAACAATACCTTTTTTGGAACGTGGTGAGAATGCCAAGCACAAGTGATTGGCGTGCAATGAGAGGAAAAGGTTTAAGAATTGCAACGCCTATTCGTTAGGCTTCTCAAAAGTAAAGGTGAGCCCAAAACCGCAGGTATGAAAAATGTCCATAATCGTAGCAACTAAATCTTGATCCGCAGTCTTTTTGTACAGTAAAAGAAAATCATCTACATATCTGAACACATTGGTGACAGGCGTGGACTTAATAGCTAAAGCAATGGCACGGTCGATTCTAGCAAGAAAAATATCACTTAAGACTGGCGCGACACAAGGCCCAATACACACCTCCGATTTTTGTAAAAGTACCCCGTTTTGCCATCCGACGAATGTGGAATTTAAATAAAACTGCAGTAGTTCAAGAAAACTGTCTGTAGTCACTCCACTTGAGTTCCGGAAAGCGATTTCGTCTTGGGATTCAATGCAGGCCCTAACTGAGCTAAGTAAAGGGTCATGAGGAAGGGAATAGAAAAGGTCTTGTACATCTATGCTAAATGCACTGTGGTTAGAAAATGCATTTGTCTTTAAAGTTTGAACGACAGTTTCAGAATTCTTAACCAAGAAGGGATCCTCAATCCGCAAAGCGGAGAGATGTTTTTTGGAGAAAGGCCGACATTTGCTGTTGCCGCGTGCCCCTCTCTGTGACTATAGCTCGAAAAGGACAGGCTTCCTTGTGCGTCTTTGCACTGAGAAAGACCTCCAGGTGCAGTCCTTCGGCTTTTTTTATGTTGGCAGCCAACTGAGTCAACGACAAACTCTTGCAAAGTTCTAAAGCTTGTTTCCTAACCTTCTTCGTGTCTACTACAAGCGGTCGGAAGTTCTTTTGCACGGCTGTACAGGCTTTTTCATTGTAGATGCCTACAGGCATTAATACAAAAAAGCCTTCTTTATCGGATTCCAAAACACGTTGTTGATTGTCCACCAAAAAATTAACCAGCGGTCTAGGATCCGGGGACTGGACCCGTCTCGAGGCGGTAAGAGTGTCAACACATTCGGAGACACAACGTGGTCTAATTTCTTCATTGGTCCTGTACGCCACTTTTCTTGCCAAGGTTAGCAGCTCTGGAGGACGTAGGTTCGGTTGAATGCTAAACTTGGGGCCAAGACCAAGGGTTTTTTGAAGTTTCGGGGGAACCTCAATATCTCCAAGGTTGGTGAATCGCCCAGATCGCTTTCCGGAACTCAAGTGGAGTGACTACAGACAGTTTTCTTGAACTACTGCAGTTTTATTTAAATTCCACATTCGTCGGATGGCAAAACGGGGTATTTTTACAAAAATCGGGGGTGTGTATTGGGTCTTGTGTCGCGCCAGTCTTAAGTGATATTTTTCTTGCGAGAATCGACCGTGCCATTGCTTTAGCTATTAAGTCCTTGAATGTCACCAATGTGTTCAGATATGTAGATGATTTTCTTTTACTGTTCAAAAAGACTGCGGATCAAGATTTAGTTACTACGATTATGGACATTTTTCATACGTGCGGTTTTGGGCTCACCTTTACTTTTGAGAAGCCTAACGAAGGGGCGTTGCAATTCTTAGACCTTTTCCTCTCATTGCACGCCGATCACTTGTGCTGGGCATTCTCACCACGTTCCAAAAAAGGTATTGTTCACTACACATCCTCGCACTCCAAGGTGGTGAAGTGAGGCATTGCCATCTCTTGCCTCACCTCAGCCCTAAAAAAAGTCATGTTTCCATGCCATTCATCGGAGTTTCTTGGGCCAGATCGATAGACTAAAATCTTCAGGGTTCCCGAATCAGGTCTTAATCGAAGTGATAGGAACGCTGGTAAAGAATGTAAAAGGGGGTGAAAAAACTAGGCGGCCCGTTGAAAAAAACCGGGTGGTGGTTATGCCATACCCACACAAAATATCGCATAACCTAAAACAAGTGGCCAGCAGGTATGGTGTGCTCGTAGTACTATCAGCCCCTAAGAAAATGCGACAAATTTGTTCTAAGGTTCGTGAAAAGGCGGAAAAATTATCAAAAAATACGTGCCACAAAAAACATGTGCGGCCATTTGTTCCCTGTTCATCGGGCGTTGTATATAGCATTCCTCTTTCATGTGGAAGATGCTATGTTGGACAGACGGGGCGGCGTCTGAATGACCGGCTACGAGCATAAACTTTCTTTAACATCCAATGTAGGAGGTCATCTTTCGGTGCACTGTAAAACATGTATGTGCACACCATCTTTAGAAAAAACATCAATCATTGGCCGCTTTAAAGAAAAATGAACGCGCAATGTGCTCGAGGCGTTCACCATCTTGAGCCTGACCGATCGCTGCGTTAGCCAGCCGTCGGTAGCTTTGAGCGAAAAAGAAGTTGCCTTCTTGCGATCATTTGACTGCGGATGATCTGTTTCCCCCTGGTGACGTTGTCCCCTGTAAAAAATAGTGCTTCTTCTTTCTCTTCTTCACTTAATATACTAGAGTTGTGAGTGCGCGCCTGTCTGTGTTCTGTGTTCCTTCCTCGTTTGTCCTCGTCTCTTTGTGCGCGATTTTAACCATGTTCAACGTTTACCAACTCGCCCAACTTACTACTCTTTTATCATTATGGCAGGCAGTAGATAATGTGTCCGTCTCCTGAAATTTAGCCCTATACGTCCTAACCCTCAAAACTCTCGTTCTTGCCTCGAACAGCAAAGAACCTCCCAGTGAATTGACAAACACATTTTCCTTTCTTATGTCCTGCTTTCGTGACCTGTACACTGTTAGAGCTGATTTTTTAGAGCGCAGCTCTTAGGCGCCCATTTCCGGCTTGAGCGGCGTCGGCGTAACCGCAAGGTCACGTGACCCCCAGGTGGTTACGTGACCCCCCAGGTTACATGACCCCCTAGGCCACGTGACCCCCCCCCCCCTCCGCGCCTTCCCCCCCTCCTCAAGAGCTGCGCTCTAATTCAGCATTACAGGGAGTTGTAAACGGCTTTCATTTTTCCTGCATTTTTCCCTCCCACATTTTCCTTTTCGCCTCTTTTACCCCCTTTTCCACTGAAGTAGTCTGATCAGGCCCATCACCAGTGTGCA